CCACATGGCAGCTAACAACTGTCCATAACTCCAGTCCCAGGGGATCTGACAGTTTCTTCTTGACCTCCACGGGCATTGTGCAACATGGGTACACTTATCTACATGCAGGCAATACACTCATACACACATAAAATTAAAATATATATATATATAAATATTGTTTAATATATTTACTTTTATGTGTATGAGTGTTTTGCCTGCATGTATGTGAGTGTACCTGTGTGTGCAGTGACCTGAAAGGCTAGAAGAGAGCACAAGATCCCTGGAACTGGAGTTACAAGCTGTTGTTAGCTGCCATGTGGATTCTGGGAACTGAACTGGGGTCCTCTGGAATAGCAGCCAGTGCTCATAACTGCTGTGCCATCTGTCCAGCCTTTTTTGTTTTTTGAGACAGGTTTTCCATGTGTATTCCAGGCTGGCCTCATTCTTGAACCCTGCTGTGTCCCCCTAAGCACTAGGATTATTCCATATACTCTTTACCTAGATTCCCTTACTAACATTTTGCTCGGTGTGGTGGCACATGCCTGGAATCCCTACCCTGGGAATGCTAGAGCAAAAGAATTGGGAGTTTGAGGCCAGCCTGGGATACATAGAGAGTTCAAAGCCAGCCTGGGCTATATAGTGAGACACTGTCTCAAAAACAAAACAAAGCAAATGAGCATTTTACCACACTTACTTTTCTTTATACATGTATAGATTTTCTGGGAATTTGATTGTGGCTTTGAGATGAGGACTGAACCCAGGGCTTTGGACATGCTAGGCAGGCACTTTACCTCTGAAGTTAAACCTCCTTCCCCTCTTCATATATATATATATATATATTCACACACATAATACGTGTGTTTGTGTCTTTTTGAGACAGGGTCTCCCTGTAGCCTCAGTTGGCTTTGAACTTACTATGGAGACCAGGCTGACCTGGATCTCGTAGAGATCCACCTACCTCTGCTTCAGAAGCTCTGGGATCAGAGGTGTGTACCACCACACCTGGCTTTACTTTTTTATTTTTGAAGATTTTATTTTTTTATTTTATGTGTATGAGTGGATTGCCTGCATGTAGGCAGGTGCACCTGTGTCAGGCAGTGCCCACAGAGGTCAGAAGAGGGCATCCAATCCCCTGGAACTGGAGTTTTGGACGGTTGTTAGCCACCATGTGGGTGCTGGGAATCAAACCCGGGTCCTCTAAAGGAGCAGCCAGTGCTCTTGACTGCTGAGCCATCTCTCCAGCCCCTTTTATTTTTAATCACGTGTGTTTGGGCCTGTCTGTGTGTGGGTATTTGCACATGAGTGCAAGTGCCCTCAGAGGTCAGAAGAGAGTGTTGGATGCCCTGGTGTAGGAGTAATAGGCAGGTATGTGCCCTCTGACATGGGTGTTGGGAACCAAACTCTGGTCCTCTGGAAGAGCATATTTGCTCAGTCTTTCCAGAGCCTATATACATATTTTTAAAACTCTTTGAAAGTAAGTTATAGACAACATGCCCCTTTATTTTGAATCATTTGGGCATTTCCCCCCAACACAAAGAGAGTCTGACTCTGAAAATAGAGACAAAAACACACTCACCCCCACCCCCATCTCTTGATCAGTAACGGCATAGAATAGTTCGTGATTCCTCACGGGTAAAAGTTTTCTCCTTATACACCAAGCATACAATCAGTTCTGCAGACACCAGCTGGGTGACTTCCCAGGACTTTAGGAGAGTGTGCCAGGAAAGAGAGTATAAAGGCCTCTATTTCACAATATCACATAACCCACACCACCATTAAAATAAAGTTCCTATTGATACCATCATTTTAATACACAGACACATTTTGCTAAGCACCTTGGTATTGTCCTTTGTCGAAAAATCTCTTTACCCCGGAGGAAGATGCAATCCAGGCCATGCGTTGCCTTTAGTTGTCATGTCTTTTTCATTTTATTTATTTTTCGATGTTGGCGATGAACCCAAGGACTTGTGCATACACATACCACTGAGCTCTGCTCGCAGACCAACCATTCCCATCTCCATCAGTCAGTAACAACTCTTCAACTTGTCACAGCACACACAATTCTGGAAGGCTACAGACCAGCTATTCTGGGAGATGACCTCAGATTTTGTTTCTCTTGTTTTACTCATACTTTGATTAATTTTAAGCACTTCAGTGCGCCACGTTGTGACGTTAGGATGACAGTTTTGTCCTGTTATCGATGTTGCCATAGGATGGTTAAGGTGCTATCTACAGGTTTTCTTTACTACAAAGTGGCTATTTCTATTTTTTTATTATAGAAAAACCCTTGGAATGTTATTTCAATTTCATGGGCCAAAAAAATCTAAGATCGCTTCTTACATATTGCCCAAAAGATCAGCACCATGCTTTCAGCAGAATCAGCTTTTGTCAATAAAGTTGCGTGAATGTGCGCGCAAACCTTTCCGGAAGGGTGTGGCAGGCTTGCCGCACGGCCTGCCAGGATTTGTAGTTTCTGAGAGCTCCGAGCCGTGGCGGTCCTGTAGCGTCTCAGCAAGAAAGAGCCTCAAGCGGAGAGGGCGGGCGGACAGCGCGATGCTCTATGGGAATTGTAGTTTGCACCGCGCGCCCCTCCATGCCCTAGCCAGGGAACGGGACTTCCCTACCCGGTAGGCCGCGCGCGGGGGTCCGAGAAAAGCCGTCTGCGGCTCGAACAAATCAGATCGCAGGAAAGAAACTGCCGGCTTTCAAAATCCTCCTCCTCCGCCATCATCTGCCGCGGATCGTGGGGCAGGTGGCGTGGGAACGGAGAGAGGCAAGGATCTCCGCGAGTGAGAACGGACCGGCGGACCCGGCTGCGGTGAGCACACCGGACCCCACGCGGACCCTCGAGGCGTCCGCGCCCAGAGGACGCGCGCCATCCGGTCGCCCCACGCGGCCGCGCCGCCTGTTTACGGTGGGTCGGGGTCCCCATAGCTGGCCGCGTCCCCTGCCGGGGCCCCCAGGCCCGAGTGGGGCGCCGCGAGCACCTGCTGCCCCCGCGTCGTAGGTGGGGAAACTGAGGCCGGAGAGGGCACCCCGGACCCCCTCCGCGCAGTGGCGTCTGCTATGGGAGTCGGGCTGGCCGGGAGGCTGTGAGAGGTGGCCAGGCTTTCGGGGTGGACTCCCGCCCCCCGGTGGGCGCTGGATTCCTGCCCCGCCACCCACGCCCACGCGGGAAGACGAGGCCCCGGGGGTTGGCGTGAGTCACTGCTGACGCTCTGCTGAAGGATGGATGTGCTCCTAAGGACGAGTGTGTGAGCCGCTCGTGTCTGCTCCGCGGCAGGCCTGCTGACCTTGCTTTGCCGACTCGGTCTTTAACGTGAATGGAGGAGGGCGTGAGTGCGTGTGTGTGAGTGTGTATGCGTGCCTGAGTGTGTGCGCATGCGAGCGTGTGTGCGCGTATGAGCGTGCGTGCCTGTGTGTGTGCACGAGGAGCTAGTTGCGTGGTTGACCGCGTGAGTGCGGGTGCGTGAGCGAGTGTGTGTGCATGAGTCTGCATATGTGTGTGAATGTGTGTTCCCGGAATGAGAATGTGCCTACCCTCCTTTCCAACTGAGTTCTGTGCCCCTCTTCTACCTGGACCCCCACCATCACTTTTTTACCCTCACATTGTCCCATCTAAGAACTGTAAAGTGGTTGCGCTCCAGATAGATTTTTTTTTTTTTTAAACTCTTGACATAGTCATTCTGTGAACATCTTCTAAATACCAGGCCTTATACAGTGTTGTTCTTGTCAAAGCAAGTTTGAGCTCTTTTATTTTATTATTATTTTTTAAGCTTTTTGAGACAGGATCTCCCTGGCTCCAACTGGCCTGAAATTGTTATGTAGACCAGGCTGGCCTCCATCTCACAGAGATCTGCCTGCCTCCAGAGTGCTGGGACTAAAGGCTGGTGTGGGACCGCCACCATGCCCTGCAGAAAACGTTGGGATCTCTGTGAGTTCAAGGCCAGCCTGGTCTACATAGTGAGTTCCAGGACAGCTGGGGCTACAGGGAGACCCTGTCTCAAAAAGACCAAAAAATAAATAAATAGGCCAGGCATGGTATCGCATGCCTTTAATCCCAGCACTTGAGAGGCAGAGGCAGGCGGATCTCTGTGAGTTCAAGGCCACCCTGGTATACTTAGTTCCAGGACAGCTGGGGCTACAGAGAGACCCTGTCTCAAAAAGACCACCAAAAAAAAAAAAAAAAAAAGATGTTTTATTATTTTATGTGTATAAATGTCTTGCTTTTATGTAAGTGCACCTGTGTTGTGCAGTACCATGAAGGTCAGAAGGGAGCTTCAGGTCCCCTGGAACTGTAGTTATGGATGGTTGTTAGCCATATGGTTGCTGGGAACTGAACCTGGGTCCTCTAACCACTGAGCCATCTCTCCAGCCTCTCCTCCATTCATTCTTGACCCCTCTGTGTACTAGCCCCTCTAGCTTTGCAGTTCCTCTTCTCCCTTGAGCCTTTGCATATGCTGTGTTCTCATACTGCATGATTCAGGCTTCATTTCTTTCCTGAGAATATTTGGTAATTATACTTTAAGTTGTGCACCCCTCCCCACCCACCCAAAGCCAACACCACCTTCCTTGCACTTCTTTACACGTGTTTATGGGGTTTTGTGTGTGTGTATTTTTGAGACAGGGTCTCGGGTAACCCAGACTGGCCTCTAACTCCCTTGGTAGCTGAAGAGATCCTTCTGCTTCATCTCCCATGTGTTGGGTTACAGGAATGCCCCACCACCTGGCCATTCTTGTTTATTTTTGTGGTGGGGATCAAATCCAGGGACTCACAAATACTAGCTAGGAATCTGCCCCTCCACCACTTCTGTTTACTTGTAAAAAAAAGATTTATTGCTCAGGGCGTGGTGGCATACGCCTTTAATCCCAGCACTTGGGAGGCAGAGGCAGGCAGATCTCTGTGAGTTCAAGGTCAGCCTGGTCTACATAGTGAGTTCCAGGACAGCTGGGGCTACAGAGAGACCCTGTCTCAAAAAAAAAAAAAAAAAAAAAAAAAAAAAAAAGATTTATTTTTATTTTCTGTGTATGAGTGTATTACTTGCATGTATGTAAGAGCACCCATGTTGTATAATGCCATGGAGGTTAGAAGAAGGCATCAGATCCCCTGGAACTGGAGTTACTGAAGGTTAGCTGCCATGTAGGTGCTGGGAATCAAACCCAGGCATTTGAACAATGTTCAGTACATAGTGCTTAATGCAGTATTTTGTTGACTTTGATGCCTTATCCTGATAATAATTCATCTGTAGAGAAACGTGGGTGCTTGGGGGAAGATAAGGAAAAGCCGCCTGGTGTCCAAAGAGGAGCAGGGGATTGGAAGGGCTTTGGAATAACACCTCCCAGTTCTTTGCAGAGGAGACAATGCTCTGACCTATGTTTAACCAGATCATTGCTGCATGTGGCCTTGAATTTAGAAGGTACTTGAAGAACGGCTTGCAGTTTGTCACAGTACTGTCCTTGGCAACCCCTGATTAGCTGCCATATCCATCCTTTCTCTCCCTCTCTCTCTCTTCCTCAATGTGCTCAGCGGTCTACAGCCTCCTACATGTTAGACAGGTAGGTGCTCTACCACTGAGCTACATACACCCTAGCCCAAGTTGTCCATTTTGCCAACCTATTGAGCTCCAAGCTGGGAGCAGCTCTGTCCCTGGTGATCCTGTGAAATATGTAATTAGGTCATAGTCCTGCAAAACTTCTCAAATTCTTTTTTTTTTTATTTGTCTTTTTGAAGCAGGGTCTCCCTGTAGCCCCAGTTGGCCTGGAGCTCACTATGTAGACCAGGTTGGCCGTGAACTCACAGAGATCCTGCCTGCCTCTGCCTCCCAAGTGCTGGGACTATAGGCATGCACCACCACGCCCACCATGCCGTTTAAAACTTCTCAATTTGTAACAAGATGTGAGATCTGCCTACCTCTGCACCCCCAGTACTGGGATAAAAAGCCTACACCATCCTTGCTCCTTTTGTATGTTAATAGCTGGCTACTGGCTGCTGGCTGCTGGCTGGTAGGCCCCCTAGGTAGGATGAGGAGAGTAGAGACTGGTGGCTTGAAAAACCAAACCAGAGGGCTCAGCGGTTAAGAGCACTGACTGCTCTTGCAGAGCAGGGTTCGATTCCCAGCACCTACACAGCGGCTACGAACCGTCCTTAACTCCAGTTCCAGGGGAATCTGAAACCTTCTGACCTATGACCTCCTCCGCATTGCACAACACAGGTGCATTCACATACATGCAGGCAATACACTTTGTAAACATAAAATAAAAATAATAAATAAAATATTAAAAAAGAAAAGAAAAACCAAAAACCAAACCAGAATTAGAGGGTTGGGATCTTAGTCTTGTATCCCAGGCTCCAAAGTTGATCAGTAATACCTATGATTTAACTAATCATGCTTATGTAATGAAGCCTCCATAAACCTCCCAAAGGACAAGGTTTGGAAAGCTTCCAGACAGCTCAGAGTGGGGAGGTTCTGGGAGAGTGGCAGACCTAGAGAGAATGCTGTCATACCCTGCCCTATTTACTCTGTATCTGACTGCTCGTTTGTATCCTTTAACATATCCTTTATTAGTTTGTATCCTTTAACATATCCTTTATTGGGGGTTGCCTACCTCTGCCTTCCCCTCTGGAGTGCTGGGACTAAAGGCTGGTGTGGGAGCATCACTGTGCCCTGCATAAAACTTCTGGATCTCTGAGAGTTCAAAGCCAGCCTTTATTGGGGGTTGGTAGAGTGATTGCCTGGCATGTGTGAAGCCTGGGGTACTATCCTTAGTATCATACATACACGTACCACAAATCCTTTATACCATGCCAGTATATAATGTATTTTCCTTGAGTTCTGTGAGCTGTTCTAGTGAATTAATGGAACTCAAGGAGAGAGTCATGACAATCCTAGTTCATAGCCAGTAGCTGTAAACTACCCTGGGGTTCATATTAGCATCAGGTGAGGAGTAGCCTTGTAGACTGAACCCGCAACCATGGGATCTGACACTATCTCCCCAGTGATCTAATAGTGTCAGATTCGGATTAGAGGATACCCTGCTGGTGTCCCCTGCAGTAGTTGTTCACTTGATGTGTGGGGAGGAGCTCTGCACTAAAGTGTTAGAAGTGTGTTGGGAGACCGCAGTGGGAAGTGGAGTTCATCTGACTGGTCAATTGTTGGTGGCCCTTGTGAGGTAGATACCTCTGGTCTCCTAGGAACCCGAGGAGCCACTGTGGCTTGTGCCCAGGGGTGAAACCAGACATGCAGTGGCCTTAGTCCTTTGTGTCACCTTCCCCAAAGTCCTGCCAGCGTGGGCAGTGGGGCATTCCCTGGGATGGATGACCTGGATCCAATAGCTATCCACGTCCTGTTTGAGGTGCAGGGCCCCCCAACAGAGTGCTGCCAAGATGACCCAGCAGGTGTGTGGGGGCGTAGACTGACTCTTGGAGCTACCATTGGGACTTGATTGCCCTTCACTGAGGCCTAGGAGATGGGCAATTTTTTTATGTGTTTTCACTGGTTGACCTTGCTGGGGCAGTTTGGCAGAGGAGGACTTTACGGGAGGTGGTCATTTCTCTACCTTTCTGGATTTGTTACTTTGTAATAGTGTGTCCTTTTCTCTCAGTGGTTTAGCTCTTGGGTATTTGATGGCAAGGGCTGGTGGCTGATACTCTGTCTTAACCCACCCCCTGATCAGGGGCCCCTAGAGACTCCCCTTTTGGGGTTATGCCAGGGATCAGTCCCAGACTTCATGCTTCCTAGGCAAGTCCTGTTTAATGCAGTTTTGGTGGTCTCAGTTTGCAGATCTCCAGGGGATCCCAACACCGTTACCAACATGGCCTCTGAAGACATTGCCAAACTGGCAGAGACCCTGGCCAAAACCCAAGTAGCCGGAGGACAGCTGAGTTTTAAGGGCAAGAGCCTCAAACTGAATACTGCAGAAGATGGTGAGTTCCTGGGCTGGCTGTGAAGGAGAAGGTAAGCCAGGCTTCTTTACTGGAGCTCGGCCTTTCTGGGTTACCCTGTCTTCCTCGTTTGTCCTGGCCGGGCCGTGAGATAGGGTCATCAGTCCACTCTTAACGGTGAAGCTCAGCAGTCATTTGCGCACGACACATAGGTATTTCTGTCTTCTGGAATTCCTATATTCACTGTCCTTTTATCTCCCTGAAGGAGGGGCTGGTGGGTAGTGAGGGCACAGTTACTGGCACCCCCAGATTCAGCCCCTGACTACTGTTTTTTTCTATGTATATTATGCATGTGACTTTATTTATTTGCACAGGGTCTCACTATGTAGCCTAGGTTAGCCTTGAAGCTTAGTGCTCCTGTCTCAGCCCTGACTTCTGATTTGAAAGCTGGACTCTTCCTATCCCTGCTTCCCCCTCCAGTCCCAGCTGGTCTAGGAATAGCTTCTACAGCTTGGGGCCTTGTGGAGCTGCATTAAAACAGCAGTGTTGCACTCTCATGGGAAGTCCTCATCCTTGTAACCAGATGCCCCTGGGAGATGGATGGGGGCCCTGAATGCCCATCCATGGCCAGATCTTGGCTAGCACTGACAACCTTGGATCTCTTGGCACCTGGAAATGAAGCTTCAGTCTTATCAGGCCTCTTCCACTCTGGTTCTAACCAAAGAAACTGGTTTGCATTTGTCAGAGTGTCTACTGTGCAGGCAGCCTTGCCCCCCTCCCCCATGGGATTTCTTGGGTTTAGGGACAGCGATAATACCCATTCCTAACTTCTCCATAGGGCCCTGAAATTGACAGACTCTTTCCTGGATGCCGTCCCCATCTTCTCTTTGGACTTTTTGAGACAGGGTGTCACAAATTCCAGGCTGGCTAGACACTGGCCAAGTAGCTGAGAATAACCTTGAACTCCTGTTCCTCTTGCGCCTACCTCCTGTGTGCTGGGATTTGTGCACTCCCATACCTGGCATGCTTGTCTGACTCTTGAGTCTTGCATCATATCTGGGAGAACTTAGTTCAGTAAACACAGATTTAATATTAAATGTCATTTGTTGGGCTGCCAAGATGACTCAGTGGGTAAAGGCACTTGCTGCTAAGCCTAATGACCTGAGTTCGATCTCTAGGACCCACGTAGTGGAAGGAGAGAACTGATTGGATCCTACAAGTTATCCTCTTTCATATGAGTACGCACACACACACAGACAATCAATAAAAATTAGAACGTTTGGAGGCTGGAGAGATGCCTCAGAGGTCAAGAGCACTGGCTGCTCTTGCAGAACCCGGGTTTGATTTCCAGCACCCACATGGCAGCTAACAACATCTATAACTCTAGTTCCAGAGGATCTAACACCCTCTTCTGACCTCCATGGGCATTGCACAACACGAGTACACTTACATATATGCAGGTTATATACTCACACACATAATAATAAAATATTAAAAATTAATAAAAATAGAAAATATTTTTTCTTAATCCCGTAACAGCCTGGCACGGTGTACCCCAGTAATCTCAGTGCTCAGGAGGCACAGGCAGGCCAGGCTGGGCTACATGTCAAGACCTTGTCTTTGAAAGGAAACTTTTTTTTTTTGTTTTTTTTGAGACAAGGGCTCCCTGTAGCCCCAGCTGTCCTGGAACTCACTGTGTAGACCAGGCTGGCCTTAAACTCACAGAGATCCACCTGCCTCTGCCTCCCTGAGTGTTGGGATTAAAGGTGTGTGCCACCATGCCCGGCTTTTTTTTTTAATCTTACTATTTTTATTTTATGTGTATGTGTGTGTTGCCCGTGTGTGGGTAAGTGCACCCATGTGGTGTCGTGCAGTGCCCACAGAGGATGGAAGAGGCTGCCTCCCGCGTGCTGAGATTAAAGGCATGCCACCACCATGCCCGCATACAGCCAGTGTTCTTAACTGCTGAGCCACCTCTCCAGCCCCGAAAGGAAACATTGGAAAGGTATAGGCGAGCACGCGCTGGGCTCTCAGGGTCCCAGCGCGCACTCCTAGGCAGTGAAAGTTCCTCCGCTACTGAGGTCTACTCAGTCGATCCCGTCCCTATTTCACCCGTATACCTTCCTCAGGATGTGAGGTTCACTGGCCACTTGGACCACACGGGAAGCGTATGAGGGACGGCAAAAGCCAGGGTGTCTGCGAGTCGGCGACAGAGGAATAGCGCCCCCCAGGGAGACTGAATCACAGGATTTAGTGTTACAGCTCAAGACAAGTGACTCAGCTCAGATCTCAGCGATTCAGTTCCAGCTCCAGCTTTATTGGGGTAAAACTAGGACTATTTATAGTGTAGAGACAGCAGAAGAAGCCTTAGCTGATAGGTACTTTTAGAATGCCTCATTTACATAGGGCGGTGGGCTTCTATCAGGCTATCAGACAACGCCTGATTAAAAACCTGGCAGCTCCTGTGCCGGAGGGCATGTATTTGTGGCGAGCACTTTAAAAGAAGAGTCAGGGAGGATGCCAGGAAGGCACTCTGCTATGAAAGGAATCTGCAGCACATGGTTTCCGAGCTCGTGAGCTATCCGGACGTGAAGAGACTTCTGCTTTGCATAACAGAGGACCCCAACAGAAAGGCTTTATCCCCATTTTACCAACTTGAAAATTGAGACTGAGGAGGTGATACCTCTCCTGAGGGCATGATCGTTAGTGGAGGAAGGATTAAAGTTCTTTATTTTGGGCTAAGGATGTAGCTTTGTGATAAGCATACTTGCCCACTATGTACAAGGCTCTGAATTTGATGCTCAGCACTGCTGGAAAAAAAAAAAAAAAAAAAGGGCAGGCAAAACCTGTATAAAACCCTGAATTTGTCTGGCTTTGAAATCTGTATAGCTAGCTTTTCCACTTCACCAGCAATATTGTAGATCATCGGAAAACCCAGCCTCTGATAAGTTCCTACATTGGGGGGAGACGGGGTGAGTTACTGGGGAGGCAGAACGTGAGGATCTCTGAGACATGAACCAAAATGACCTAAGAAGTAAAAGGTAACTTTGGCTTAGGGAGCCCAGGAAGTCTTCATGGATGGGCTGGTATTCGAATTGTCCTTGAAGGAGAGAGGGCGTTGTGGGCAGGGAGAGCCACCTGAGGCAAGCACAGGAACTGAGACCAGGAAGGTGGGCTTATGAAAGCTGTGTATGTAGGGATCCCAGGGCAGAGGTCCTATGGAGTGCATGACTGAAGGGCTTTCTGCTGGTAGTGGGTCAGTGCAAGATCATAGCGCTGGTGAGTAGAACGGGTTCCTTTTTCTTCCTGGTAAGTCGCTTAAGGACCAAAGAACGTCCTTTCTGCTTCACGTGGTAGGTCAGCAAGCATCCCGAATGTGTGACTCCGAGGTGGTACAGGCTGTAGAGGAGCCCCGCCAGACCGCCTTTTAACAGTGATGGGTCAGACTTTAAGGGATTGACACCATCCCTAACTTGTTATGAGAGGAACGGTGTTTTTAGGTGCTTAGAGCTCTGCTTAGATTGAAAACCACCAGGAGGAACAAGCACAGGTGACCTTACATGTGGCCTCACATGTGGCCTCACCCTGCCCTCCCCATTTGTTGCATTTCCTTCCCCGTATGGACTGTGTTGGTGACTCTTTCCAGGACGAATCTTTGGGAACACTGCCTAGTGTTTGTACTTAAATCACTCTCATACTCTAAGGAGTCCTTCCCTTCGGCCCTGCCCCTTTCCCTTTTAAGGGTTGTGTACATATTTCTTTGAACAGCCATCATCTCTCTGAGGCCAGTCTCCTGACTAATACTACATGGGGCTATGTTGGAAGGAGGCTTGCAAAGGCCAAAGAGATCACTTCAGTCTTTGTGCTTAGGACAGCTGCAGAAGAGGCTCTGGCCACAGGCACGGTAGCACATGTCTACTCCCAACCCAGGCGGGAGAGGCAGAATTTCAAGGTCAGCTTTGACTATATAGTAAGTTTGAGGCCAGCCTGGGCTACAAGAGACCCTGTCTTCATAAAAGAAGAGCTCATAAAGCTGGGTATAGGGTTGCACACCTTTAATCCCAGCACTTGGAAAGCAGAGGCAGGTGGATCTCTGAGTTCCAGGCTAGCCAGGGCTCGCATAGTGACACCCTGTCTCACAAACAAAAAAGTCATTCATAATGTCAATCTTAGTGATTACCACCAGTGAATTGGTCTGCGCGCTCTTGAGCTCATAGAGGAACTGTCTGCACAGCTCTGCCCCCCACTAGGCTGTGCTCCTATTGGATCTCTGAGCAAGGGCCTAGCATTCAGGTGCTGCACTGAGCCCTTGAAGTGGATCAGTTAAGGTGCTTGCCGAGCTCCCCTACCCCAGCTGTTCTTGACTCCAAAGCCTAATGTTTTGTTCTTTGGTTCCGGGCAGCAAAAGATGTGATTAAGGAGATTGAAGACTTTGCCGGTCTGGAGGCTTTGCGCTTAGAGGGTAACACAGTAGGTGTGGAAGCTGCCAGAGTCATCGCCAAGGCCTTGGAGAAGAAGTCAGAGTTGAAGGTAAGATTACCAGCAGAGCAGGCCTGAGCTGGTTGAAGACAAGCTTCCCCTTACATTGCCATGACCCTTACCTGGGTCTAGAACCTGCCAAGCCCTGTCCTGCTGGCCTGGGTTTAAAGTCATAGCAATACCGCCATGCACGTCTGCCTTCCACTGAAGGCTGGCTCCTGTAGCAGCCAGCGCTTGGATAACAACCAGCTTATGTGGCTACTACTGTTGCTACTTACAAATCATTTTCATTAAATTAGCTTTTTGAAGTAATTCAAGGCAGGCATCACTTCTCTAACTGGAAAGCTGTCTGGCTCTAAGCCCTAGCTCTGTTCTCCCTTTGTTAAAAGGCAAGAGGTGGCTGGGGAGGTAGTACATATCTGTAATCCGAGTATTTGGGATGTAGAAGGAGGATCAGAAGTTCATAGCCAGCCTCTGCTACGGAGTAAGTTTGAGGCCAGCCTGAGCTACATGAGACTCAAAAACAACAAAACAGAAAAGGCATGCCAAGCAAGCAGTGGAGGTGGGCAGCACCCATCAGCCCCAAACGAAGGTGGTCTCCTAGGAGGTGGCAGATGGCCGAAAAGAGGTATTTCTCCATGCTGAGTTCTCTGTTTACTTTGTTCCTCTGTCACCCAGAATCATGTCCCATGTCCTTCCAGAGGGTTGAACAGAGCAGAGATATTCCTTGAGCATGCAGCTTTCCTCCCCTGCCAGAAGCTTCCCTTAGAGGACACTTGGGCTCCCTGTCCCCCAAGCTGCAGTCAGAACTGGTCTAAAAATAAGAAATCCTGTAGTGCCCTGGGTGTGCAAGCCCTGTGGGTGAGGCACTGCTTGCTTACACAGAACTTCGATTCGGACCGCCTTGGGGTTTCTAGCCAGCTAACACATCCCTTCTTCCCATACAGCGATGCCACTGGAGCGACATGTTCACTGGGAGGCTTCGGTCTGAGATCCCACCAGCTCTGGTATGAAACAAGCCGTTCTACCCAACAGGCACAGGCACCCCATCAGCCACCCCCAGACATTCCCTCACACCTCTGTTATCTGGAGACTTAAGATCAGCCCCACAGGTGACTGAACTGCTAAAAGAATCCAGGCAAGCCTTGAAAGTGGAATGTGAAGGTGCCACAGGGCCAGGCCTCAGATGTGAGGAGGTGCTGCTTAGAGCCAGGAGCCCCAAGATCCCTGCTCTCACATCGCATTTCCCCTTCCATGACCACCTTTTCTCTCCTGACATCACTTTCCGGCACCCTGGGGACCTGCCTCCTCCTATGACCTCAGTCTGCATCCAGCCTCTGGTGACTTTCTCTAGCTCCTCCCTCCCTCCCTCTATACTGCTCCTTTGCTATGATACTCGCAGTGGCTTCTAGGTCCCAGTACCTGAGGCTTAGATTAGCTAGGGTCATGTTCCCAGCCTCTGAGTGCACATGTGCATGCATGCGTGCATGCATGTGTGTGAGTGTGTGTGTAGGGATATCACACAGAACAGAACTAGATTTGACTGGGCCTTAGGGAGGGTGCAGGGCTGGCAGTGAACCACACTAGGTCTGTCTTCCTAGCACAAGGCCTCAGGCCCTCAAGATGCAGGTGTTTGGGGTGCTGATTGTCAGGCTGGCTGCCTTGGTCCTACTGGGGCCTCAGACCTACATTATAGCAGTCAGCACTGGGGTTCCAGAGAAGCCTATGTACCACTCTCCCTTCAAGGAACTGCAGTCAGGGGAAGCTGGGTTATCTGGGGCAGTGGGCTCTAATGGTCCTAGAGATGGCCTCTATGTGGGGCTGTTCCCTCTGAGAGATGGTGGAGTTCCCAGCCTTAAGAGATAAAAACAGGACAGGTGAGGCTAGGATTCTGAATGCATGTCTTTGTTTATTGAGTGTAGGAAGACAGTAGAAACCTCCTCAGCCCTTTGGCATGGGCGAAGGTAAGATGTCTCCTCATTTTTTTTTTTTTTGTAAACATTAAAAAATTTTTTATTTTATGTGTCTGAGTATATTGCCTACATGTATGTGAGTGCACCCGTGTCATGCAACGCTGAGGAGGTCAGAAGAGGGCTTCGGATTCCCCTGGAACTGGAGTTAAGGACGGTTCATAGCCACCATGTGGGTGCTGAAAATCGAACCCAGGTCCTCTGCAAGAGCAGTCAGTGCTCTTAACCTCTGAGCCATCTCTCCAGCCCCATTCATCTCCTCTTGAATTGTTGCCACTATAGGCCGCCTGCCTCTCTTCCCCGCATCCCCATCTATGGCAGAGCCATATCTGATCATTTCTCCTGGGTTTGTGGTGGGGCACTGGAGGTATCTTCTCTCCCCGACCCCCACGTTTGCAGAGACTTTAGCATCCTCTTGCTCAGACAACCCTGAAACCTGGAAGCATTTGTGAGGCCTCTCTGCTGCACATCTAGCGCCAGATTCATTTCTTTCTATGAGAAGGCTCCTCTTCTCCCCATCACTTCCTGCCTCACTGGCAGCCCCATCTGGCTGTGTTTCTACCTCACTCTCAGGTGGGGATGTGGCTTCCAACGCCCCCCAACTCCTACTGGAGTCCTCTGGTTCCAGGGACACTCCTTTATCTGTCAGCTACCTCAAAACCTTTCTCTCAGGGTCATGGGCACAGCTCTTGGTCCAGGCTTCTTGCCTGCCTGACTCCTCGCCCACTCTTCATCCTTGCGCCTGCTTCTGCTGCTGGGAATCCTTTCATGTTGACTGGCTCACTCTCATCCACACTGAGTCCACTGCCGCCTCCTGCAGACCCTCCTCCCTCTAGGCCCTACTCACCATTGGAAAGGAGCTCTGTGTAGGGTTTCCAGTGTGGAAACAGAAACTCTGCTGTAAAAGCCTATGTCTGGTCCAGAAGTTGACTTGGGTAAAAGTGTTTGCCACACAAACCTCTTAACTGTAGTTCAGTCCAGAAATCCCTTGGTGGAAGGAGAGAACCAGTTCTTGAAAATTGTTCTCAGGCTTCCACATGCTTGCCATGGTACGTGTGCACATGTACTCATACACTCGCTTTTTTAAAAAAAAGCCAGTGTCTACCATGTCCCCACTGGCCTAGGTATGACCTGTGAGCAGGGCTGGGCCTGTCACAGCACAGACGTAGCATCTGGCAGGTGTCTAAGACTGACCTGAGCTCTTTCTGTTTCAGATCGCACTAGGAGAGGGACTCATCACTGCAGGGGCCCAGCTGGTGGAGCTGGACCTGAGTGACAATGCATTTGGGCCTGATGGCGTGCGAGGCTTTGAGGCCCTCCTCAAGAGCTCAGCCTGCTTCACCCTGCACGAACTCAAACTTAACAACTGCGGCATGGGCATTGGTGGTGGCAAGGTGAGTCAGCAGCTCAGATGGGCTTTGCGTCCACATCTGTCTGTATGTTCCAGCCCCACCATCTGGTGCTGTTACTTGTCACTTTTCAAAGGAGAAAGGCACTGCCACAAAAGCAGCAGCTAGTGGGGAAAGGAGTCCAGAGGATGAGGTTGCTAAGCAACCATTCCAAGTTCTTGAGTTGCCTTGGCAACACAGAGGCAGTACTGCTGCATAACCTGCTCTGACTGGCTTGCCGTGCAGAATTTGGGATTGGGATATCCTTATACTCTACCTGTTGTCACTCAGAACAGCTGAGGAAAGAGCTCAGAAAGAGAAATGTGCTTCTCATGGAGGCCAGTCGTGGACCTTTATTCTTGGATAGGGCCTTTCGGTGAGTCCCACTCCCAGGCTGCCGGCCAGGCTGGCCAGTGCAGAAGGGAGTTTGCTTCTTCCCAGAATGTGTACTGAGGGAGACTTGCTGTCTGTCCAGGCTCCATCAGACCCAGAGCTGAGACACAGAACCAGTTGTGTGTCTACATTCTGAGTACAGTAAGAAAGAGCTAGGGACATGGAACACTGATGGATTGGGGTGTCACATTCAGAGGTTGCTTGTGCTGTCCCATTTTCCCACTTAGGTTCAGAGAAGTAGGGTGAGTTGTTCACATGATGGTTTGGAAGGGGTATAGAATTTGAGCCTTCATCCACAGGTTCATTTTCTTTTTTTTTTTAGTCTTTTTGAGACAGGGTCTCCCTGTAGCCCTAGCTGTCCTGGAACTCACTGTGCAGACCAGGCTGGCCTTGAACTCACAGAGATCTACCTGCCTCTGCCTCCCAAGTGCTGGGATTAAAGGCGTGCACCACCATGCCCAGTGAGACCATTTTTGGGGGACATGGTCTCCCTATAGCCACAGCTGGCCTGGAACTCCCTATGGAGACCAGGCTGGCCTCCATCACACAGAGAGCTGCCTGTCTCTGCCTCCCAAATGCTGGGATTAAAGGTGTGTACCACACCCAATGAGACAGGCAGGGTCTTGTGTAGCCCAGTCTGGCTTCAGCCTCAATAATTGGCTGAACATGGCCTCGAACTTCAGTCTGCTACCACGTAAGTGCTGGGATCATAGAGAAGCACTGTGTTCATCTGTGGTGCTGGGAGTCAAAGCCAGGGCTTTGTGTGTGTTGGCAAGCTCTCCACAGTGGCATACACCCCTAGGAAAGAGCAGTTTATATCTTCTGTTGACATTTAGGTTGCTGGCATCATCCTTCTTGCACTTTGGGACTATTCTATTTATTTATTTATTTATTATTTATTTTTGGTCTTTTTGAGAAAGGGTCTCCCTGTAGCCCCAGCTGTCCTGGAACTCACTATGTAGACCAGGCTGGCCTTGAACTCACAAAGATCCGCCTGCCTCTCCCTCCCGAGTGCTGGGATCAAAGGCGTGTGCTACCACGCCCAGCTTATTTTTTTTATTTTTTATTTTATGTGCATGTGTGTATTGCTTGCACAAAGGTAATTGCACCCGTGTTGTTTAATGCCCGAGGAGGTCAGAAAATGTCATTGGATCCCCTAGAACTGGAGTTATGGACAGTTGTTAGCTGCCATGTCGGTGGTGGGATTTAAACCTGGGTCTTAAGCAAGAACATTCAGTGTTCTTAACCACGGAGCCATCTCTCCAGCCCTGGGGCTATTCTTAAGCAAAATAAAAATTACATGAACACAAATACTCTCAGATGGTGTGGGGCAACTAAGGTCCTGACAGGGAACTTCCTCAGATATGCAATATGGGAGAGAAGCTCCAGGGTTTGGGTTCTCGCCCATTGTTTGCCTGTTGCTCTGGAGGTCGAGGTGGGAGGATCATCAGCCAGCATGACATGGCAAGCCCATCTCAACATAAAAAATAGTAAGTTTCTGATGTGGTGGCACTTGGAAGTCTGAGGTAAGAGCAACATGAGTTTTGTTTGAAAAAAGTTTCTGACTCTCTTAGCCTGAGTTTCTTCCCCTGGAAGGTAGCAATCATGTTAGTCCCACCCAGCAGTGGCTGTAATGGTGTAGTACAGTAGCTAACTGCCTGCATTCGACTTAAAATCAATCTGTGGCATTCATCTCTCCACCTCCTCTCAGCAGACCTTAGTCTCCCTGCTACTAATCCCCTCTACTGGGTGTGACACGGCAGAAAGTACAAAACTGTAGAGTACTGGGCCCCTGTGAGGGTGACCATTGTGCATGAGCAGTGCCCTCTGATCTGAAACTGGTGGAGGTGTGGTACACTGAGGAGCCATTCAGAGGCAGGTGGGATCACCTGGCTGTGGCCTGCACACACCCCTTGCTTTTCCCCACAGATCCTGGCTGCAGCTCTAACTGAGTGTCACCGCAAGTCTAGTGCCCAAGGCAAGCCGCTGGCTCTGAAAGTCTTTGTGGCTGGCAGAAACCGCCTGGAGAATGATGGAGCCACTGCCTTGGCAGAAGCTTTTGGGGTAAGTCATTTCTTTTCAGCCTGCAGTGCCAGATACAGAAGTAGGTTGTAACAGGCTGACGCTCCTGAGTTCAGCTGAGAGGCCCGAGACAGGCCAGTTCCTGTCATCCATGTCTAGAGAGGTGCATAAGCCACCACCCCAGTGAATGTAGGAATTCCCTAAAATGCTTTTGGAGAAGTCTCGGGGCTTCAAGCCAGGCAGGTGGGGATGCCCTGGCAGTAAGACGTGGCCATGGCCACATAGCCCCTCGTGCCCAGGCAGAGATAGGCTGGAACACCTGAAGGGCCCGGGTGCCATTCACGGGACTCTTTATTTTTTTACAATTTTGTTTTTGTAAGTGTAGAGGTGGTTCTCTCCTTTACATGGGTTCCAGAGATCAAACTCAGATCTATAGGTTTATGCACCAAGAGTCTTTATCCACTAAGTCATCACTCTGGTCTTCACAACTCTCTTTACCAACCTTTTCCCCTCCTTGATGTCTCTTCCCTTATGTCCCCATGCCCAAGACACTGTTGGCCCCAGTGGTGTGTACTTGCTGTGGGGGCTAAATGTGTCTCCACAGGCATGGAGGCTTGGGTCTCTGTCCCCTTCTGGTCCCTGGCAAACAATATTTTACCAGTATTAGCCAAACTCAGGCCAGAGCAGCAACCACATTGGCAGGCTTCTTACAGTGCTTCGTCTGCTAGGCTGCTAGTAAGGACTCATCATCTATCCTTGCTGGGAGTGGCTGTTACAGAGAGCTGCTCGGGCTGGTGGAGAACTCCTTACTATCCTCAGACACACCCTTCCCCCAGCCTGCACAGCCAGTCCTCTGATTAGCTGTTTAGAATGTGGTCTTGATCTGTGGACCCTACCCCAATCTGTGGATAGAATTCAGGAAGTCTTTCAATAAAGAGAAAAATTATAAAGTTTGGGTAGTATGGCATTTAGGGGCTCTTATCATGTGTAGTTTCAAACCCACACATACCTTCTGGGTTTGTTTGTTTGGTGTGTGATCATGTGTGTGTTTGTGGAGGCCAGAGGACAACCTCAGGTGTCATCTTCAAGTTGTTATCCACCTCCTTTTGGACAGGGTCTCTGAGTGGCCTGGAGCTCTCTGATGAGGCTAGAGACTGACCAGTGAGCCCCTGGGATCCTTTTGTCTCTGTCTGTTTGGTGCTAGGATTCCAAGTACACACCACCAGGTCTGGCATTGCACATGGGTTCTGGGAATGGAACTCAGGTCCTCATGCTTGTAAGGCGAGCACTTTACTGACCGAGCCATTTTCAAGGCCTCCTTGTGAGTTTTGGGTGTTTGCTTTTTATGGTGCTGGGTTGAAAGCCAGGGTTCCACACTTACTGAACAAGTGCTGTACCTTCTTTTTGTGAAGTACTCAGCTCTGCCTGAAGATATGGGCCTCAGGGCTGGAGAGATGACTCAGCGGTTAAGAAAATTGGCTGCTCTTGCAGAGGACCTGAGTTCAGTTCCCAGACACCCACATGGCGGGTAATAACTGTAACTCCAGTTCTAGGTGAGCTGGCACCGTCTTCCGAACTTCTCAGGCATTGCACAACACAGGTACACTTAATCACATGCAGGCAATACACTCATACACATAACAGCTTGGGGCTAATGAGGTATAGCCAAGAACGTAGGCTTCATTGCTCCAGAAAGTGAAGACCGCAGTGATGAGGGAGGACTGATGCTCTGAGGGCACCAGCTTCCTGGTGAGTCGGGTCCAAGAAGTCTCCCCAGATGTGCTGGTCAGCTTTTAATCGTCAACTTGACACAGCCTAGAATACCTGGGAAGGGAGTCTTAAGGAGAAATTCATCTAGATAGGCTGGCCTGCGGGCATGTCCATTGGTTAGTGTCTTGATTATTAAGGGAGATGGGAAGACCCACCCTGAATGTGGCAGCAGCATTTTATGGGCTGGGCTCTGAAGAGTGCGTGAAGAAAGTGGGCTGAGCAGCAGCAGCAAGTGCAAGCAGGCAAGGGTGTGTTTGTTCTGTGCTGTGGCTGTAGATGGGACCTGACCAGCTGCTTCAGTTCCTCCTTCACTTCCTGAAGTAATGGACTGTAACTTGGAACTATAAGAAAAAAAATAACCCAACCAAAAAGCCCTTTCGTTCCTTCTTAAGTTGCTTTTGGTCAAGGCATTTTGTCACAGCCATGGAGATGAAACCAGAGATCCAGAGGTGGCATCCAAGAACACTGGGATGCATGAGAATAAGCCTGTCAAGAAAATACCAGTGGGACTGTGCTAACGGGAGCATGCCCAGGGCCCTGGGTTGGAGTCTCTGAAACAAACGAGGAAATAGCAAGAAGGCCGGGATGAAAGTGGGCCCGTGAGCTGAAGGCCTTGCTCACCCTCTAGAAAGGATGTGGACTGTCTGTGAGACTGCAGCAAGGACAGATGGCTCTCAGAAGGAAAGGCCCAGTAGAGCTGTACCATGTAAAGAATGGCTCTGACTCCTCACCAAAGCTTAGGGTCCCCACAATGCAGAGGAGGCCAAAACTAAGAAATCTACTTGAGAGCTGTGTATGCCTGAAGTCCCTCAGGCTCTCTGACCCCTAGTCTTCCTCTCTGGGTCAGAAGCAGCCATGTCTAAAAGCATACTCTGAGACCTTGGCCTGGAGCCCACAGACAGCCCCTGTCCAGCGCTTGTGGCAACACTTTGTCTTTTGTGCTCCTGCCCACCAGGGCTGCTGGCACCAGGACACACCTCAACTCTTTCCTGCCCCTGCAGATCATTGGGACTCTGGAGGAGGTCCACATGCCGCAGAATGGGATCAACCACCCTGGTGTCACGGCCCTGGCCCAGGCATTCGCCATCAATCCCTTGCTGCGGGTCATCAATCTGAATGACAACACCTTCACTGAGAAGGGCGCTGTGGCCATGGCTGAGGTGAGGCGGATGTGGCAGGTGCTACGTGGGGCTCAGGAGGCAGGGTCTAGCCTTTGCCTCATTGGCAAGCATTACTCTGCCCTCACCTCTCTACCCCTCCACGTCATGTACCCTACAGGCCTCAGCGTCACAGATGAGGGTTACATATTATGTGGTTCCTGTGTCTTTAGCTTGGAGTGTTCCTGCTACCTGCATGTGTGGCTTCTGGGCCCTCTGGCTGGTGCTGGTTTTGTTCAGGCAGCACAGGAAGCTGCTCTGGTCTTATCTGGTTCCTTGTTAATTCATTCAGCACTTACATGTTGAGCCCTTTGCCCATGCCCAGTTTGTGCCATGTGCAGGCTTGCCTGGGCAGGGTCCCCCTCTTGAGATCCTTGACAATGAGGGACGATTCCGCTGACAGGTTTGTGGAGACCTTGAGCACAGTGGCTGCCTGGAGTTGTTCCTTTGTGTCTCCAGTTCCAAAATAAAACTAGAGAGTTCCAGGTGGAACCACAGGGCTGCCTGTACTCACTTAAGGCTGGGTAATGACAGCCTTATAGAAAGGTGAGCAGGTGTTGCAAGCCTCAAATAGAGGCTCAGATTAGACTTGAGATTTGACAGGCCTCCTGCAGTAGCTTGGTTTCTGGCTAAGATTAGAAGATGGGTGGATTCTACTCACAGAGGACAGGGGTGGGTGTTTTGGGGAAAAGGACCGACAGTGGGAGGCCTACAGACTCAGGAGGGAGTCTTCCTGGATTAGTCCTGGTTTGCAATGACTGAGGTACAAGGAGAGAAGGAAGGGTTTTAGGGTGTTGTGATTTGATAAGGTTAGATTTGTGCTGCAGGGAACAAGCTGTCTGTAATATGGGGTGCAGTAGGGTGGTAGAGGTTTAGCCGGAGCCTCAGAGACAGATGAGGAGGTGGTGGCGAGGAGGTGATGAAAAGCTCTTGATTAGACGCAGAACAGAATGCAGAAGCTAGAGGTGTGATGACGACGTAGGTGTGGCATGCTCAGGCTTACTGAGCCCTTTATCACCGGGGACCCTTGCTTCCTCCTTGCAGACCCTGAAGACCTTGCGGCAGGTGGAGGTGATCAATTTCGGGGACTGCCTGGTGCGTTCCAAGGGGGCCATCGCCATTGCAGATGCTGTCCACGGAGGCCTGCCCAAGCTGAAGGTGCCGGCATTTCCCTCCACTGTCTATTTTGGGCCTAGGCTGCCCCATGCTTGGGGCTCCTGCCCCATGGGGTTTGGGGCATAGGAAGTCCGGTGTAACACAGGTGGGTTTGGCCAGGTCTCAGCCCTTTTCAGTTTTGTGATTTTCTTGTAAATGTGTCAAGTACTATTCATGGGGTGCAGGGCATTGTTTTTATTTTGGTGTTTTTCTTCCTACCCCATGCCCTGTCTGGTGGACTAAGCCTGCTTCCTTTCTTGCTCATGGGGAAACCCACATGCCTCTACCCCTTCCTCTGCCTTTAGGAGCTGAACCTGTCATTCTGTGAAATCAAGAGAGATGCTGCTCTAGTTGTGGCTGAGGCCGTGGCCGACAAGGCTGAGCTGGAGAAGCTGGACCTCAATGGTAGGCCGGCGGGTCAGCCTGTCAGATGATAGGCCGGCGGGTCACCCTCGGCCAGCTGGCCTCGGCACTGCCCTGCCCTTTCCTTCCCCAATCAGGCAACGCCCTGGGAGAAGAAGGCTGTGAGCAGCTTCAGGAGGTGCTAGATGGCTTCAATATGGCCAGAGTGCTGGCATCTCTCAGGTAGGGCGCTCTGGGCAGGTGGCAGGGGTCAGGCCTGCTCTTCGTTCTCCTTGTATTTCCAGAGTCTGTTGGTTTACCCCCAGCTGCCTGCCAGGCTCTGCTAGAAAAGGATGAGTGTTAAGGTTTCTGATTCCTAGTTCAGAACTCACAGGCAGAAAAATTAGGCTGCTGTGTGCTTAACAAAGGAACATGAGGAGCTAAGCAAGTTGGGGAGCCACTGATGAGCTGCTGTCAGATCTGATCAAAAGCAGCAAGTCTGGAGGACTGCAAGGCCTGCAGGTGACAGTGTGGAAGGCACTGGCATTGAGGAGATGGGCTCAGCTCTTCAGTGAATGACTGGAAAGAAAGGGAGATGTCTAGGGTGTGCTGAGCACGGGGAGGGTGGGCAGCCGTGGGGCACTGCCTCAGCACCATCTCTGCCTCATCTCCAGGTGGACCTCGTTCATGAGTTTTGGACACTCTGTCCTCAGGGATGCAGGTGTGGACTTAACTTCCTCAGGGTCCAGGAGAACTGGAACCACACCCTTCCCCCATGTTTTCCTCTAGTCAGTGAGATGTAGGTGGCACTGCCTTGGGTGTCCCAGCCTAGGCGAGTCCTGCCAGCCCCCTTTTTATCTGCTTTCATGTGAGTCCTGGGGCTCCTTGGGACAGGGACCATTTCTGGTTCTTCTGTGTTCAGAGTATGGGTGGTTTCCCTAGGGCTTGAAAATAAATGAAAGGCTCTTTGATGACCATGAGTGCTACCTGGGGAGCAGAGCAGTGCTCGTGCGCCTGGCTAGAGCCTGCAGGCTCAAAGAGCCAGGCCTCTGTCAGCATGGGTGCTGGGCTTTATCCAGCTCCTCTCTGCAGTGATGATGAGGGGGAAGATGATGAGGATGAGGACGAGGAGGAAGGAGAAGAGGAGGAGGAAGAGGAGGAGGAGGAGGAAGAGGAGGAGGAGGAGGAAGATGAAGAGGAAGAAGCACAGCAAGGGCAAGGAGAGGCATCAACTACACCCCCACGGAAGATTCTGGACCCTAACAGTGGGGTGAGTTTGTTGTCAGTTGTTGGGATCAGAGTCCTGGTCCCCTGAAATCTCGAACGATCCTCACTGGGAAATGTAGCCAACAAGGGCTTTGGATAGCATGTGCTCAGGAAACCTCTCCAGTATAGACTTCTGCCTATACTTGTATATATCCAGTGTAGATATGTTTGTTCTTAATATAAATTATAAAATGAAGCTGGGTGTGGTGGCACTCCCAGCACTCAGGAGGCAGAGGCAGGCGGATTTCTGTGAGAACAAGGCCAGCCTGGTCTATATATAGTGAATTCCAGGCCAGCTGGAGCTGCTGGGAAACCCTGTCTCAAAGACAAAAAAAGTAAAAATGATTATAGCATTCATAGCTATCATTTATACACATAAATTCAACAGTAAAGAATTAAGCATAGCTAGGCATGATGGTTCCTGTCTGTAACCCCAGCACTTGAGATAGTGAGGCAGGAGGATTACCATGAGTTCACAGGTTTGAGGTTACCCTGGGCTACATAGTGAGTTCAGGCCAGCCTGGACTACAGAGTGAGACATCCATCCTCAAAAGTCCTTCAGCCGGGTGTGGTGGTGCACGCCTGTACTCCCACCACTTGGGAGGCAGAGGCAAGCGGATCACTGTGAGTTTCAAGGCCAGCCTGGTCTCCATAGTGAGTTCCAGGACAGCTGGAACTACAGGGAGACCCTGTGTCAAAAAGACACACACACAAAAAAAAGTCCTCTGTTTAAAGATCACGGCAGGGACTGGCACAGACGCGGTGTCCTTGCCTGACAGCATCAGGACTGCCACACCACAGTGTTCCTTTGTGTCTCTGGTTCCAAAACAAAACTCCCAGAGAGTTCCAGGTGGCGACATGGGGCTGCCCACACTCACTTAGGGCTGGGTTTAACTGGTTGAAGTGTAACCCAGGTTACACTCTGGTTCCTGGTGGAATCACTTTAGACCCCAGCTACTTCTCTTTTCAGTCACTCCCTGGCATGGCAAAGACCCTGAGGTGGTGGCCTGTCCCCCCAGTGGTTTCAGGACCAGAAGCCTGCTGGGGTCAGCACCTGTGGGAGCCTGTCCTTTGGGGACCTGCTGCTGAGTCAGAGAAATCATTCTAGACCTAGACACTAGTACTGCTGCAGTTAGGAGGGTGTTCTTGTGTGGGAACAGGCACCACCAGGTGGAGGAACCTGGGGTTTGGAATCTACAGAGCCCGTGTTGCCTGTTTCTCAGGAGCCAGCTCCCGTGCTGTCCTCCCCGCCTCCCACAGACTTCTCCACCTTCCTGTCATTCCCCTCCCCAGAGAAGCTGCTGCGCCTTGGACCCAAGGTCTCTGTCCTGATAGTCCAGCAGGTAAGGACACTTCCAGCTCCAGCCTGTACATGCCTCCCATTCCAGGTTGCCAGAGGAGGGGGATAGAGGACACAGGGAGGGGACTCTGTCACCTGGGTTCTGACCTCTCACTCCCCTTAAGTACAAATATGTTAAGGCGCAGAATAGTCAGTCTTCAGTAGGAATCCCCCTGGGAACCTGCTTGGCCGTCTATAAGGGTCCCTGCCATATCACAGTGAAAACTGGAGTTAGGGATTTTCTCAAGATCCACAATGCATATTCCATGGGCTCTGCCTGTGTAGCTGCTTCTAGAGCAAATCCTTCTCCCAGGGCTTCTGTGGAGTTCAGCCATTCTCCCATGATGGTTGATGGTGGCTTCATACATTCAGGGATGGTGATCGAGATTGGCACTGATTTGTTTCGTTTTCTTTTGACACAGGTTTCCCTGTAGTCCCAGCTGGTCTGAAACTCCATATATATACCAGGTTGACCTTGATCTTCTAGAGATCCAACTGCCTCTGCCCCCTTCGTGCACCACCGTGCTCAGCTGTGTATTTTGAGCATGATGTTGAGATAGCATCTCCCTGTGTCTCCATCTAGCCTGGAACTCACTGTGTAGATCAGATGTCCTTCAACTTACAGAGCTTTACCTGCCCCCACCTCCCAAGTGCTGGGTCTGAAGCTGTGTGCCACCACACCTGGCCTTGAGCATGGTTTTATTTAACCTTTTTGACAACCTGAAATGAAGGCCATGTTGCTCTTTTTAAAAAATTTTTTTAATATTTTTTATTTTTTTGTCTTTTTGAGACAGGGTCTCCCTGTAGTCCCTGCTGACCTGAACTCACTATGTAGACCAGGCTGGCCTTGAACTCAACAGGATCCACCTGCCTCTGCCTCCCTAGTGCTGGGATTAAAGGCATATACCACCATGCCTGGCAAATTTTTTAAATTTTATGTGTATACGTGTATTGCCTGCACATAGGTAAGTGCACCCATGTCGTGCAATGCCCACGGAGGTCAGAAGAGGCTGTTGGATCCCCTGGGACTGGAGTTACGGACAGTTGTTAGCTGCTATGTGGGTGCTGGGATTCGAACCCAGGTTTTCTGCAAGAACAACCAGTGTTCTTAACTACGGAGCCATCTCTCCAGCCCCCTTATTTTAGATGTATGAGTGTGTTGCCTGCATGTATGTAGGTTCCCCCATGTCATGCAATGCCCTTGGAGGCCAGAAGAGGGCGTTGGATCCCTTGGAACTGGAGTTATGGACGGTTGTTTAGCCACCATGTGGGTGTTGGGAACAGAACCCGGGTACTCTCCCAGAGCAGTGCTCTTAACTGCTGAGCCAACTCCAGCCCCTTGCTCTTATTTATCACTTTTTTTTTGTTATTTTGAGACATAGTTCTCCCTGTAGCCCCAGCTGTCCTGGAACTCACTATGTAGACCAGGCTGGCCTTGAACCCACAAAGATCCACCTGCCTCTTCCTCCCAAGTGCCGGGATCAAAGGCGTGTGCTTCCACGCCCGGCAAGTATCCTGTTTTAGGATTTGTGTCTGTGTAGTGGGGTTGGGGTTGAAGTTAGAAGGCAGTTTGCAGGAGTCAGCTCTCTTCTTGCACCATGTAGGTTCCAAAGATTGGACTGAGGCCATCCGGCTGGTGACAGTGCCCTTATCCACTGAGCCATCTTTGCTGGTCCTATTCTTATAGATGAGAACATTGAAGCTTAGTAGACATCAGCCAAAATGATTTCCCGTTTTATCTGTAGTCTATTTTCATGATAAATTATATTGTAAACTTTTTTTTTTGTCTTTTTGAGACAGGGTCAGCTGTCTTTAATCCCAGCTGTCGTGGAACTCACTATGTAGACCAGGCTGGCCTTGAACTCACAGAGATCCACCCCCCTCTGCCTCCTCTGCTGGGATTAAAGGCGTGTGCCACCACGCCCAGCTCTGTAAACTTCTTTACTTTCATTTCATACTGTTCTGCATTTTCCTGGCTCAGTAGAACTCATGAGCTTCTATTCCAGAGAGAGGCGCTCACACTTGAAAACGAGGCACTGTTTCTGGAATTAACATTTTTCCCCATCTCTCCCTTGTTAGTCAAGTAGAAGCGAGCCTTTCTATGAGTAAAGATGGCTGCCTCTAGCAGGTTTCTCACGTTAGATTACATAACGACACTGGCTGGGCCTGGGGACAGTGACCTTTGTCCCACTCATTCACTCTGCATACATGCTGTGGGCCAGGCTTGAGGGGACAGTCTGGGGCAAGTCAGGACCAGTCCTTGCCCACCCACCAGAGTCCTACATGTTGCCAGGTCCTCTTCTAGCTAATCTCTACCAAGAGCCATGTGGCTTTGGCCTGTGACTAGCCATTGTCTTTTGTTCACAGACTGACACCTCTGACCCTGAAAAGGTCGTCTCGGCCTTCCTGAAGGTGGCATCTGTGTTCAGGGACGAAGCCTTGGTGAGGACAGCAGTGCTGGATGCCATAGGTAATGAAGCCTGGTGGGGGCTGGCGACCTGGATGCTTTCACTGTATTCTGCGTCTTAAGAAGCAGACCTTTCCTAAAGTGCATGGTTATATGTAGTTAGAACTTGGGCCAGGCAGGATGTGATCCTGCCTATCTGGAAAGGCCCTGTGTACATGTCCTGTCAGGTAAGGACTGAGCTTTTGTGCCTATGCAAGGGCCTGTTCACATGCAGTGCCCCCTCCCCCAACTTGGAGGTCACCAATGAAGGACATTTTCATCTTCCTTTGTGAGGCTTCTCAGACTCTTCATCTTCCCCAGGCCTTGCCTTGACCCTGTCCCTGCCCAAGTTTCAGTTCCCTCCAGTTCAGTCCTGTCACCTTCTGCCTTGTCACATCTGTTTGCGCCACCAGGCGTGGGCCAGATGTGGCTAGGCAGAGGAGAGACGAAGGCCTAGGGAGGGCAGAGTTCATGGGAAGAGGGAAGAGTAGAGACACGAGGTTCTAAATGGGTGTACCGAGGCTGTGTTGCTCTGTGGTGGGGGCCCCAGTGGGAGTGAGGCTGGAGAGAAGGTGAGGACGGGTGGGGGCTCCATAGCTACGCCCATCTGTAGACATTTGTGGAAATAAGCCCTAAATTCTTCTGTATAGTCCCATCAGTTTGTCACCTTAAATCTGAAACTTCTAGGGATCCCTTGGGCTGTCCCCACTGTGCTAGGGGGACACTACACCCATTTTATAAGGAAGGTGTTAGAGCTGGGAAACTGGGCTTTGTTGCCATCTGCCTCCCAGTCTACTTCCTGTCCCTGTCCTGTCCACCTCTTGAGAGGGCAAGGAGTCAGGGCTCTGCCTGTGTGTGGGAGGGGCTCCCTGGCTTGTGCCTAGCCCTCTCCTGCCACTGCATTTCTGCCCCTGCAGATGCCCTCATGAAGAAGGCCTTCAGCTCCTCATCCTTCAACTCCAACACCTTCCTCACCAGGCTGCTCATCCACATGGGTCTGCTCAAGGTGAGGCTGTAAGAAGTGGGGCCTAGGAAGGACACAGTCCCTGCAGTCTGGGTCTCCTTCACACCAATGTCTCAGGTGTAGGGTTTTCAACAGCCTGGGTGGTGTGGATCAGGGTCCCCCAGGTGACCTTGGCGCTCACTCACCTTTATTCTGTTGCTTTGCAGAGTGAAGACAAGATCAAGGCTATTCCCAGCCTATATGGACCTCTGATGGTGCTGAATCATGTGGTGCAGCAGGACTACTTCCCCAAGGCCCTGGCACCCTTGTTGCTAGCATTTGTGACCAAGTGAGTGATGTGGGTTGTTTTTTTTGTTTTGTTTTTTTTTGAGACAGGGTCTCCTTGTAGCCCCAGCTGGCTGGACTTGCTATGTAGATATGAGAGTATGACACAAAAATGCCCCCCAAGCCCCAGTTGGGAAGACCACCTTTCTGGACGTGGGGTTACCTAATTGAGCTGTCTTCTCCACAGGCCCAATGGCGCCCTGGAATCCTGCTCCTTTGCCCGCCACAATCTGCTGCAGACACTGTACAAGGTCTAGGGTCAAAGCTTCCACTTGTCCCTCAGCCTGCACCAGTGCCTCGGGGGACTTGAATGAACTGAGCTCCAGCAACATCCCTCTTGGATAGGACTCTGACCAGAGGCAGGGAGAATATTTGTCTCATGTGTCGTACTGGTCCCGATTATGTGTGTTGGTGTGGTATTTATGTAGGTGTGTGCTCCCTGTCAGGATTTCAGGTTCTCAGCTCTCCCTGCTGGACTGGCAGTGGTCCACTGTGGAGTGCTGGTGCCAGGGGAAAGGGCTGAAAGCTGCTTTGCTATTAAATAACTCACTGCCATCTGGGCTATAGGACTTGATGGCTGGTCCAACCCACCTTGCCTTCCTGCTCCACTCCTGGGCTTCAGCAAAGCCTGGGAAGTTGCTCTCAGTGTCCTCTCAGCCCGCCCTCCCTCCAGCTGTCTCTGCACTGTTCATGCCTGCTGTGCCGGACACTTGGTCTAAGGAACAGAGACTGTCAGGTGGGGCTGTGAGGCTATCAGAGGGTGAAACTCTGGTCCTAACCCATGTGGCCCAGAAGAGCAATCAGGGTGCCACTCCAGATAGTCTGGGAGTAGGAGTTGCCTGGGCTGTCCTGGCTCCTAGGGCATCTTGGCAGGCCTAGACCTGTTCTTCAGCCTTGGGAGGGAAGGGCAAGTCCCCAATTCCTACGCTGTGTGTGGGCTGCTCTTTAAGGATTTTCTGGGGCAGGAACGAGTAGTGGGGATTGGGTTGGGCAAGAAACGCCCTGTGACTTCCCTTAGTGGCTATGTGACTTTCCCTGTGTGTGTGTCTGGGCTGTGCCTGGGAGCTTCATCAATAAAAATCGTCTGTGGTAGCACAGAGCCCCAGAGGCTTTTTTTTATATAAAGTAGGACACCTGGGGGTCAGGAGGTTGCTCAGTGGGTAAGACTGCTTGAATGAGCACAAGGACCTAAGTTAAGGTCCCCAGCCACCGTCCATGTAAAAAGCCGAGCATGGCTGCATGCACATATGTGCACAAACACATATTTAACATACACAAAGTGGGACATTTGAGGGGCTTGGCCCTGCATCACCTCTGAGCAGGCTGCTCCTCTCTGCCCACCCCCCTCAGGGTGGAACAGGCTTGGCAGAGAGATCTCCCTCTGGGCCACTGTACTAAGCTGGGTCCACTTTTACCTGCCTGCACCTCCATGCAGTGAGGACGTCCTCTTGTAGCCCATTGTGCATACAGTGGGCAGTGAAGACAGAACCCTTCAAGTGTTAGGGATGTACTTAAACTGAACCTTGAGGTTCAGGTAGGATGCTGGTGGGGTAGTATGTGACAGAAGCTGGGCTGAGGAGGAGCCTGTCTAAAGTTCTCTAGCCTGGCTAACCTTCCTTTAGGCCACCTGGGGCTGACTTGCATTCTCTCCTGGGTTAATGTGTATAGAGCTTTACCTCAGAGAACTGCAGATTCCATTTTGCCTTACCACAGGCCATCAGTGGGTGGCTCTGGTCAGAAGTTGAGGCTTCTAGGCCAGCTGTGGTGGCACAGCATTCTGGCGGCCAGAGGCAGGTGGACCTCTTAAGTTCCAGGCCAGCTGGGACTACAGGAAGATCCTGTCTCAAAAAAAAGCTGTTAGAACTGCTGATCATAGGGTTATCCTTCATCGGCAGTTTCACCTCTGGCTGTATACCCAACAGAAATAAAAGCAGAGATAGAGACGGATCTATGAACCAGTATTTGTAGTGTTAGTCCCAATAGAGTTATAGTCAAGAGATAGGAACCACCCAGTGCCCATCAGAATGAACTGAGCAAAATGTGGTATATCCACACAAGGAAAGATGGGCCATAAGAAGGAATGAAATTCTGATGATTCCCCTGTACTTAAGAGTAGACAAATCCATACAGACAGAAAGCAGGACAGATTAGCAGGGGCTTGGGGGAGGAGGGATCATCTAGACAGTTTGGAGCAATTTTTTCTTACATTCCGGAAGTATATGTTGGTGGGTGCATAGCATTGTGGATGTCCATAATGCCATTGTACACTCAGCATGTTTAAAATGATGTTTTGGCCAGGTGTGGTGGCACACTCCTTTAGTCCCAGCTATCAGGAGGCAGAGGCAGGTGGAGGGAACCTAGGGATTGCTGACCCACAGGTTAGCTCCTTATAGTCCTTCCCTCCTGGCAGTCCAAGGACTCAGGCTTGGGCCATGTTCCTGAGCCTGTGCTAGACAGGCGGCCTGTAACTCCAGCTGCTGCTCCCACCCCTGCCCACAGCCCAGGGAAGCCCCATCTTGGCCCTGATGCTGACAATGCCTCCCATTCAGCCCTGTCCCTGCTGCCAGGCCTGTGGGCTAAGGAGGGGGGCTCCTACCCACATCCAGGCAGGGACCGTTGCTAGTCTTTTCCCTTGTGCTGTGCCTCCAGACAGGGCTGTCAGTTCAAGTCGGCATGGAGGGGTGAGTTTTGGGGCCCTGAGGGTGCAAGGGAACTATAGATAAGCTGGGTGGATGCAGTCAAAGCCTTGCTCTGGGCCTCAGAGAGGCTGGCTACAGAAGCCTTGGAACCTTCCTGAGCCTGAGCCACTCCAGAGCTCTCCCAGAGGTAGGTCCTAAAGAAGAAACAGGAATGTCGCTGCCCTGGTGCACTCCTGTGGGTTAGTCCTTTGGGGCCTTGTGAAGAGGGATCACTGGCAGTTCTCTGTGCCCTGGACCTTCATCCTTTCAGGGATGTGCCTGATGGGCCCCCTTCCTACCACAGATGCTAGAGAAGGCCACCAGCTCCAAGACAGGAGCGTACTCTGGAACTTGGAAACAAAGGCAGTGATACTACTGGGAGCAGTAGTAGGGGAAGGCCTTGTGGTGGGGGGATCGGCCAGGCACTAGGGAAGACAGCTTGGAGGTCCTGTGTCACCCAAGCTGACAGGAGGAAGATGAGGTGATGTGGGCAGCAAGGAGGGAGCTCTGGGCCTGTGTGATGAGGCCACAGCCATTCCAGGCCTTTGCACAGAGAGTGAGCAGATTCTGCTGGAGACATCCAGAGTCAGGACTTTGCTAAAGGCCATATCTAGATACTAGAAAGTTTCCAATGAGTGTCAGGATCCCATCTGTATTCTGGAAAATTCCCTTTGGCTGCTGGATGGAGTGGAAGGGAATCCAGGGGGAACCACTGTGGCACCAACCATCCCCTAATAAGAGATGGGCAGTAGGTACAGTTGTGGAGGGATCCAGTGGAGGGAGGGACAAGTGGGTAGATAGATGGATAGGGTGGATGGATGGTGGGTGGGTCAATGAAGGAGTGCACAGGTAAGATACATGTCCAAAGCATTGTCTGAAACCCATGCCCTCAGTTCCCCTATCCCAGTCCAGGTAAGCCAGGTGGTACCAAGGTGACAAAGACAGGAAATAAACCCAGAGGACAGCAGAGGCCTGTATTGCCTACTTCCCATGACAGTGTCTTTTCAGGGACCTTAGGCCCCCACAACATCTAGTCCCCCCAGGCTCCCCTAAGCCCTGGGCTGGGCCTGGGGCCATCCCTCCTCCTGCCAAACTCTTCTCAAACCCAGAGCCATTCCCACATTCAGTTGGTCCTCACAGAGCCACTGGGCCGAGACAGGACTTCTCAGGTGGTTTTCTGCATCTTGGTTTCCTCCGTGATAATAGAAGCAGCCCAAATGGCTTGAGGGAAGAGGTTCAAGACACTGCGCTCTTCTGGGCCCAAAGGATGAAGGCTTGGAGTTTAGAGGCGGGAGCTGTGCTGTAGCTGGGGCTCAGTTGAGAGGCAGTGCTGCGGTTCCTGCACAGCCAGCCAGCCCTCCCTCCTCCCTCTCCCAGGCCCCAGGGCTCCACACACATCCTCTTCATGCTACTGCTGCTGCTGCTGCTGTTGTTGGCAATGGGTCCAGCCTGGCATGCAGCTGCCCAGCGTTGCCCACAGACCTGCATCTGTGACAACTCCAGACGGCATGTTGCCTGCCTGTACCAGAACCTCACTGAGGTGCCTGACAACATCCCTGAGGTCAGAAGGGTGGGAATATTGGCATGGGTTGGCAGTGGGGCAAGAGGGCCTGGGTGGCAGTACCTTGAGCTTGGCACCAATGGTTCTGCCACTGTCCTATTGGCAAGTTACTGCTCCTTGAGCCTCGGTATTCACATCTCCAAAATGGGAAGAAAATAACAGTTGGGTGTGGTGGCACAGGGCTTTAATCCCAGCACCTGGGAGGCAGAGGCAGGTAGATCTCCATGAGATTGAGGCCAGTCTGGTCTACATATAGTGAGTTCCAGACCAACTGGGGCTACATAGTGAGATCCTATCTCAAGAACAAAAACCAAACAAAACCAACAGGAATACAGTCTATTTAAAATCTCTCCACTGATTGAGATGAACTAGGTGACCTATAAGATAAATACTGAGCTCATTACAGACCCTGGAGTGGGGACCCGGAAATGTGGCAGGATGGGATGCTTTCCCTGCTCCAAGCAGTTAAGGGAGACAGAAAGCCAATCACAGTGAATGCAAAGACCTCAGTGAGGGATGCTCAGTGACTGGAGAGGCTTCCTGGACCAGCAGGGTGAGAGGCCCCAGATGTGAGGGTACAAAGGCTGTTACAGGTAAGGGAGGAGAGACCTGAGTCCCTCTTCAGCTCAGCCTCTTTCCTCTCCCACCTCCAGCTGACCCAGAGGCTGGATCTCCAGGGCAATATGCTGAAGATGATTCCTCCGGCCGCCTTCCAGGACCTGCCTCACCTCACCCATCTGGACCTGCGGGACTGTCAAGTAGAGCTGGTGGCCGAGGGCGCCTTCCGCGGCCTGGGCCGCCTGCTCCTCCTCAACCTGGCCTCCAACCGCCTGAGCACGCTGCCCCAGGAGGCGCTGGACGGTCTGGGCTCGCTCCGGCGGTTGGAGCTGGAAGGGAACCTACTGGAGGAGCTGCGGCCCGGGACCTTCGGGGCTCTGGGCGCGCTGGCCACCCTGAACTTGGCTCACAACGCCTTGGTCTACCTGCCCGCCATGGCCTTCCAAGGGCTGCTGCGCACCCGCTGGCTGCAGCTGTCGCACAACGCACTCAGCGTGCTGGCACCCGAGGCCCTGGCCGGCCTGCCCGCCCTGCGCCGCCTCAGCCTGCAGCACAACGAGCTGCAGGCCCTGCCGGGGGCTGCCGTGTCCCAGGCCCGGGGCTTAGTGCGTCTGGAGCTGGGCCACAACCCGCTCACCTACACCGGCGAGGAGGACGGGCTGGCGCTGCCTGGCTTGCGCGAGCTGGCGCTGGACCACGCGGCCTTGCAGGCTCTGGGGCCCCGGGCCTTCGCGCACTGCCCCCGCCTGCATAGCCTGGACCTCCGCGGGAACCAGTTAGCCAGCCTGCCCCCGCTGCAGGGCCCGGGTCAGCTGCGCCGCCTGCGGTTGCACGGCAACCCGCTGTGGTGCTCCTGCCACGCTCGGCCGCTGCTTGAGTGGCTGGTGCGCGCGCGGGTGCACTCGGACGGCGCGTGCAGGGGGCCGCGGCGGCTGCGGGGCGAGGCGCTGGATGCCCTGCGGCCCTCTGACTTGCGCTGCCCCGGAGACGCGGCGGCGGAGGACGAGGAGGAGCGCGCGCCTGCCGTATTGCGGACCCCTCCGCGCCCCCCGGCGGAGCAGGAGGCGGCGGCTACGCCCTGCCCTTCCACCTGTGCCTGCGTCTCCGCCACCCGGCACAGCAGCTGCGAGGGCCGCGGCCTGCAGGCGGTGCCCCGCGGCTTCCCCAACGACACCCAGTTGCTGGACCTGCGGCGGAATCACTTCGCGTCGGTGCCCCGCGCCGCCTTCCCTGGCCTGGGTCAGCTGGTGTCGCTGCACCTGCAGCACTGCAGCATCGCTGAGCTGGAGCCGGGCGCCCTGGCTGGCCTGCCGCGCCTGCTCTATCTCTACCTCTCCGACAACCAGCTGTCAGGCCTCAGCGCGGCGGCCCTAGAAGGAGCCCCCAACCTTGGCTACCTGTACCTGGAGCACAACCGCTTCCTGCGGGTCCCGGGGGCTGCGCTGCGCGCCCTGCCCAGCCTCTTCTCTCTCCACCTTCAGGACAATGCGGTGGAGCGCCTGGCGCCTGGGGACCTGGAGGGAGCGCGGGCTTTGCGCTGGCTCTACCTGAGTGGCAACCGCATCGCCCAGGTGTCCCCCGGAGCGCTGGGGCCAGCTCGGGAACTGGAAAAGCTGTACCTTGATCGGAACCAGCTGCGACAGGTGCCGACTGGCGCCTTGGAGGGGCTGCCCGGCCTCCTGGAGCTGCAACTCTCAGGGAACCCGCTCAGGGCTCTGCAAGATGGGGCCTTCCAGCCTATGGGCCGGTCGCTGCAGCACCTCTTCCTGAATAGCAGTGGCCTGGAGCAGGTGGGCGTTAGGTGCGGTGCAGAGAGGAAGCACAAGGCCTCGGAAGGAATGCATTCCCTCAGCAAGTGGTGCAGGCTGGGCATGGGAACCCTGAAATAAACCAGACATTTTCGCCGCGGCCCTTAGTGAGTTCAGGTGTGGGCCTCGGGCCAGTTGGAATCCAGGGTTCTGCAACTAGAGGACTGTTCATGGGCATGAGGAATCTGGGTCTGAGCTGAGCTGCCACTGAGAGCCCCTAAGAGGCTTTGCTGTTAGAAGGGTGGGATTCAGGCATAACTGAAAGAATCTGGACACTGGATGACTTGGATGTGAGCTCAGCCTGGGTTTTAACCACAACACTGCCCTTCCTGCCTGGGCCACCTTGGGCTTTCCAGCTCTCTGCCAGGATAGAGCTCCTCCCTCTGAGACCGGGGCATACCACTTGGCAGGAGCTCACAGCAGGGCCTGATGCTTCCTTGCAGATTTCCCCCAGGGCCTTCTTAGGCCTGGGGCCGGCGCTCCAGAGCCTGCACCTGCAGAAGAACCAACTTCCATCTCTGCCTGCCTTGGCCAGTCTCAGCCGGCTGGAGCTCATCGACCTCAGCGGTAATCCCTTCCACTGTGACTGCCAGCTGCTCCCCCTGCACAGGTAGTCACCCCTCCCAGGACCTCCAGCCAGAGGTGTACTAGCTGCTGGCAGTCAAGTCCACATATTTCCCTGGAGGTACCTTGGCTCTGCACCACTGAGCAGCTTAGCTGGGCTGAGCAGGTCCTTCATAGGCAAACATGAATGAGCCCTTACCAGGTCATTACTATTCCTGGATACCCAGGGTAGACTAAGCTTTGATTCCTTTGAATCCATAAAGTGGGGACCTAATAAATACACAATGTAGCACAGGTGATAGAGTGAGACCATGTTTCAACAATAATAGATTAATGCTGGATGAGGTGGTGCACACCTTTAATCCTAGCACCTGGGAAGCAGAAGCAGGTGGATCTCTGTGAGTTCTAGGCCAACCTGGTCTACAAGTGGACTTCAAGAAGACCCTGGCTCAAAAAGACAAAAAAAAACAAAACAAAACTGGAAGTCAAGCAAAGCAGATTTTTCCAAGTAAGCTACATAACCTCTCTCTGCCCATTGTGAAAAGGATAAGATCAGTCCAATCCACTTCATTGTGCCTGCTGGAAAATTATATTAGTTAACAGATATAAACTGATGTGATGGTCTGGTGCTTGGTAAGCCCTCTCTGTTACTATTTTTATCCTCTTTTATCTAGAAGGGATCTGAGACTTAAAGTGATTTGGAGATCACCTACTAGTGAGCCACCAAAGGAGGATTCTCAGTAGAGCCTGCTCCTCTGTTTACTGCCTCAATGTTCTTGACCCTACCCCCCTCTTCTCACATTCCTCTGGAAAACTCTCATCTACTTGTCTCCACAGTGGGCTCGCCAAGCTCTCTTTCCTCCTCAGGTGGCTCACTGGGCTGAACCTGCGGGTGGGGGCCACCTGTGCCACCCCTCCCAGTGCCCGTGGCCAGAAGGTGAAAGCTGCTGCTGCTATCTTTGAAGCCTGCCCAGGCTGGACTGTCAGAAAGGCCAAGCAGACACCAGCCTCCAGGAGAAGACAGCGAGGAGCAGACAAGGTTGGCATTTGTGTGGGAGGGCTGGGTCCCAAAGCCACTGAGATGAGGGAGCCGTGACCTTTCTTGGTCTGGGTTTGTGATTCGAGAGCTGGGAAATGACCCATGATCCTGTTGCATGGCTCCATAATGCCACTTTCTTTACTTGCTAAGAAAGTGACTATGTGCATTTCCATCCCATGGGATAGTGGCTTTTCCTCTCTTAGAAGCCACAGCACACCCATCCCAGTGCATCCTAAAAATTAGTCCTGTTTGTGCTGGACCCTGTTGACCTCACCCTTTCCCTCACAGGCCTAGCTCTCCCAGGGGAAGAGAAAGGAAGCGACTTGACATGACATTCACTGTCTAGACCCAGATAGAGCTGTCATTCATGGCAAAATCTTGTGACTATCAGAGAAGGGTGGCAGCATATGGACTGCTGTGGGGTGAGCCCCCTGTATGTGAGGGAAAGCCAAGTGTGGAGTCCTAGTGAGAAGAGACCAAGGCCTTAGAGATGTGAGAACAGAGAGAGCAGGTACTGGGAAGGTAGGACAAGGCTCTGCTTCCCTCTAATTTGAGGCAATTAGTGTTTATTTTAGTTCCCTGGGGGTTGCCATGAGAAAGTAACAGAAACTGCCTAGAAAAATAAAACTTCTGGAGGTTTGAAGTTGGAAATCAAGGTGTTGGCAGAGTCACAAGTCCTCTGGAACTTGGAGTGGAGGGAAGCCCATCTTACTGCTTCTGGATACTGGTGGCCTGTGGCATTCTCTGTGGTCCCAGTGTGCCTCTCTCTTAGTGTGCTATGCAGTGTCTCCTCAGACCATCTTCCCTCAGTGCGCAAGGTTCCACTTTAAGGATAGCAGTCCAACCTAAACCTAATGACATCATTTTAATTTTATTACCTCTATGAAGACCTTATTTCCAAAAGGTGAGATTCTGGGTTATGGGGAACTCAAGACCCCATATATATCTTCTGGGAAAACAATTTAACCCATAACTGTTCCTAAGTTGGGAAAAAGTAATTTCTATAAAGACCCCAAGTTGAGGGGGTTGGAGAAATGGCTTAGTGGTTAAGAACACTGGTTGTTCTTGCAGAAGACCCGGGTTTGAATCCTAGCACCCACATGGCAGCTAACAACTGTCCTTAACTCCAGTTCCAGGGGATCCGATGGCCTCTTCTGTCCTCTGCAGGCATTGCACGACAGGGGTGCACTCACCTACATGTAGGCATAACACTCATACACATAAAATAAAAATAACAAAAAAAAATAAAATACTTTCAAAGACCCCAAGTTGAGGCTGGGGAGATGGCTCAGTGGGTAAAAGCATTTGCCACACAAGCATAAGGACCCGAGTTTAAATTCCTGGAACCCACATAAAAACCAGACATACAACATGAGCATCTGTAATCCCAACATTTGTAAAGGGAGGTGGGAAGCCAAGACAGAATCCTGGGGAAGCTGGCCAGCTAGCTTAGTGCTCAAAGCAAGCAACAAAAAAAGAGGCCCTGGTAGTGGAGCAATGGCTTAGGGGTTAAGAGCACTGGTTGCTCTTGCAGAGGGCCTGAGTTTTTAATTTTTGTTTTGTTTTTGAAATTTCCAGCACCTACACAGCAGCTAACAACTGGAACTCCAGTTCCAGGGGATTCCTACACCCTCTTCTGGCCTCTGAGGGCATTGCATGCACAGGGTGCACATATATACATGTAAGAACACTCATGCATATAAAATAAAAATTTTGGTGGGGCGTGGTGGTGCACGCCTTTAATCCCAGCACTTGGGAGGCAGAGGCAGGCGGATCTTTGTGAGTTCGAGGCCAGTCTGGGCTACATAGTGAGTTCCAGGCCAGCTGGGGCTACAGGGAGATCCTGTCTCAAAAAGGCAAAAAAAAAAAAAAATTTTTTTTAAAAGACACTTTGAGGGGCTGGAGAGATGGCTCAGAGGTTAAGAACACTGTTCTTGCAGAGGGGATCCAACAGCCTCTTTAGTCCTCCACGGACATTGCACGACCCGGGTGCTCTTACCTACATGCAGGCAATACACTCATACACATAAAATAAGAATAATAAATAAAAAAAAGACACTTTGAACAAGGTGGAAGGCAAAGACTGGGTCCTGAGGTTGTCCTCTGACTTCTACACGATTTGTGGCATGTGCTCACCCACATTCACACACACACACACACACACACACACACACACACACACAAAGACCTCAAGCTGCAGGTTAGCAAGTTCTGCCTTAGAAGCCAGACCTGAAGCTAGCTCTAGGGACAGTGGCCAAAGCACACAGTGAATGAACACTCACTGATGTCACCCTTCTTCCAGGTCCACACTAGTCAACAGTCCCAGTGTTCCCCCATGTCAATGGTCACATTAAAGTAGCCTACAACTTCAGTGCTGCACTAGGTGGAAAGTTTCCATGTTAGGAATTGGTCAACAAGATCTGAGTATGGTGGCACACATTTGTAATCCTAACACTTGGGAGGTGGAGGCAGGAGAGTTTGAGGTCAGCTTGGGCTACATGAGACCTTGTCTCCAAAAACATCAAAAAGGATCAAATAGCCTGAGAGGTCCCCACACTCTTCCCCAAGTCACCATTCCCCGCCCTCCCCCGCCTTTTTTTTTTTCAAAAAATTTGTGTATATGTGTGTGGTTGCACATGCCATGGTGTGAATGTGGAGGTCTGAGTCAGTTCTCGCCACCTTCCATGTGGATTCCAGAAATCAAACTCAGGTCCTCAGGCTTGGTGGCAAGCACCTCTACCCACTGGACCATCTGGCCAGCCCACACCACCATATGTTTTCTAGGTATGTAAGTGCTGACTGCAGGTTGACTCTTCAGAGTTTGCACTCCTGTGTCCAGGTCATCATCCACATGCCCCAAAGCTGATGTAGGGAGAAGCTCCAGGGCTGTTACTAGCACAGTGCCTCACAGAAGGCAGAAGGCTGGACCACACCTGCTATACCCTTGCACTTTTCAGGGAGGCCCATCAAGCTTGGTGTCTGTTACATGGAAAATGCCCAGTACTGGTGAAGGGTGTCCAGTACCGGTGATGACAGGGCAGAGCAACCTGAAATCAGCCCCATTGCTGTCATTTCCCCTGCTTACCACCCCTTCCTTTTTCCTCTGTAAAATGAAGCCAGTATGTGCCTCACAAGAGTACTCAAAAAAATAAGCTATCTAAAACATGGAGGCCTGGCATAGGAGGCTCTCCTTCCCTCAGAGGGTCTAGGTTGGATCTCCAAAAATCCTGAGTGGTGCAGGGCAGCCTCCGGAAGTGCTGAGACTTGGTCTAATCCATAGCAACAGTCATGGCAAAGCTTCAGATGGAGGAAGTGGGGAGTGTGGATGGCTTAGAATAATTCCAGCCAGCAAATCAAGTGCTGAGATTTCAAGATCTTTAGTTCCTACCCAAGTCCAAGTTCACTCTGAGCCTTGGTTAAAAAAAAAAATACAAGAGGTCAAATTTCCATCTGTCAAAAATTACTGGCCTCAGCCAGGTGTGGTGGTGCACACTTGTAGTCCCAGCACTTGGGAGGCAGAGGCAGGCCTGTGAGTTCCAGGACAGCTGGGGCTACAGGGAGACCTTGCTTCAAAAAGATAAAAAAAAACACAAAAAAAACTGGCCTCATTCATGTCTATAATCCCATCACTCCAAAAACCAAGGCAGGATTATGAGTTCAAGGTCAACCTGGGCTACATAGTGAGAACTTGTCTCAAAAACCCCCCCCCAAAACCCCCATAAATTTGATCCATAGGCTCCAGCAACACAGGTTATATGCACTTTCTCCACTAACACTAACGTCCCACCCTTGTGCCAAGCTGGAACTAGGGACAGGTAAGCCCCAGGCTCTCCTTGGAAAACTGAGGGGGCATCAAAGAACATACATTGTTATAGAGACAGGCATTTGAGGTGATGCCAGGGGCATTCTTTATTGCTCTGCCCTTTGTGGGTAACTGGGTCACACATGCTGAAACAGCATGTCAGAATACAGTGTGCAGCTGACAAGTAGAACTCTAGCAAGTGCTGTCTCAGACAGGATGAGGAATCTGGGAGGCTAGGCTAGGGCTGGAATGACAGCAAACATGTGCTCCAGCTCTGCTGTCCTTTGTTATGGGGTCCAGTGTTAAGGCACCTATAGGCACGGCTTCTTCATTCAGGAGGAAAAAGTGAAATGGCATATAAGCCTTCTGTCAGAAGGATCCTTAACTGCTATGGAAGCTGAGATAAAGTCTCTTTAGCTGGGCTGGGCACAGGGAGCAAAGCTGATGTGTACAGGCCATCTTCCTCCCAGTGTCCTGTTCTGGGGACTAAGGCCGACTCACCATCACATCTTTTTTTTCCCCTTAAGATTTTAAAATTATAGCCAGGTGTGGTGGCACACACCTTTAATCCCAGCACTCCGGAGGCAGGGGTGGGCTGATCTCAGCCTGGTCTATATAGTGAATTCCAGGCCAGCTGGGGCTACAGGGGAACCCTTTCTAAAAAAAAAAAAAAAAAAAAAAAAAAAAAAAAAAGATTCAAAAATTGTGTATTTGTGTGTGCCTGCACACATGAAGGCCAGAGACATCTGATCCCCTTGCAGCTTAAAGTGATAGGTGGCAGGTGAACTTGTCCTCTGCAAGAGCAGTATGTGCTAACTGCTGAGCCACCTCTCCAGGCCCACACCACCTCTTCTCAGAGCATGGGATGGGGAACCACAGCTCTCTGAACTAAAACCTGCCTCACTGCTGTGGTCTTAACTTCCAAATCTGTTTACCCTTTGAGGAAATCAGGCTGTGCCAGAGGCTACCTTCTGGCCCTTGGTTCTGCACAGGGTGGGGGCTGCCTGGCGTCTTTAGCAGAGGAGAAAAACCAAGTTCTCTCTGACCAGCTCAGAGATACCTACACCCAGTCTGTGATGACTGGTCACTCACATCCAATCTCAGGGATGAACCCCACCTGGTTCCTGAGCAAAGCTAGTTAGCACATCTCAGCACAGCTGCAGTCGTTAAGACCAGGGACCCACTGGCCATACTGCCTCTCCAGAACAAGGTAGAATGGAAAGAGCCAACTGCAGCTTCTTCCTCCTGGGTGCTAGGATGTTGGAGAGACAGATGACTAGTTTCAGGAGTATCTAACAGGGAAAAACAAAAGCTGAAACGAGTAAATATCAGGTGAACTTCTAGAGTCTAGTTTTAGAGTAGGGAGAATCAAAATAAGGTGTGATGGCACACACCTTTAATCCCAGCATGTGGGAGACAGAGGCAGGCATATCTCTTGAGTTCAAAGCCAGCCTGGTCTATATATTAATTTCCAGGCCAGCCAGGACAGGGCTACATCATAGTGAGACCTTGTCTTTAAATAGAGGGGCTGGAGAAATGGCTCAGCAGTTAAGAGCACTGGCTGCTCTCTCAGAGGATTCAAGTTTGAATCCCAGCACCCACATGGCGACTAACCGTCTATAACTCCAGTTCTAGGGGATCTGATGCCCTCTTCTGTCCTCAGAGGGCACTACACAACACAGGTACACTTCCATACACAAAGGCAGTACACTCATAAAATGAAAAAAAAAAAGCCAGGTTTGGGGGGGAGCACACCTTTAATCCCTGCACTAGGGAAGCAGAAGTAGGTGGATCTCTGTGAGATCAAGGCCAGCCTGGTCTATATAGCTAGTCACAGGCCAGCTGGGGCTACTGAGAGATCCCATCTCAACCTCCCACCCCAACAATGGAAATCTAAAGGAAGCTAGCCAACTGTGCATCTATTAGACCCATTCTTCCCACTGGGGGAAAGCTGAGGACTCCTCGCTAGGGCCTTCTCAGCAAGGCTGGCCACACCCTGGGTCAAGGTCATACCTGCCCTAGGCAGGGGAATGAAACATTAGAACCAATCCATGCTAGGCTCCAGAGCAGGTTGGACTCAGGTAGGGGCCCCCATGGTGCATGGGCCAAGCTACTTTTGGACCCTGTACCCACCCTGGCAGCAAGTAGCCTTGTCTCCCCCCAATATAAGTCCTCTTGGGGGCATAGGCCCCTGTAAGTCTCCCCCACTGTTCCAGCAAGGCCACCTTGTAAGTCACCCACCTGCCACAGTGGGGTCCCTAGGGCACTAGGAGGTGCAATGTGCCCACACAGGAGGCATGAGCCCTTCTGCTTGGTCTCACCACCCAGTGTCAGCCAGGGGACCGTCCTGCTCACAGCTGCTCCAGAATTTTATTCCCAACACCTGCTTAGGCAGACACACAAAACAGACTCAGTTTTCCAGTGCAACAGGAACAGCACCTACCCATGCCAAGGGTGGTGGTTGTGGAAAGACAGGGCAAGTGCACTAGCTTCGGAACTCAGGTTGCAGTTTGGGCCTCAGGCAATCCCAGTCACAGACCTGGGTAGGTCCTAGACCAGGCTGCTCCTCCACTGCAAAGTCCTATCAGGAGGATTTATGTGAAAGCACTGTCTTCAAACTGTGGTGGTGGTGGTGTTGGGGCATAGTGTAGCAGTAAAGAAGCCAGGCTCCTCCTCTGCTCCATGATCAGGTCTGGCTGCAGTTAGGGCCAGGCCAGTGCCCAGGGAAGGCTCAGTTCTCCCTCTCCTGCTTGATGTTCTCGATGGGGACCGGCAGCTGTGGCCCTGGTGACTTGTCAGGTGAGGTGAGGTCCTGATGCTCTTCCTTGACACACACAGCAATAACTAGGGGGAGGCACGGAGGAGAGAATGAGTGTGGGGAGGCACAATGAAGACAGCTGAGTCGCTTTCCTTCAGAAGGAGCCTTCAGGGGTGGCAGGGCGCCCAGATGACTACCTTTGCTCACTCTCCGAGAGGCTTCAACAGAGAAGGCCCAAGACCCCAGGTATTTGTGGCCAAGCCTGATGACCTGGGCTTGATCCCTAGACCCACATGGTAGAAAGGGGACTGATTCTTGGAAGTTGTCTGACCTCCACACATGTGCTATGGCACAAGCTCCCTCACCCCAAGCCCAATATAAAATGTGTGAGAGAAGGCTGCAGGCATACTGCAGCCAGGAAGGCTGTAACAGAGGCCTAGCACTGCCAGTCCACCACCTGCCCTACCGAGCACATGTGATAGGACAGAAGTGCAGAAGAGAGGGCGAGAGAGAGCCAGGAGACCTGGCTGCAGAGGGACTCCGCTTGGTTCAGAGTTGGGTGGGGGTGCTTAGCGGGTTTTCCAGACCCAGTGGTTCAAGAACTTGGTCCCTGGAACCTTCCCTTCAGACTTGACTCTACTCTTCTGTGCCCAGGTGGAGAGAGAGAAAGGTGGCGTCTGAGAATGGAGCAGGCTGGCCCTGCCTCAGCCCAGCCCAGCCCAGCAGCTTACTCTCATCAGAAACCAGCTCCGATGAGACACCCAAAGCCTGCAGGTCATCCTCCAGCAAGGGCTTCTTGGACCCCTGTCTGAGGGGCCGGGTCTTGGCTGGTGGGATTCTTTTCCCTGTGAATAAAAACAGAGTCAAACAGTGTTAGCGCTGGATCTACTCGAAACCTGCCAGGCTAGGTCCCATGCATACATGGCCAGGCAGTATGCCGGGGACAGTGAACCTGGACTCCAATTCTGAAAGCCCCTTGTCAGCAGGTGCCTGAGGCTGGAGCAGTTATGACTCAGCGTTCTTTTCCAATGTTTGGTTTAACCTGTAATGCTCCTAGTCTCTACTGTTTGAAGCAGCAAAGCCTCCATCCAGATTCTTCCTCCCACAATCTTACAAGCTGTTATTCTTGCCAGGGACATGGTCCCTGCTGTGGCTCTGTCCCATGTCAGAACACCCTCTTCCCTGCATGGTGGCCCTGTTGCAAAGACCTCCTGACCTTCTTGGGCCTTCAGCTGAGGATGGAGTCATTACCTGTCTTCTTGCAGCCCCCTGAGCTGAGCCCTCCCTGGGCTCCAGATCTGCTGAGGGTAGAGTCTATCACCCTAGCAACAACAGCCTGTGCTATGTTCCAGGAGGGTGTGAGGGAAGAGCTGAATTAGAAGCCAGTGTCCGTTTCTCTCTGTGCCTTTCTCAGAAGGCAGCCACAGGTGGCTCAGTCATCCAGCCACAGGGATGGGATTCCCTGTCTCTCTCAATTCTCAGCCCAGACTCAATTCCTTTCTTGTGTTCTAGATCCCCTAAGACAGAGGGTCCCCATGAAGCCAAAGTTCCAGGGAGAAGCAAGGAGGGGCCTATGAGGCAGGCACAGCCCAGGAGCTGGAGCTGCTTTGGGGTTTCACTCACTCTTCTTCCCGAACTGTTTCTTTTTCTTCTTTGTGGACTCTTTGGCCTTCAGAGGTGTGGTTGGTTCTAATGTTTGAAAGGTAAGAACAAAAGAGATGAGAACAGAGTTCTAGAAGGGCACAGGGTACCCTTGGCCCTCACATATAGGGCACCCCAAGGAGGGAAGCCAGAGTTGGACACTGAGAACAGGATTGGGTGGGGGAGAGGCAGGAGAACAGCTGTCCCGTCCTCCCCCCTTGTCACCAACCAGGGCTGCTCAAGGGGACTGGGTGGTTTACCTGGGTGCATAAGGGCCCAGGCATAGGACAGAGTGGGCAAGATGAAGGAAGGCGCTCTGCAGGCCAGAGGGAGAGGGAGACAGAGAGGTCAGGAGCGGGGTGAGAGGCAGGGTGCACTCTGCTTAGAGCAGCCTGGAGACTTCTCAATCTCACACCAGAGGACTGAGCTGGGCATGGGGAGGAGCAGTTGGCAGGAAGGAAAAAGGCAGGCGAGAAATCAAGAGTTCCTCAGAGCTGCGAGGGCCCCGACCCGACCTGCGGCCACAGGTGGCTGTAGCTGGTAGCCGGTGAGTTCGCACCAGCCGACGGGGTAGATGTCTGGGGATTCGCAGTCCACCCACTGGTCGTACTCGCTGTCCCAGCCATCAAAATGGATGCTGAGGAGCCGGTGCACCACCCGCTTCACTGTGGCCACACAGATGAGCCGGGGCTCCATCAGGTCCACGGCCTCCAGCTTCATGCCCACCTTGAAGCCATGGTTGGGGCAATCCTGGTTGAGGCAAGAAGGCAGTTGCCCAGCTGGCCAGTTCCAGGACCCAGCAGGTTCACCCAGGTTCGGGGAGGGGCAAAACTAGGAGTGAGAAAGGGGCTGGCACCAGAGGGGTCATTGCTTCCTTTGGATAGCAGCCCTCCTGAGCTTTTTCCCAAGTCTCCTCTGAGAGGGGACTACACCACAGGCTAGGAGGGGCTGACCCCAGCAGCAGAGCCTCGAGAAGGCTGGAATATGACCACTGCTGTCAGGACAGAACCAGCCCCAAGGAGCAAAGATCCTTAGCTCCAAGCTGGAGGACTCTCACCATGTTAAAGAGCCTCGATGGGGCTACTTTCGACTTGGTCTTCTCCAAATAGGTCTCCCAGTCAAAAGGCCGTGTCTCGTACCCTGGAGGAGAAAATTTACATGTGGAGGGAGAAAGGAAACAGCAGAAGTAGGTCAGGGGGCAGCCCTGCAGCTACATCAGATCAGATCCAGCCTGGAGTCCCCATAGCTACCTACCTACCCACCCCTGTCCTGCTTCAGGACCACAGCCTTGCCGCGCAGGTTGTTTACTGCCCTAAGACACAGGCAGCAGCTTTGCTCCCCAACAGTAGGGCTGGGTCAACCCAGGGTACAAAAGCTAGTGGTGTCTGTGCTGACCCTCATGTCTCCCACACCGAGGCTCCGCACCTCAGGGGTCTGGGATTGTGCGCACCTCAGGGGTCTGGGATTGTGCTGACCCTCATCTCTCCCGCACCGAGGCTCCGCACCTCAGGGGTCTGGGATTGTGCTGACCCTCATCTCTCCCACACTGAGGCTCCACACCTCAGTGGTTTGGGATTGTGCTGACCCTCATCTCTCTCACACCGAGGCTCTGCACCTCAGGGGTCTGGGCTTCTGGTCTCACCCTACAAGGTCTTACCTTTTGGGGGTGTGAGCTCAATGTCATTCTTTTGGCAGAAGGTGGCTGGGAAGATGGCGTGGGAGGAGGCATGGTAACAGAACCAATCTGCGCCATCTGTGGAGGGGCCGCCATCCACACAGATCATCAGGTAACCATCCAAGAGAACCTAGGGGAGGGGCCGGTGAGATGGCTCAGCAGGTAAGAGCACTTGCCATCAGGCATAATCTGAATTCAATCCCCAGGACCCACATGGTGGAAGGAGAGAAACAAGTTCAGCAAACTCTCCTCTGACTTCCAGGTGCGCACGTGCACACACACACACACATGCGCGTGTGTGTACATGTCTAGGGGAAGGTATAGATAGGGAAACACACCACTGTATCATCAACTATAGCTTATAGCTCCTCCAGAGTAAGGTGGCTATGATGGGAATATAAGGCAGATAGATTCAATTGGTTGGTTGAGTTCCACATTCCTCAAGAACACCACAAGGTGCTCTACAGAGCACCAGAACTTGGGAGTGTACACCTGGGAGATAATGTATCCTCTCCACTGGATGGCCATCACCATGCCAACTAGGACTACATCTGTCTTGTTGCCATTGGGCGCTCAGTGGGGGGCATGTGGCCGGGCATGGAGCAGTATCCTCCAGCAAGGCCTTGGCGTGGTTTGCTCCTCAGGCCGCACCTATGGCAGATGTTAGGAGCAAGGAGCGGGTTGAGGCTTTGGACATGCAAAGGAGACATGGCATGAGGTGTGGCAGGAGGCCTCAGTGAGGGGACAGTATGGAACCTGCATTTGACACGGGACCAGGCTTAGGTGTTCAGTCTCAAGCCCTGAAATGCAGGCAGGGTCTAAGCAAGGCACAGGAATAGTCTCCCTCCCCCACAGAAGCCAGGTACAACAGGAATTGCCAGTGTCAGGTACCAAGAGCCCAACAGGAGAGCAAAGCTCTGCACCATGTGTCACCTCAGAAAGCCATGCTGGAGGTGGGAAGGTTGGCTCAGGCTTACCTTGCATATGGTTGCCACACAGATATTGCCCAGATTCAAGGGATCAATGGCCTCTAGCTTCATTCCCTCCTCGAACCAGCCACCTTCTGTGTAGACAGCTCGTACCTTAAAGGAATGAGGCAGGGAATTCTGGGCAGGCTCACGAGAAAGAGGGGCAAATAGGCCTCAAATGCTGTAGGCCTGGGAAGGAAGTGGAGGGACAGGGACAGTTCCACTGAGTGTGGTGGTGCAGGCCTATAATCTCAACACTCGGGCTGGGCTGTGGAAGAGGACAACCCAAGAAGCAAGCTTGGGCTGCACAGTGAGATCCTGCCTCAAATCTAGTCCCTCCAGAAAGGCACCACACATTTTGAGAAACGCAGAACACATCTTTTAAAAAAAAAGGGGGGGGGGGTCAAGGAACAGTCCTGAAGAGAAGCCAGGTTCCTCCAGCCCACCATGGGTTATGGCCAAGAGAAAAGAAGCCCACAGGCTGGGCCTCACCTTCTTGAACAGGTAAGGAACAGCGTCACAGTAGATTTTCCGGACGGTGGGATTATGACCTGAGTCACTTCGCTTCTCTTGAGATGGCAGGGGAGGGAAGGAGAGAAGGGAGTGCAGTTAGGTTAGGGCCTTTGCCACACTTTCCTCAGAAGTGTGGGGCAAGGCTGCCTTTCCTCTTGGCTGTGCCCCAGCTTCCCATCCTAGATGAGAAAGCAGACAGGGCTAGCCCAGGAGATTCTGGGAGCTGTGTATGAGGACCATTCAGGCCCTGGGGGCATTGAGCCAGGAGCACTGGAGGTAAATCTTGACTATGCTGTTTACATGTTGAGCTGAGTGACCTCAGTTAAGTCACTTGGCCTGTGAACTCAGTACTGTCATTTGCAGAGTGGTGATGGTATGCTCTACCCTGCTGCACTGCTATGAGGTACGGGGAAGGTGCTTTCACTACCCCCTGGGGAAGCAATTTGGAGTCAGACCAGTCAGGGGCTTGCTAACCTGGCATCTTGATGCCATGGCCGACACGTCGTGACCAACCCACTGGGTGGATGAGGGGACTCCACATGTGGCACCAGAAGTCGTCATCACTGTCACCATCCTCATAGAGGAGCCGAAGGCGACCCCCAATTACCGTGTCCACCACGGCCATGCGGGTCCGTGACACTTGGGACTTGTCCACAACCTCCAGGCGCATGCCCTGCCGGAAGGGGTACTTCATGCTTTCCACCATCTGCAACGACAACAGGACACAGGCCTGCTTTGGCTGGCAGGCTCTGGCCTTGCTGCTCCATATGTCAGCAGGGAACAAGGAAGCTAGACTCTCCAGACACAAAGTTAGGAGGCAGAGGGTGAGCACAGAGGGCAGGCACACAGCTTTCACAGGGTTTGCCACGTCTCACCAGAGCCAGTTAGTCACAGGATGAGAATCTTGGAATCCAATTCAGACCAGGGAAACTCAGGCAACCAAGAAAGGTCGGGTGACGTTGTCCACCACCATAGACTTAGTTCCAGGGCTGGTCCTGGGCCCTGCTTTCCAGCCTGGGCTTTCCATAGGCTCTGCACTCTGGGCACCTCACACTCCCTCTATTTCCTGGCCCTTTGTGAATGGCATATGCAAGATTTGAGTCCAGCAGGTGTTGGTGGTACATGCCTATAATCCTAGCACATAGGAGACTGAGGGTTACCTGTGCTCATAGCAAGTCCAAGGCCAACCTAGGCTATGTGCAGAGACTTTTGTTCAAAAAAAAAGGAAACAAAGCCCCTCAACAGCAATCCATGCCTTCTGAGCCAGGGACAGGGACTAAGATGTTCATGAACGCCTGCCCTGGTGGTGGGGCTTGAGTGAGGGTGTAGCAGGGAAGAGTGGGAAACAGAGTATAGGGCTCTTCCAGCTTCAGGGTACACCTGGCTCAGGGAGCGGAGCCTCAGCCCTGGCCTGGTGATGATGCCAAGGGCTACTTCTAACGCCAGGAGAGGGAGATCTCAGAGGTTACAAAGCAGCCAACAGGCAGAGCTATCCTAACCAGACAGACTTGCAGCTCCAAAGCCCAAAGGTTGGAATACATCCTGCCACCAACTACAGGTAGAGAGTGACACAGTGCAGGAGGCCTGCAGTCTTGGCCACTTATTCCACCTGGCCTTTTGGGACACATTCCTTTCTAGGTCCTTATATGTTTAGGATAACAGAGGAGAGCTGAAGCTAGGGTGGACTGATGGATTTCTACATTCTCAGTGCACAGCACAGGACTAGACACAGTTAGTGCAGTTTCTCATATGAATGAGTGAATACATACGTGCATACACACCTCACTGGGGCGAAGTGTACCAGCTGTGATGGTAGGTACATGCCTGTAATCTCAGGACTCCAGAGGTAGAGGCAGAAGGATTAGAAGTTCAAGGCTAGGCATGCAAAATGACTCAGGAGGTAAAGGCTCTTGCTGTCAAATTTGATGACCTGAGGTCATCCCCAGGACCCACGTGACAGATGGACGAATGAGAGAACTGATCCCCACAAGCTGTCCTCAGATCTCCATCCATGCCACATGCACTGTGGTACAAGCTCTCCTTCCCCCAAATAAATGTAATACAAAAAGAAAAGTTCAAGCTGGGCATGGTGGTGCATGCCTTCAGCCCCAGCACTAGGGAGGCAGAGGCAGGTGGATCTCTGTGAGTTTGAGGCCAGCCTGGTCTACATAGCAAGTTCCACATCAACTGCGGCTACAGGAGACCCTCTCTCAAAAAGACCAAAACCAATCAACCAAATAAAATCCTCAAAACAAAAAAAACCCCAAACTCGAACATGGAGTTGAAGAGATGTTTCAGTGTAAGAGCACTGGCTGCTGAATTCGGGTTCTGACACCCTCTTCTGGCCTCTACAGGCACTGCATGACACAGGTGCACTTACATACAGCAGGCAATACACTAATACACATAAAACAAAAAAAAAACAAAACAACCACAAACACGCTATACACTTCCTATACTATGGGCAGCAAACACTGGTGCTTTCTGCACAAACCCATTCAGTCTTCCCTACCCTCATTTCAGAGCTTCTTCGATACCCACCCCATCTGCTCTCACAGCACTTTCTCTTTCTTTCCTGGTCATCTTGTCAACCAGGAGCAGGAACAGTATCTTTCTGCCTGTTTGTCCTGAGTGCAAAGCAGGATGAGGCAGGGAGCAGTCCGTGCAGGCTTGTGGACTTGTCCACATGAATGCTGTTCTTATAAATTTAAACAAAACAGAGGCCACCCTGCTACCCCTAGTGGTCGACACCACAAACTATCATCTATTTGCCTCATCCTAAGACAAGGACTGGCTGACTAAGAAAGTGACCAGTTGCCTCCAATCACTTACTGTTAATTTCACAAGGCACCACAGGGAAAACAGGAGACCAAGCTTCGCTTTGTTGAAGAATATGGAAAACAGCAAAAGATAACAGAGACATATAGCAAAGGAGAGGAAGCCAGCACGTTCTGACAAGGGAAGAGCCTCCACTTTCAAACAAGCCAGGGGATTCTTATTTGCGGTGCACTGACCACTCCTTAGGAAGGGTCTCTCCTCCACTTGCTTTTTAAAAGCCCACGATGCACAGCTGTTCCATCTGGTGTTCAGCAGCTTGGCCTGTGATGGCCCCCAGTTTCCACCCTATCTTTATTTTCCAAAGTTGGCTTCTATACTGTCCACGCCCTGACCATTAAGGCGTAATTCAAAAGCTACTTTTTCTAGGAAGCCTGTTTGATGCCTGCTCTTAGAGACCACATGGCCAGGTCAACTGAGGGTCCTGGGTCTTGGCAGCAATTGGCCTATACTTCCTGCACCCTGCTGTGAAGCCTATGTGGTGGGGGAAGGGGAGACTCATGGGGATACCAGCATAAGCACCGGACCCAGGAGACCGATTCTAGGGGAGGGCCCACAATGAGAGGCCTGCAGAGGTGGGAGAGTCTTTCTGTAGACCCTCTGATAATTTTGATTGGTTAGTATGTACACACATGCCTTAAGTTAAAGAACTAAGTAGCTTTCTAAGTTAAAGTTAAATGCCAGTAGGTAATTATGAGTCACAGCCCTGGTTCAGAATGGAGGCTGTCTCATCATTGCATCATTACTGGTGTGCAAGATTTTCTTTTCTGCCAGGTCAGAGATTCTAGGATGGCAGTCTATTCTTTGTAAGCCCATGGTGTCCTCCTTTTTTCTTTTCTTTTTTTTTTGAGACAGGGTTTCACTATAGCACTGACTGGCCTGAATCTTGCTATGTAGACCAGGCTGGCTTTGAACTTGAGAGAGATCTGCCTGCTTCTGCCTCCCAAGTGCTGGGATTAAAGGCATGCAACACCATGCCCAGCCCACAGCACCCTCTTTTATAAGCACAGAATAGTTCTGAGTGAACATTCCTGAAACTGCTAGAACCAAGGGCAAGAATCTGGAGAACAAAAACATGATCCACGTGGCAGACTAGGGTCTAGCAGGGAGGCAGGTGGCCACCACCCTGAGGCAATATCAGACTGTTCAGAAGAAATGCTGGAGTTGCTGAAGATCAAACAAGGGGTCTTAGAAAAGTACTGCAAGTCAGGGCTGAAAGCATCACTTAGTGCCTAGTACGTAGGAAGTCCTGGGTTCCATCCCTAGAACCACAAAAACAAAAACAAACCCCTGCAACAAATCACAAGAAGGACAGAAAAATGGGAAAGGGAGGGAAGGGTGGCGCTGAGCTAGGAGTGTCCAAGAGCTCTTGCAGACCTTGATGTGGAAATCTGCAGGAAGTGTCCTGGAGCCCACCAACCTCTTCATGAGGTAGCTCTTCCAGTCGGTAAACTTGGCATGGATGGCTGTGGAGACACCAGAAGAAGCCGGTTATACAGACTCACAACACCTTCAACCAACCCAGAGGTTGAAGGAGTGGACTGAAGAATTTATTTCTGCCACTTTAGGCCAGTGATGACTTCATCTTACAAAGCCAGGCTCTATAACTGAGAACTGCCCAGAGGCTTCTAGAACAGGAGAGAAGGGAGCAAGCGGGTAAGTGGGTTCTAAGACAGAAGGCTCCCCTTCTACCAAGGGCCGGACAGGAACTAGGACAGGAAGAAGTTCTCAACTCACTCCGTGGAGGCACCAGGATCTTGCTGTTGATGGCACACCAGCCAATCGGGTGGACATCCACAGTTCCCAGGTTGCACCAGAAGTCATGACTGGCATCATTTTCAAAGCCTTCATAGCGGAGCAGCACCCGATACCCTGAAAGGAATGACAAGGAGCCCCATGAGGAGGGTGGGATGGGAAAGTCTGTTCTCAGCCTTCCCTCTTCTCTAGCCTCTTCCATCCTATTTCCTGTTCCAGGAAGTCCTTCAAGTGGGTGAGCTTCCTAATGTACATACAAAACAAATCTATGCTGCTTATTTAGAAAACATTCTGACATGGTGATAAGATTTTCTACACCTTCATCATCTCTGGAATAAACCACAGTTTGCAAAATTTCCCAGTTCTGTGAAGGAAAGAAAGTCCATTGGTTGAAGTTTTGATTTATGAAATCGATTTCCCCCTATGACTCTGTAGACACATTCTAAACTCTGCCCTGGACAGAGAAACACCTACCAGCTGCCTGGATGACAGAGGCGATCCAGTACACCCGGCTGGGAAGCACAGCATCACTGTTGAGGACTTCTACCTTCATCCCCTTCATGACATCTTCCCATTGGTCATAGAGGGGTACCTGTGTGGTGCCGAGAGCATTTAAGAGGGTGAGGAGGAGTGGCCTCAGGCCTGCCTTCATGTCCTCTGCACCTCAACTTCTCATATCATATGCAGGAAACTAGGGGTAGAGAGGTAAACAAAGCATGAACTGCCCAGAAACAGGCTGGAAGGTGGCAGTGGGCAGAGGACCAAGGACACAGATATGAGCTTTCATCGTTACAGGGCATCACCTAACCATTTCATCTTGGGATATCTAGGTGAGCCTGAATTCCTGTGATTGCATCAGTTGTGCAGAGCACCCTAGCACAGATATCACCAGCTTTAATATCATCCAACCTGGGTGGTATTATGACCCCCTTGTCTACAGAGCTGGTGGTATCCCTGGCATATCCTCTGTGCTGTCCTCCCTTTGCCTTGCTGACTTCCCTCTCAATACCTAATCCTTGCTTTGGTGCCAATGGGAACTTGATATTCCATTAGGAAGATTTGCCTTCTTTCATCCTCATCCCTGGCCTAAGCTGTATAGTAGCACATCTACTTCCCTAGGCAGAGATGGCGCACACAGATACAGGAAAACATCGTGTGGCCTAGGCACACAGGGCAGGTTCTAAACAGAACACAGTGACACTGGTGTGAAATAAGAGCTAATTTCCCTATTAAAAAAATGCTGGAACTTAGCCAGGCATGTTGGTGCACACCTTTAATCCCAGAGTACAGGGGCAGAGGCAGGTGGATCTCCATGAGTTCGAGGCCAGCCTGGTCTATAGAGAAAGTTATCCTAGGGCTACAGGCTATAAGGAGACTGTGTATCAAAACAAACAAACAAAACCAAAAAACAACAGAAAAGACACAGTTGTAGGTAGGTGTGACTCCTGGCCTGCAGGACAGCACAGGTTACAGTTCCTGAGTATGAAGTTCTTGACCTCAAGCCCATCCAAACAGGGCCCCAACCCTTCCTTTCTCAACAACAGCTGGCGGGGAGTCTCCTGTTGATGTGTGTTGTTCAGTATAGAAAGGCCCTTAGACAAGGGCTGAGTGTGTGGCTCGGTGCTATGGAGTGCATGCAGTTCCTAGCACCAGAAAAAAAGAGTCTTTAGGATCAACTACCACAGGCTATGATCCCAGCACTTGGAAGGTGGAGGCAGAAGTTCCAGGCCATTCTCAGTTATACAGCAAGTTAAAGGCTAACTTGGGATACGTGAAATTCGGTCTTGAAACAAAGCAAAAAACAAACCACACAAAAAGCTGGGTGTGGAGCTGGAGATATGGCTCAGCAGTTAAGAACACTGGTTGCTCTTGCAGAAGACCTGGTTTGAATCCCAGCACCCACATGGCAGCTGACAACTGTCTGTAACTCCAGTCCCAGGGGATCCAACAGCCTCTCTGACCTCCATGGGCATTGCACAACACAGGTGCACTTACCTACGTGCAGGCAATACATGGATACACATAAAATAAAATAAAAAAATTTTTTTTTAAATATTTTATTTATTATTTTTATTTTATGTGTAAGGACAGAACAGGGTGTTGGAGCCCCTGGAACTGGAGTTACAGATGGTTGTTAGCTGCCATGTGGGTGCTGGGAATCGAACCTGGGTCATCTGCAAGAGCAGTCAGTGCTCTTAACTGCTGAGCCATCTCTCCAGCCCCAAAATAAAATTTTTTTAAAAGTTAAAAAAAATAAGCTGGGAGTGATGGTACATGCCTTTTGTCCCAATACTTGGGAGGCAGAGGCAAGTAGATCTATCTGAGTTCACGGTCAGCATGGTCTCTAGCTATAGTGAGTTCCAGGATGGCCAAGGCTACAGAGTGAGAGGCAGATCTCTATGAGAGAGAGGCCAGCCTGGTCTACATAGTGAGTTCCAGGTCAGTTGGGGCTCCAGGAATATTATGTCTCAAAAAAAACCAAAACAACAATATCAAAACAAAAACCCAAACAATTTTTTTAAGATATGAAAAAATACAGATATTAAAAAAGGTAAAGAAGCCGGGCATGGTGGTGCACACCTTTAATCCCAGCACTTGGGACGCAGAGGCAAAGGCAGGCGGTTCTCTGTGAGTTCAAGGCCAGCCTGGTCTACATAGTGAGTTCCAGGACAGCTGGGGCTATAGGGAGACCCTGTCTCAAAAAGCCAAAAAATAAAGGGTAAAGAAGAACTCCTCCCCACCCACAAACTCAATCCAAAAGTCATCTAGCACTAGGTTCCACTATGTAAATATTAGGTGGGACCTCAGGAAGCAGGTGCAGTGGTGCACAGTGCTAGAAGCTCTTAACAGGCATTAGCAGGAGGATTTTTGAGAATGGTGAAGCTGGGCTTAAACCTTGACAACTGTTAAACCACTGTTCTTAAACCACTTTTCACCAGGATGCGTCCAGCCTGAAGCAACTTTGCCAAAGTGGCTGGGAAGCAATAAAGCCGTCAGCCTGTCAGCCTGCGCTGTCTCTGGCTGTCCCTCCCTTGTTGTCAGAGCACTCACGTGTTTAAAGCAGCCAACAGGAGCAGCCTTGTAACTGTGATCCTTCAGGAACTTCCCCCAGTCAAACCCCAAGACCAGAGCTGCAGAGCACAAAGAAGATTGGGATGGGGTACTTAGCAGCAGCCATGTTGGACTCTGGAGGGCCCTGTAGGGCACAGAAACAAGTCCCTTTCTCTAGTCACCACACCCGCCCCATCAATGGCTATCAATCAGGGCTGTGGAGTAGAGAGAAACTTCAGAGAGAAACTTCTCACCCTCTTCTCTCAAATTAAGGGAAATTCAAAACACCCCTAGTTTAATGTCCTTCTCTCTCACCCTCTCACTGGCCACACTGAATCTCCATGGGTAGGAGGAGCCACAGACCATCTAGGCCCTGCCACCCACCAGCCTGCAGAGAGCAATTTTCAGCCTGAGTGCAGACTATCCAAGGGGTGCTGCTTTTGGGCTTCATTAATTTGCTCAGAAATCACTAATCTTAGAAAAAGGAAAAGTCGAATTCCGTATCCTACCATCTGCTCCGCACACCCTGGACCTCCACACCAGGGAAAGAGAAGTCATGGGGATAAAGGCAAGAGAAACAAAAGCAGCTAACTGTTGGTTGCTGGGTGAACTGCGGGGCCACTGAGGTATTTCCTAAAGTCAACACTCCGCAGGTAAGGGGTCACCATTCATGGTGGGCCTGGTCCCCCCATTTTGCAGCAGTCCTCACTCCAAGGGAAGGCCAACCCCACCCTGGCCTCCCATTCCAGGGTTCTGGTCTCTCACCATCTTGTCCCGTTGGTGTTCCGTCTGCTAGCTGTCCTGTCCCCTGGGAATGGAGGAAGGCTCCGATTTTGGCAGACCAGGCTGCCTTGTGTAGGACTTTGGCTTTCTTGGTAGGTGGTTTTCCCTGGAGGGCAAGAAGACATGAAATAGCCTGGTGGCTAAGAATAGGTAGTTCCAGGCCAGCCAGGGCTATGTTGTGAGACCCTGCTGCTCCCCAACCCCCCAAAAAGAATTAAAACTTATTTATTTAGGGCTTTTTGAGAAAGGGTCTCATTTAGTAGCTCAGGCTGGCCTCAGACTCCTTATCCTCCTGGCTCAGTCTTTCAAGTACTCAGATTAAAGGTCTGAGCCAGCAGCACTCAGGAGGCAGACAGGAGTATCCATGTTTGAGGGCAACCTGATCTACCTAGCAGGTTCCAAAAAAGCTAAACAATCAAAACAAAATGCACTTGCAGGGAACACCAGATTCTGGATGAGGGTGAAGAGTGGAGAGCAGCTCTAGGAATTTACAATTCAACAAGGCCCAAGGGTGGACTTCTGTCCCCTAAAGTGTGAGGACATCCTAAATACTACCAAATGACCTAGATAGCACCAAGTTCCTCAAGCCCACTAAACCCTCTGCCTCCAGGCACATGATGGTTTCCCCCTGGTGCCCAAGGCCAACCTCTTACCTGTAATCTAGCCAGGATACTGGCTTTCTTGGAGTTGGAGGAATAACTCCTGGAACAGGAGACGCTGCAGAACCTCTTGGTCTTGGAGAAGAAAGCTTCTCTTGTGCCCACGATACCACACATCTCACAGACAGCTAGGAAGAGAACTTAGCATGTGACTCCCAAATATGACCACTTTACATCAAATGAGGGGAGCCTCAAATCCGAGGGCACAGCATCAACCACATGGCCCAGCCCCCACTAAGGCTGACAGAATCAGAGGAGAGGTAGTTTGTAGAGTCCTTGCTGTGTGCCCAGGCTGGCCTCAGACTCCTGGGCTCAAAGACGCCTCCTGCACCAGCCTGTCCAGTAGCTGGGACTACAGTATATGCCACTGCATCTATCCACCTAAGCTACACTTGGCTTCCCTTGGCTTCGTATCAACAGCAGGGCAAAGGGATCAGAAATCTACATGGATGATGGGAAACAGGTTGGCAGGTTTTAGAGGAAAATGATTAAGAGAAGCGTCAAAGTCACTTAACTTTTTAAATTTTTATTTATTTTTATTTTATGAGTGCTTTGCCTGCACGTAAGTGCACTACATGTGTGCAATGCCTACAGAGGTCAGAAGAGGATGTCGGACCCCTGGAACTCGAGTTACAGATGGCTGTTAGCCACCCTCTGGGTGCTGGGACCTAAACCTGGGTCCTCTGCAGGAGCAGCCAGAGCTCTGAACTGCTGAGCCATCTCTCCAGCCTCACTCAACTCTTATAGCTCTATTTTCTCATGTAAAGAGGAAGCAAATAAGCTCTGAGTTTACACTGGGATCACAACGCTGCAGCCTGGGATTTTAATGAGATGGGCCACAGTAACATTGGCAGCTCCCAGGACAGGCTACTCTGCAGCTCAGGTCACAGACCCCGGCCGGGTTGCTCTCCCTAGTGGTTCCTTCTAGTTCTGAGGTTCTAAGATTCTCAGAGAAGGGTTGGAAGAAGACAGAAGGGAGAAAGATAATGGAAAGATTAGGCTGGCAGAGTTTTACTCTTTAAAAGGTTTAGCGTCAGCCGGGCGTGGTGGTGCACACCTTTAATCCCTGCACTTGGGAGGCAGAGGCAAGCAGATCTTTGTGAGTTTGAGGCCAGCCTGGTCTACATAGTGAGTTCCAGGACAGGTGGGGCTACAGGGAGACCCTGTCTCTAAAAGACAAAAAAAAAAAAAAAAAAAAAAAGCAGCTACCCAAGTATCACCGCTTTCAAGTCACTGGATTCCAGATGATCCACACCCTTCTGCCTCTCTCCACCCCACCCCGTCCTCCTTCTGGAGGTCACTTTATCCTGTATGTCCCTCCACAACTCCAATTTCTAACTTACAAGTTACTGCTTGTCCTTTCCAGGAAAGTACTATATTACTTTAAGTTTCTCATCTCCACACCCAGACCCAGAAACCCCCAGCCTACTCACACTAAAAGTAAAGTCAGCACCATGTTGCTGTCATCTAACATGTACTAAATGGGAGAATGAGTGGAATGAATTGTACTTTGAAACCAGACTGTACAGAGCAAATGACCCTGGCAGCCAGACCCTTAGACATCTAGATGGCTCTGCCCACATTGCCCAGTCCGTCCATTTCCCTGTTCCACAGCCTCCTGACTCCTCTCCATCTTCAAGGACACTGTGAAGGCACCTGGCTCAGAACCGCTGCCATCCAAGGACCGTGAGTTCCCAGGGCTGAGCAAATGCAGAGGGGAGGTGGGCAGCTCCCCTGCTTCTCGATCCTCATTTTCTGCTTCACTTGACTCCTCCAGATAGGAGCTGCTCTCGCTGCCTGCACTGCTGTTGTAACTCCGGAAACTATCATAGCCCCCGAAGAGCTCCAAGTCATCATCTTCCTCTTCTTCCATTGGTTCTGAAGATGGGGTCTCCTAGAGGAAGAATGATACAGGCCAGGCACAGGACGCATGGTTGGCTAGAGTGCATGGTAGAGGAATGGCAAATCTGCTATCAACCCTCCCCTGGTTCTTCTGTGAAATCAACACTCTTGGAAACTTTGCAGTTACCCTTGTTTCTTCTATTAGCACATCTCCACAATGCAACAGAACAGCATATGACAATTCACTAGGCTCCTCTGTGGTTTACAAAAGATGCTGTTTTGAAGATTTTTAAGTGTTACTATTTATGCTTATGTGTGTTCATGGAGGTACCCGAGGAGGCCAGAAGAAGACATCGGACCCCCCCCCGGAGCTGGAGTTTCAGGCAGTTGTGAGCCACCTCTTATGAGTGCTGGGAACTGAACTCCAGTCCCCAGTAAGTGCAGCAGCACACACCTTTTTTAAAATTTATTATTTTTATTTTATGTGTATGAGTGTATTGCCTGCAATTATGTAAGTGCACCCTTGTCATGCAATGCCCAAGGTCAGAAGAGGGTGTCAGATCCCCTGGAACTGGAGTTATAGACAGTTGTTAGCCACCATGTGGGTGCTAGGATTCAAACCCAGGTCCTCTGCAAGAGCAGCCATGCTCTTAACCCCTGGACCTTCTCTGTAGCCCCAGCAGCACACATTCTTAACCACTGAGCCATCTCTCTAGTTCCATGGATGATTTTCTTTTGGAGGGGAACATTTTTTTGTCTTTTTGAGACAGGGTCTCCCTGTAGCCCCAGCTGTCCTAGAACTCACTACGCAGACCAGGCTGGCCTTGAACTCACAGAGATCCGCCTGCCTCTGCCTCCTGAGTGCTGGGATTAAAGGCATGCACCACCACGCCTGGCTTGGAGAGGAACATTTTTGAGACAGAGTCTCCCTGTAGCCCTAGCTGGCCTAGATGTCACAGAGATCTGCCTGCCTCTGCCTCCCAAGCGCTGGGACCAAAGGCATGTATCACTATGCCTGGATGAATTAAATAGAATATGGTTAGGGTTAAATCCTGATAAACCCGTCATAAGTTCACACAGTCTAAGTTCATTTGAGACCCGTATCAGACATCACAGCTTCTCAAACAGTATACAACAGGTACTGGGTTGTTCCTCTGATGACCACATGGCTAACTGGACTCTGTGGCTTGCTGTCTCTACCTTGCTATGAGAGGATCATACCACGCACTGGCAGCTTGGAAACAACAAAATTCAAATTTCAAAGTACAGTGTGTACTGTATATTGCTTTCACACCTTTGTAAAGTTGAAAAACTATGCTGGGGATAAGAAGTCTGAACAACAATACTGTGAGAAATGTCCTAAGCGCTGCAGAAAGACTTTCTGGGCCAGGAGGTATCTGACACTCATCTCCCCTGTTCAGCATATGTACAAATTTAAGGCTGGTGTGGCACTCACTGCTGCTTAGCCTACTGTCCCTTGTTACCTAATTACTCACGTCCTTTCTTAAAAAGGAATAAGCTGCAGGAAAACTAATTTTTCTAAGGAGGATTTGAATCAGATAACACACAGATAGCTAATAACATGGCGGTATTAACCACAGCTTTGTTTTTTGATCTGTTTGACACAGGTCCCTGTAGTCCCATCTGGCCTGGAACTCACTTTTTAGATCAGGCTGGCCTGGATCTCAGAGAGATCCACCTGCCTCTGCCTCCCACGTGCTGGGACTAAAGGCTTGCACCACCACACCTGTCTGTATCGCAGCTTTGAATTCAACTCTGATCCTACTGAGTAACTGATCCTTGGGCAAATCAAATCATCATTTAACGTCTGTGGGACTGTTTTCTCATTTATTTACGTGTTGGCTTGCACAATGTGAAGTGTAAATGAGATAATACATTAAAAACCTACCTAGCTTATAGTAGAAAAGCACATCAACAAGCCTGGGGCTTTGGTCCAGGACTCAAACACCAACTCTAGTATGTCCCTAACTATATGACCCACCGCAAGTCAATCTGCCAGTGCCTCAGTTTCCACAAAATGAGGATATACCACTATTTGCTACGATTTGGGAAATGGGCTGGCAATTCGGCTTAGCTGGTAAAGGAACTTGTCACCAAGCCTGATGATTTGAGTTCCATCTCCAGAACCTACAGAGTGGAAGGAGAGAACTGATTTCTGCAAGCTGTGTTCAAACCTCCACATGTGCATGGTCTCACACACAGGGACTAAATAAATACATTATTAATAAATAATTCTTACAATGTATGGCACCAGGCATGGTGGCACACACCTTTAGTCCCAGCACTCTGGAGGCAGAGGCAGGCTGCTGATCTCTATGCATGGTGCTGCATGCCTTTAGTCCCAAAACTCAGGAGGCAGAGGCAGGTGGATCTCTGTGAGTTTGAGGCCAGCCTGGTCTATACAGCAAGCTCCAGGCCAGCTGGGGGCTACAGGGAGACCCTGCGCAAAAAGACCAAAAAATAAAAATAAACACAGTCAGATAAACAAACTGTATGGCTTCTCAAAATGGATTTTCCCAGGCTTGAGTCCTGGGCTCTATTACTTCTTAACTGGGATTTTGTGCAAGATATTCCCATTTCATCCTGCTGCCCTTAGCTTCTTTATCAATACCCTGGAGATAAACGTTTCCAGGTGTGTAATGAAGACTGAGATACACATGGACATCCTAGTTGTGTCTTCAGCTCAGGAAGGGTGAGCTATTATTATTTTCCACTTTGCCACTGTGTCATAGAATTTTAATTTACCCTTGTTGGGCTTTTCAGCTATGGTACTTTAGATCAGCGACTAAACAGAAAACACCCTAAAATGGAAATACAATTCTAATGTCAGGTGCAGGTAGGTACAGCGAACCGTTTTCGAGACTGGCATTCTTGGTGCCCACCTCCTGACTTCCAGCTGTGTGAACTTCCTGGGGACTTCCAGCATCTCCCTAAGCCCTTAACCCTGAAGGGGACGGCTGTGAGGGTGCTGGGAGACTAAGCACGTGAAGGCTGCAGGCAAAAGACTCTGGATCGCCTTTGACTGATGACAGGCCTCGCAGTCCTTAAAGCACAGGACCACAGGACAAAGATGCTGGAAGCGAGTGCAGAGCCCGGCTGCTCTGCCCCAGGCTAGAGAGGCGTTTCCGAGCTCCTCTCCCGACTGCAGCTACGACACCAAACCCCGCGGGGCGCGAGCGCGCTGCCTGTTTACCCGCCCTGCACCCCTCCACCCGCGGGGCGTCGCTAGGAGGCCTGAGGGCGCCCACCGAGCGAGGTGTCGGGGTCCCCTTTCCTCTTACCTCAGGGCCGCGCGGCTTCTCCATGACACCGAATTCAAGTTTCCTCAACCGTCACCAGGTGCAGGAAGCCATATTGACCTCGCCGCTCGCTCGGAGCGCGCTGAATGGCCAGAGCCCCTGAGCGGCGGACCAATCACGCTGCAGGAAGGAGGAAAAGCCGGTTCCCGCGGCCGCCCGCGCCCCGCCCTCATCCGGGAGGAGCGGGATCGCCCCGGGCGCTGCTGGGACTTGTAGTTTTTCTTTGGGTGCACGTGGGAGGGCGTTGCCAGGGCAACATGGCAATCTCTAGAAGGATGCTCTCCCTGTTCTTTTTAAAAATTAATTTGTATTGAATTTTTGTTTATTTCAAACATAACGTCTTGATCATCTTTATACCCCCTTCCCCATTCGCACCCTCCCATAGCCTCACCACTGGAATACATAAAGTCTGTCACTTGTGTCAAGGCCTATCATGTGAAGTTAGTATCCCTCGATGTCCCTCAGTGCAAGTTCATCCACTGAGGTTTAGTCCTGACTGTTCTTAAGCCACCTTCCGCCACTATTGAGCCAGGATCATCAGGTATAGCATTGCACCCTCTCCAGTTAGTAATGTAAGCTGTCCTTGGGGCTCTACCAACCTAGACAAAAATGAAAAAAAAAATTTTTTTTTTTGGTCTTTTTGAGACACGGTCTCCCTGTAACCCCAGCTGGCCTGGAACTCTCTATGTAGACCAGGCTGGCCTTGAGCTCACAGGCCTGCTTCTGCCTCCCAAGTGCTGGGATTTTATTTATTGTTTTTATTTTTCATGTATGAGTGTATTGCCTGCCTGTATGCAAGTATACTCGTGTTGTGCAATGCCCTCAGAGGTCTGAAGAGGGCATCAGATCCCCTGTAACTGGAGTTATAGATGGTTGCTAGCCACCCATGTGTGTGCTGAGATTTGAACCAGAGTCCTCTACAAGAGCAGTCAGTGCTCTTAACTGCTGAGCCATCTCTCCAGCCTCTGAACTGGAATATTCTTATGCTCTAAGTAGGCTATAAATGCCCTGCTCTCTCAAAATCCTCATGCTTGGTGGGGCTAGCAAGATGGTATAGTGGGTAAAGGCGCTTGCTGAGGAAGCCTGGCAACCTAAGTTCCCTCCTTGGAGCCCACATGAAGATGTAAGGAGAGAAACAACTCCATAAATGTGTTCTTTGACCTCCACATGCACACCCTGCACACATACAAACTCATCATCATCATTTAAAAAATATTTTATTTATTATTTTTATTTTATGTGTATGAGTGTATTGCTTGCATATAGGTAGGTGAACCTGTGTGGTACAGTGCCCTAGGAGGTCAGAAGAGGGTATCAGATCCCTGGAACTGGACCTAGAACAGTTGTTAGCTGCCATGTGGGTGCTGGGATTCGAACTGAGGTCCTCTGCAAGAGCAGTGAGTGCTCTTAACCTCTGAGCCAACTCTCCAGTTCATCATCATCATTTTTTAAAAAAATTATTTATTTTTATTTTATATGTATGGGTGTATTGCCTGCATGTAGGTAAGTGCACCTGTGTTGTGCAATGCTCATGGAAGTCAGAAGAGGCTGTCGGATACCCTGGGAATGGAGTTAGAGACAGTTGTTAGCTGCCATGTGAGTGCTGGGATTCAAACCCGGGTCTCCTGCAAGAACAACCAGTGTTCTTAACCGCTGAGCTATCTCTCCAGCCCCCATCATCATTTTTTTGTTATGTGTATGAGCATATTGCCTGCATGTCTGTAAGTGCACTGGTGTTGTGCAATGCCTGTAGAGGTCTAGAAGAGAATGTGAGATGCCCTGAAATGGAGTTATGGACTGTTACTTCCATGTGGGTGCTGAGATTCGAACTTGGGTCCTCTGCAAGATCAGTCAGTGCTCTTAACCGCTGAGCCACCTTTGCAGCTGCTTTTTTTTTTTTTTTTCGGTGACAGGGTCTCCCTGTAGCCCCAGCTGGCCTGGAACTCACTGTGTAGACCAGGCTGGGCTTGGAACTCACAGAGATCCACCTGTCTCTGCCTCTCCTGAGTGCTGGGATTAAAGGCGTGTGCCACCATGACCAGCCTAACAATGCAGCTCTTGATGCTGCTTTGAAGGCCCTTATAGACTGGCTAGAAGGATGGTTTGGAAAATGAAAAGGGTTGATGGTTTCAGTCCTAACTTCCCTCTTAATTTGTAATGGGGATATTAGCTGCAATAGGTTGCAGTGTTCTTTGTATAAAGAAGGGGCTTGCCAGGCGTGATGGCGCACGCCTTTAATCCCAGCACTCGGGAGGCAGAGGCAGGCGGATCTCTGTGAGTTCAAGGCCAGCCTGGTCCACATAGTGAGTTCCAGGACAGCTGGAGCAACAGGGAGACCCTGTCTCAAAAAGACCAAAACAAAACAAAACAAAACAAAACAAAAGAAGGGGCTTAACTAAAAATGCATTAAACTGTCAATCAATAAACAAATGCCCACACACATCAGCATAATATAAAGCTTTTAGAGGCTAGATGGATCCTATGATAGAGTCAAAGAAGGTTTTAGGTCAATTTAAAAAATTAAGCAAGCGTGGTAGCTCACGCCTTTAATCCCAGCACTTGGGAGGCAGAGGCAGGCAGATCTCTGTGAATGAGGCCAGCCTGGTCTACATAGTGAGTTACAGGCCAGCTGGGGCTACAGGGAGACCCTTTCTAAAAACAAAACAAAAAAGTTAAAGTAAATGTGAGCTGGAGAGATATCTCAATGATTAAGAGCATTGCAGTTCATGCAGAGGACCTGGTTTCAGCTCCCCAAACCCACTTGGAGGCTCACAACTGCCTGTAACTCCACTTCCAGGGGATCTGAGGGCCTCTTCTAGCCTCCATGAGCACTGCACACACATGGTGCACATACATACATATAGACTAAATACTCAGACACATATAATAAAAAAGAAATACATCTAAAAATTTCTTGCTGGGAGTGGTGGCGAATGCCTTTAATCCCAGCACTCGGGAGGCAGAGGAAGGCAGAGCTCTGTGAGTTCAAGGCCAACTTTCCATTAGGGAATCCAGGCCAGCTGCGGCTACCGGGAGACCTTGTCTCAACCACCCCCCCCCAAAAAATATTTTTTTCTAAAAATAATCTTTTTGGTCTTTTTGAGACAGGGTCTTCCTGTAGCCCCATCTGTCCTGGAACTTATTATGTAGACCAGACTGGCCTTGAACTCACAGAGATCCACTTGCCTCTTCCTCCTGAGTGCTGGGACTAAAGGCATCCACCACACCCCTGGCTTTTTTTTTTTTTGTCTTGAGACAGGGTCTCTAGCTCACACTGGACTAAAACTCAAAATGTGGTCAAAGATGACCTTAAATGCCTACCCAGTCCTGTGTGCCAGGAAGGATGGTAGGCATATAAAATGAATAGATAACTCCCCTGGATCAGTTAGTTGCAGGCTAGGTTCACATTTGTTTGGTCTTCCCACAATTATCTTACAAGGCTCATGAGGTAGGGGTGGCTAGGGAGTTAGGGAAAGCCAAGGTCATTCAAATGATTCATTCTGTGTCCAGGATGTTCCAGGCGCTGCTGACAGAACAGTGAAGTCCGGGACCACACAGTTTACACTCTCATGAGCCATTCTAAGATCCATTCTAAGATCATTCTAAGCCATTCTAAGATCCAAAGGAAACAGACAGCGGGGTGTGGCTCAGTGAACAGCATGTGCAAGACCCCGAGTTCTAGACCCTTGTTGGGTTAAGAGGCACAACACAGAAACCAGCACGATGGTTCACGCTGTAATTCCAGCCTTTGGGAAGCGCAGGAGGATCAGGAGTGCAATGTCATCCTTGACTACAAGGTGAGTTGGAGGCCAACCTGGGCTATATAAATGACTCTGTCTCAAAAGAACCAAAACCAGGGCCACGGAAATGGCTCAGCATGTAAATGTGCATATCACCATGCCTGAAGACCTGAGTTAGATCCCTGGGACCCACATGGTAGGAGAGAATCAACTCCTACAAGTTGCACTCTAACCTCCACACAGCCACTGAGGCATGTGCAGGTGTGCACACATGCAATAGCTAAATATATAAATTAATAACTGTAATAAAAAAAAAAACAAAACCAAGCCAGGTGTAGTGGCCCATACTCAGGAAGTTGTGATAGAAGGATCAGCCTGGGCTACATAATGAGTTCCATGTTAGCCTGGGCTACATAGTGAGACCTTTTATTTTGTTTGTTCTTTTTTGAGACAGGGTCCCCCAGCTGTCCTGGAACTCACTATGTAGACCAGGCTGGCCTTGAACTCACAGAGATCCACCTGCCTCTGTCTCCTGAGTGCTGGGATTAAAGGTGTGTGCCACCATGCTAGGCATGAGACCTTTTTTTTTAAAAAAATTTATTTTTATTTTATGTGTATGAATATGTTGTCGGCATGCATGTAAGTGCACCTGTGTGTGAAATGCCCAGAGGTCAGAATGCATCTCAGATCCCCTGGAACTGGAGTTGTGATTGTTTGTCACGTGGGTGCCGGGACTCAAACCTGGATCCTCTGTGAGAGCTGTCAGTGCTCTTAACTGCTGAGTCATCTCCAGCCCTGAGACCTTATCATTTTGGTTGTGAGCCTGAGCCTTTAATGGCTGTGCTGTTTCTCCAGCCCAATGAGCCTGTATCTTAAAAACCTTTACATTGCCGGGCATGGTGGCACACGCCTGTAGTCCCAGCACCATACCAGGACTCTGGAACCTTTTAGTGATCTCTAACCCACTTATTCTTTGCAACACTCAAGGATGTGCTGGCCTACTAACACTTTTGTTGACTCTAGCAAGAGACAAGAAACTTCTGATCCTTCTGGTCCTATCTCCCAAGTACTCAGATTATATCACTTAAACTTTTGTGTATTTTTTTGGTCTTTTTGAGACAGGGTCTCCCTGTAGCCCCAGCTGTTCTGGAACTCACTATGTAGACCAGGCTGGCCTTGAACTCACAGAGATCCGCCTGCCTCTGCCTCCCGGGTGCTGGGATTAAAGGCGTGCCCAGCCACTTAAACTTAAGACAGGGTCTCATAAAAAGAGCGTTGGGGCAATACTGAAGAATGAATCCAGGGTGTTTCTGAGCACTCTTCCAACTGGGCTATATCCCCAGACCTTTCTTTGTCCTTACCTTGTACATGTACATGCATTTTCCTGTTCCATGTGGAATCAACACCAGGGCCAAGCTGGCTAGCTCAAGGGCAGGAATGCGTCATTATTTGCATACTGTTTGGTCTGGCCCAGAGATAGGAGCTGTTGTCTCCTAGGTGAGTGACCTGGGGCAGGTGATTTTGATCCATTTTCTGGGGTTGTCCCTGATGAATGCGAGCATGTCAAGTCCACCTCATATGAAGAGACTGTACAATGAATAGCTTGAGCCAGGAGCGGTGCCACTGTGTGGCAAAGGCAGGAGGATCACTGCAAGTCTGAGGCCAGCCAGGGCAGTGGGAGCCTATGTTAAAACAGAAACAAAAGGTCATCCTTGGGCTGGTGAGCTCAGTGGTAATGGCACTTGCTGCCAAGCCTGACGATCTCTGTGAGGTGGAAGCCAGCCTGGTCTACATGGTGAGTTCCAGGTAGGGAGACCGTCTCGAAAAGACAAAAAAAAAAAAAAAGCGCCATCTTTACAAGATAGAAGGTTCTGTATCAAAGGCATTAAAGAGGTTCCCCCCTTCTTCTTTGGGAGACAGGGTTTTACTATGTAGCCAGGGGACTAGAACTCACTGTAGGCCATCTCTGGGTAGACAAGCATTCTACCAGCTTATACCACCCAGTCTTAAGCAGGTTTTTTTTTTTTTTTTCAATATTAATATTTTTCAATATTTATTATTTTTATGCATTGCCTGCATGCGTGTAAGTGCACATGTCCTGCAATGCCCATGGAGGTCAGAAGAGGGTGTCAGATCCCTTGGAACTGAAGTTAGCTGTCATGTGGGTGCTGCAAATTGAACCTGGGTCCTCTGCAATAGCAGCCAGTGCTCTTAACCTCTGAGCCATCTCTCCAGCCCCCTAAATTGGCATTTTCTAAGACAAAGATGGGCCCTGAAACAGCCACACAAAGCTAAGCTGTCTGTTTCACACAGTTTATTTAACAATAGGTAATAAGAAATCAAATTTAACAGTCTATACAGTGATCCAAAGTTCATATTTATAAGTAATCAATTTTAATTGCATGATTTACAACAGTTGAGGGTTTTTGCTTTCTATTTTCAAGTTTTACAGAAAGTGTGTGTGGGGGGGGCAGAGTAAGGAAGAAAGCAAGCAAAGAAACCCCAGGGACACTCGCATCTTGAAATCATCCCACTGGAATCGTTTCTTACCCTCTTTTTAGATTTTTTTCCTTTGTTAGATGTAAAAATAACGAAAAAAATTCTTTCAAGAAACAGAAACCACAATATATAATACATCAATTTGGCAGCTGCCCCTGTATATTTTGAAAAAGTCATTTTTCTCTCTACATGTACAAATTATCTTAATACTTGAAGTTTTACGCTCAGACTTACAGAATAGAAAATTTTCTGGAGCACAAAAGTTGACTTGAGGGGAAAGGAGAGTTTTTTTTTTTTCTTTTCTTAAACATTTTTAAAAGAATGAACATCTTTGCACCCAGAGAAAAAAATTGGTATTTAATTATAATTTATATATATTTATATATATATATATATATATATAGAATGTAATTTTAAGTAACATTAACCCCTTTTGTCCTCTGGTTTAGAAATGTTCTTTTTAAATTCTTCCATAAAGTGAGGAAAATAGGGAAAATGTCAACCATCTGCACCAGTAAATAATAACTATTAATATTACATATTTTCATTAATTTAAAAAAAATAATAAAACCTATTGGAGGTGCAAGGCAGGAGCATCCGGCTGGCTTCAGACCTCAGCCGCCTCCCAGTGCACACTTGAACCACACACACAAGGGGAAAAAAAGGCTGGGGTAAGCAGCCATAACAAAAATATATTCTTTGTAATCTATTATCCCTCAGGTTCATCTTGCGTGTTTGCTTCAAACCACAAACGGCTACTGCACAGTTCTTACATGTCCCAAGGAAAATTGTCTTTTAGGCTAAGAAAGATTCAAAAAAATTGTTTTCAGTACAAAAAGTCTTGTTAAGAGAAAATAATTTTTTTGCTCCCAAAATACTACAAGGTGTCTCTAGTGTATGTCTAGTGTACTCTGTGAGAGGTTTGAATTCAAGTCTGTGTTATCGGTGCTCAGTCCCAGGTCCGTGGCGCTTGCACCGTGGAGGTTTGCCATGCCTGGATTGCTAGCGAGCTGAGAAAGCATTGAATTCTGGTCCGGGCTGGCAAAATGCCCTTGTTCCATGGGGTTGGTGGCTTGGGCAGCTACCAGTCCAGGATGTGGGGAACTGGTCTGTGGGGAAACATGGTGTGGAGAAGGCTGAGGCTGCATCCTTGGGGATGGGCTAGAATGTGGGGGTTGGGACTGTGGCCGTGGAGAAGGGACAGGCTGGGGAGAGCGCACTTGATTGGAGAGAGAGTTAGGGATCTGCTGGCCTTGTAGGTGTGGAGACTGGGCCTGATTTGGAAGCATATGCTGTTGGGGGCTCATAGGGTTGGGCTGAGCAGGCGACCCCATCTGTTGCTGAAGAAGTCGCTGTTGGTAGGCCTGCAAACTGGCTCCTGCCTCTGCTCCCAAGGCCTGGGGGAGCTGGCCCATCTGTCCCATATTCCCTTGCTGCATCTGCTGCATGTGATGTTGCATTCGTTGCTGCTGCTGCTGCTGCTGCGCGGGATAGCCAACTCCTTGGGGCTGCTGGAACTGACTGTGGTTAGCCATCCCAGGCCCGATTCCTGGCCCTGCTCCCTGCTGCTGCTGCTGCTGCTGCATGATCTGATGTCGTCTCAGGAGGTCTCGGAACTGTGAAGGCATTGTGTTGTGATTCATGTTCATCTGCTGTGCTTGGGGGCTCATTCCTCCCATGGGTGGCTGGAGTTGCTGTGGGGGCTGCTGCTGGGGCAGGCCAGCTCTCTGGACACCCGCCTGCATAGGATTCATGTTCTGCAATGCTGGGTTGGAGTGGACGCCCTGCTGACCAGGCATAGTGGGCGGCTGCAGCCCTGGCTGTCCCTGGGGTATGCCAGGCTGTCCAGGGAGAGGCTGTGGATTAGAGTTGGCATACTTGGCAGCCCGCTGTTTGATGAACGCAGCCAACAGCTGGGGGTTGGCGTGAAGGATACTGAGCACCTGTTGCTGCTGTAAGGGAGAGCTGGGAGACCTGAGAGTCCGCAAAAGATTTTGTAAGGCTTGTTGAGACACAGTGCCTGGTTTGAGTGGGCTCACACCTACTTGGCCCAATCCTGGTTGTGGAGCCATGTTCAAGGGCTGACCATGCTGCGCTACAGACATCATGGCTGGCCTTGGCATCCCTGACTGCATTTGCTGGGGCTGAGGCAACCCTCCTTGTGCCCATGGTGGCTGCTGCTGCATTCCTGTGGGCCCCATCCCTGGCTCCAAGTGCCCACTGGGACCTCTGGCCATGGGAGGTGGGTTCATGCCCATAGGGGTCATGGGAGTCATTTGGGGCATCTGATGTTGGATTGGCCTTTGAAAAATTTGCACATGGGCCATCTGGCGCTGCGTCTCTGCTGCCCTCTGAATTTGCATTGCCATTTCTACTGCTGCAGGTGGGGGCCCTGGAAGGGGGGGCTGAGCAGTCTGAGGGGGAGTTGGTGGGGTCACCTGGCCTGCTGCCTTACCCTGGGACACAGGGCCAGCAGCTTGAGTCCTGGGCAAGTAGGGTGGCATGCTATTGGGAGGGGTAGGCTGAGGTTGAGCAGTGGGTTGGGGCTGGGGTGTCTGTGGGGTGGTTGGCTGCTGGCCAGTTGGTGTGGTTGGAGTAGCAGGAGTTGGGGATGGCAGGCCTTGCTGCTGCCCTGCCACACCAGTCCGCTGCATGCTGGCCATCCTCCTGCGGAGCATCTGAGCCTGCTGGAGCCGGTGCTGTAGCTGCTGCTGTCGGAGCTTTTGCTTGATGTTGAGGCAGAACGGCACGGGGCACTTGTTTTCCTGGCAGTGCTTGGCATGGTAGCAGCAGAGCGCAATGAGCTGCTTGCAGATGGGGCATCCACCATTGGTTTTCCTTTTGCAGCCCTTGGTGTGTTGTACAACCCTCTTCATCTTCTGGCAGGAAGGCAGGGAGCAGTTGGCATTGCGACACTGGCAGGCATGGACCAGAGACTGGATGCAACGCTGGATGCTCAGACGGCGAGAGTCTCCTGGGCTCTGGGTGGCTGCTGCCTGCTGGTTGTTGCTCTCATCATCTAAGCCGAGACCTAGTTTCTCCATTTTGTGGTCATGGTTTTTAGTGTTATAACAGGTGATGCATAGGTCATAATCCTGGGGAAAAAAGGAGAGCCAGGTAAGTCATTCAAAAGCACTTTAGATATTCTGCTTAGGCTAGAAAAGTTCCTTTTAGAAAACGACAAAAGTAGCCTTTCCATCTCTGCTCTGTGACTCCAGCATGAGGCCCGGCCTATTTAACACCTTTGCACTATTCCTCAGACAATAGAGACCAATATGGCCTACCCTGCCCTTCCCATGAAATGGTGCCTACCTCGCAGACAGTGCAGTGCCAGCGTGTCTCCACGTGGTGCTTGCACTCGTTGCAGGTGTACACAAAACGGTCCTGACTCTGTGTGTGCAGCTCCACCAGCATGCACATGGTAGACCACTGGGCTCTTCGGAGTGAAGAGAATTCTAGGTGCTTGTCCCTTGCAAGGGTGAGGAATGCGTCTCGACCATCCATCAGATCACAGGGAATAAGAGGGTCAGGATCAACGATGGGGGGCAGGGAGTTGGCAGCAGGGCCAGCGATGAGGCGGATTACAAAGAAGACCTGCAAAATAGACAAGCTCACTGTGACTCTGGAACTACAGAGACACCGAGGCAGAAAGGACTGAGACATCAGAGGGGTGGGTGGACAGCCACACCTCCCTTTCTTCTATTCCTACCCACCGCCCCACTTCATCTTTTGGAGACAGAGTCTCCCCATGTCCCAGTTGGTCTGGAAATCACTATGCAGGCCAGTGTGGCCTGCAGTGCTGGGATTAAAAATGTGTGCCACTATGCCTAGCCTGTCTCTGGTCTCTTGAGACAAAGTATAATGAACCAAAAATTCATATCGTTATCTTTTCCACTTCATTCAATAATTCCTTCAAAATAAGACTAGTCTAGGACTGGGCCTGGTGGTTTCCAGGTACCCCTATAATCCCAGTACTGTAGAAGCATAGATTGTTGTGAGTTTGAGGCCATGTTGACCTACGGAGTGATTTCCAGGCCAGTTAGGGCTGCACAGTGAGACCCTGTCTCAAGCAAACAAGCAAATATCCATCCGTGCATCTATCTAGATCCAGCACATAGGCAGTGGGTGTTTTGTTTCAAGAGAGTCTACGTTAAGATGCAATCCATGGGGCTGGAGAGGTGGATGACTCAGTGGTTAAGGGCACTTGCTGCTCTTGCGGAATACCAGAGTTTGATTCCCAAGATCCACATGGTGGCTGAAAACATTCTATAACTTTAGTTCCAAGGGATATGATGTCCTCTTCTGGCCTCCATTATCAGGCACAGAAGTGGTACACTTAAATACATAAAGGCTAACACTCATATGCATTTAAAAAAACAAAACATGCAACCCATGGTTTAGCATGAGTCTAAGTACAAGAAAGTAACCATAAAAATTTAAATGGCCTGGATTCAAACAACATTCTCATGGCATCAAAGAAGGAAAAGGCTGGGACCTGTTGCTATGGAGACATGCAAGTGAACACGACTCAGAATCGTTTGGATGTCTTTCTAAAACACTGACAACAAATATAGAGCAAATGGCACTGAACGTTTCCTCTGCAGCTTTCCCATAGGTCTGAATTTTGAGAATTAAAAGAAAAAATGTGAGACATAATCTCATGGAGCCCTCTTGCTTCTACCTCCCAAATTCTTGGATTACAGGTGTGTATAACCATGCTAGGCCCAGCCCTCTACTCTCAGCCAATAGTAGACAGGCTGAAAATCTGTATAAATTAGCAGACCTACAATATACTACAGTAGGCATTATGCTTCTGTTGCCCTATAGCAGAGTCAAGCTATGAGTTTCTTTTTTTTTTGTCTTAGGTGTATGAGTAAATTGCCTGCATGTATGTAAGTGTACCTGTGTCATACAATGCCCAAAGAGCCCAGAAGAAGGCACTGGACTCCCTGGAACTTGCGTTACAGACGGTTGTTAGCTGCTATGTGGTTCTGCTGGGAGCCGATAGCAGGTCCTCTGCAAGAGCAGCCAGGGATCTTAAACCACTGAGCCATCTCTCTAGCTCCCAAGTCATGAATTTCTTTTTTTTGTCTTCTGAGATAGGGTCTCTCTATAGTTCCAGCTGGCCTGGAATGCAATATGGAGACGAGGCTGGCCTTGATCTCACAGAGATCCTCCTGCCTCTGCTTTCTGAGTGCTGGGATAAAAGGCATGGGCCACCACACCTGGCAAAGTCATGAATTTATAACTCCCTCCTCAGCTCTAAAATTGTTCTAGCTCTAAAGATAAGATGAAGCCATGGAATATTTCCACAGTATTAAGTCAAATCTCTCCTAATATACTCTAAGAGCTTTCCCCAAATGCTTGTTAGTCATACCAGAATTATGTGGGAAAAATACTGATTGAAAAATTTAATTGTTACTTAATTATCTAGTTAGTGGTGTCCACTAGAACTCAGGGTGCCCTTCCATGTCCTTAGTATGACTGAGGGAACAGTATTAGGCCTCCAGAATTTATGCTAATATTGGTCATAGTAGTTTGTTACATCTAAGTAATAGAGGGAGAGGAGACAGACTAGTGGCACCTGATACCGATGCTCTGGAGAAATGGTACTATCTCTTCAGAAGAAGGTTCTATATATTAATTTCTCTTTTTGAAACTGCTTAACTATTTGGTCATAGTTCCATACCTAAAATGAAGCCTTCAGTTCTATCCCCACATAACTGCCAGATACTTCCTATAAGAATCTGGTTATGATTACATCTCAGGTGAACTGTGATATGAAAAAAAATACACAGGCTGGGGATGTAGCTTAGCATGGTAACACATGCCCTCAATCCTCGTACCAAGGAGGTGAAGGCAGGAGGATCAGGAGTTCAAGGCCATTCTCAGCTACTCAGTGAGCTGGAGGCCAGTCTGGGAGACATAAAACTCCAATTCAAAACAACAACAAAACAGATTATTTCTTTCTCACCAATAATGACTTCTAATTTCAAATTACTCATTAAAAAAATAAAAAAAATAAATAAATAAATCCCAAAGACCTGGAGAGATGGCCTAGCAGTTAAGAGCACTGGCTCGTTTCCTAGAGGACTTGGGTTCAGTTCCCAGTATCCACATGGTATGCACATACACCATGAGACAGACAGACACACACATGCACACAAACTAAGTAAATAAATCTAAAAATAAAACAAAACACCCCAAAACAAAAGTAACAAACTCAAGATTTAATTTGGATGGGGTTTTAAGTCCATTTGAGTTGCTCTCCAATTCAGTTTCCTAATTCACCTTCTGAAAGGCTAATACTTAACATTCTTATTCATAGCTCTTTACCAAGCACCATTACAAACTGGAATGGCCAATGAAGTTCTAAGGAGCTTGATAAAATACGAAAAATATTTGTTGAAGCGTCAACTCTCCTGAAAAAGTGGACAAAGGTTACAACCTAAAAAGATTATAAACAGGACTGGACAAACCATGCTTGCACTCACACACAAACACATATAAATCTGTAACAATTTCTAATAGTAACACTGCTAAAGAAAACACGCTCTTACGACCAACTCTATGCACCCTCTATTCTTCCCTCTGCATGTCCAGCACTCCCGTCGTAAATGGCAGTTGGTGTTGGCAGTTTAGAACCCTGCTTGCCAGGCGGGCCCTTCCACCTTGGCGGCTGCCTCTCACCTCTTTGTGTTTCTCCATGGTGGCGTACAGCTTCTGAGACAGGTCATTGGACACGTTGGGCATGCCAGGCTTCTTCTTGTTGCCCCTGCTCAGGCTGCTCTTGTTTTTGCTAGTTTTTTTATTATTCTTCTTTTTAGCGTTTTTGCTGTCTCCCTTTGTTACCTGTAAATGTGTCAAGTTGTTAGGAAGGGATCTGGAACAGCACTGAAGGCAGAGACCACCTTTCCTCTGAAGCTGCTTGTCGTTTGCTCTTGAGCTTACCATTTTAATATTTATTTTTTGGTTTTCTTTGAGATAGGGCCTCCCTGTAGCCCCAGATGGCCTACAGCTCACTATGTAGACTAGGCTGGCCTGAATTTCACAGAGATCTACCTGCCTCTGCCTCCCAAGTGTTGGGATTAAAGGTGTGAGCCACCACAAAATTCACAGTGGTAATTCTAGATGGGCTTTGGGTAAATGACAGACTGGGCTAGCTGAGGCAGATTCCATATGGTAGACAGGGAAATATTTCCTGCATTTTAAAAAGGTGCTTTAAAAAGCAGGAAAAATAGGAAAACAATATACCAGAGATTATATGTAGCCTATAAAAGTCATAATTTGGTCTCTTAGGCATTTTTGTTCAGTTTTTCAGGATTTCTTCCTATTTTATCAGATTATATTACCCAAAGTCCAAGGGACACCATTTAGAATCATAGTAACCCTTTGATTTGAGACAGGACTTGCTATGTTACCTAGGCTGGCCTTGAATCCTGGTTCTCCTCCTTCCCTATGTGCTGAGAGGTGTATGAGATCTAGCAAAATGATGGCACGCCTTTACACTAAGTTTAAGTTCTTAAGTTTGAGTTGTATATTAGTCATCAGAATGAAGGTGGACACTGTGAGGAAAGAACGTCCTTACATCAGTGCTTTCATTGCTGGTGTTCTCTTCCCGCTTCCTTTCTTCTTCTTCCTGCTCAAGCTCCTTAATGCTCTCCTCTAAAACATTTGGCCAGAAATCACCTTCAAAGTATGGTAACTCCTTTGCGCTTGTTAATCGATCTTCATTAGCTTGTTTTAAAATATCCTGTAAAAAACAGCCAAACATAGAAAAATCTTTCATTACATGGTGTAAGTAAAAACGTCCACTGAAGGCTGACAGAGATTGTTACCTAAACAAACTATACACCAGGGAGACATTCAGAAAACATTTTATTTTTAAAATATTTTTATTCTTTTGTGTGTTTAAGTGTATTGCCCGCATGTGTTTAAGTGTACCTGTGTTGTGTAGTGCCCTTGGAGGTCACAATGGTGTCAGATCCCCTGGAACTAGTTATAGATGGTTATTAGCCACCCTGTGGATGCTGGGAATTGAACCTGGGTGTTCTGGAAAGAGCAGTCAGTGCTCTTAACCACTGAGCCATTTCTGTCCAGCCCCTCAGAAAATATTTTAAATTGTAAGAGCGTCACTTTTTTTTTTTTTGAGACGAGACTTCTGTCTGGAATTCTTAATCCTACATCCTACTACCTCAGTCTCCTGAGTGTTGACAGTCCAGCTCCATTCATAAGTCCTGTAACATGTAGTTTTTTTTTTTTTTGTCTTTCTGAGACAGGGTCTCCCTGTAGCTCCAGCTGTCCTGGAACTATGTAGCCCAGCCTGGCCTTGAACTCAGAGAGATCCGCCTGCCTCAGCGTCCCGAGTGCTGGGATTAAAGGCATGCACCACCACGCCCGGCATCTTTTAAAAGTTTTGTGTATTCAAAAAATATACTTTATCAAGTTAGCATAATTATACTAATTCTCACAGTATGAGGCAGACCAGAAGACTCAAAGAAAAGACAAAGAGCAAAACTGATTAACATTTCCATGTTCTAACTGACCTTGTAGTCGTGGACAATACGCTCTGACACAGCCTTGTCAAGCATCTTTTTGTACCACTCCTGCAGGCGCTTGGGCTTGGGTATCTTCTGGTCAGGAGGATGGCAATGGAAGATATAGTCATCCCCTTCACTTGGTGGACATGCCCAAATATGTCCTGTTGTGTATCTAACAACAAAAGGAGAAGGGACATCAAGAGATCATCTCTCCCAGAGAATGCTGAAATGGATCCATGAGTGCTAGGATTTCAATTGCACACTACTACACCTGAGAAAACACTACACTTTAAACAGCAAGGTTTAAATACAAAAATCAATGATTTCTCTCAAGATAGCATACAGATAAAATTCTTAAGGCAGAACTACATAAAACCTATGCAATAATAATGGATCCCACTACCTACTCTTTTGGGGGGGGGGTCCATGGAGGAGCACTGTGAACTTTATTTACAGAGGGGCTGACTTAGCTCTTGATCCCTAAACCCCAAATTGTACTTTAAGTTCAAAGATGACTACAACACAAAGGGAATATAGAACCATCCAAGCAGGAGAGGCTAATGCAAGATGAACTGAGTAGTACCTTACAAGTTAGGGCAAAAATAGTTCCAGGATGTATTTTAAAGGTAAGGAATACCTTCAGATCTTAATTCATTTCATTATCTTTTTATTTTTTGGTCATTTTGAGATGGGGTTTCTCTGTAGCCCCAGCTGGCCTGGAACTCACAATGTAGACCAGGCTGGCCCTGAACTCAGAGATCTACCTGCCCAAGTGCTGGGATTAAAGGCATGTGCCACCACACCCTGCTGTTTTTTGATATTTTAAGACAGACACAGTCTTACTTTGTAGCCTAGGCTGGCCTGGAACTTGCATACTTTAGCCTCAGACCTTGGAGTCCCACCATGGCCAGCTTGTTTTAGGCTTACTATCCACGTATAAAGGATCAAGTAAGATTTTTGCTCTTAAATGAGTAACATCACCATTAATCCAAACTGTACACAATGGTTTAACTATACAGACCTAAAGGATTGATGGGAAAACACATGGAAACAGACTTCATTTTAAAGATGCTCCAGCATGGTTGAGATTATACCTTCACAACACTGTAACAATACCCATTATTTTTAAAAGACAGCCATCATTAATATGCTTACCCTAATTTCTTGACATACTCTAAGTACCCAATTAGAATTTCATGATAGACTGCAGTCCTCAAGCATTTAGGACGGAAGAAATGAACACTGTCGAGGTAAGATATGTATACTCTCCTATATCAAACAGGGAGAGAAAAGGTCACATCACATATGGAGTCATTCCAACATCTTCCTGCTTTCCTGGGCTTGTTGCTCACTGTCATTTGTATGTTATGTTATCTCACTGTAGGAAGATTAGATGGTGACTGTTTAGGAAACTGGGTCAGCCTATGGTTTCACTGGCTTTCTCCTTCTTCATGCTATATCAATCATTTTCTTCCCTTTGCTCTCCCCACCCCTAAAACGAGAAGCTAGACATATTAAGGTGGTCCTACCTCTGGTTGGGTGGGGGGCAGTCAGAGCCGTACTCTTGAACATGCATGCCAAAAAAACATAAGTCAACACCATCAATCTCTTCAAAGGCAAAGAGGGCCTTGGTTCGGTATGGAAAGGATTCTGCCATCTCTCCGCTGTCTACAAACCTACACAATTCAGATTGGGGAGAAACCACAATGTCATTCCGACTGAAATCAACACGCACTTGACTACGCACGAACAACTGTGCATCCATGTGAGAAGAAAAGGAAATGCTTTGATACCTTGCTTTCATGCCAGGTTTCACTTCCACAGTCTTGTCAGAAGCATGAACAACCCTAACAGTGACCTCTCCTGATTCAGGGTGACTCTGTCGCCTCAGAAAGTCATTCACACGATTCTCCAGAAAGGTGCCAAGTCTGGTAGATGGCAACCCTAGGAGTATCAAAGTTAAGAGTTACCAAGGTATGGCCTGGGTTCAATTCCTAGTATTACAGGGTTGGGGGAAAAGTTACAATGCTTCAAATTTTTACTGACACATCCTGAGATGCAAACTCAAATCTCATGTACTTTTTTCAATAAAGCTACAGTTGAGAATCTCTCCTCAGTAGAGAAGACCATGTGAGACCTAAAGGTAGTCTAAATGCCACAGGCCACGCTGGGGGAGTCACTCCTTGACAGCACTTCTAGCCACATGATGCCATGCTGTAGAGGAGGAGGAAACAGAAGAAAGAGGAAGAGCATGCTGATGAGGCCTTTTTCTCAGAACTGCTTTCAGTAGGTCACAGAGTTACTTTGTGTTGGCTAAGTAATTTTAAAACAAACGAATTCACTTTCTAGTTTTTTAAAAAAAATTTTTATTTTATGTGTATGAGTGTATTGCCTGCATGTATGTGAGTGCACCCACATCATGCAATGCCACGGAGGTCAGAAGAGGGCTTTGGAGTCCCCTGGAACCGGAGTTAAGGACGGTTCCTAGCCGCCATGTGGGTGCTGGGAATTGAACCTAGGTCCTCTGCAAGAGCAGTCAGTGCTCTTAACCTCTGAGCCATCTCTCCAGTACCTATAGTTTCTTTTTTAACTGGGATTCAGTCATGTTTTTATCAAGATTTACCTTTAAGAATGAAACTTACTTTTAGCAGAGAACTTATTTTCTTTCCTAGTTCGTGCAGTTTTCTTTAAACAGCCATCACAGACAAACCTAAAACATCAACCAGGACTTTGTTTACATAACACAAAGAGAAGCATTTAAAGCAACATGTAACAAAATCTGTCAAGTTAAAACTCAAAAGACAACTTGCACCAAGTATTTCTACTTATACAACAAAATTAATAGAACCAATGCACAAACAGCTCTTAGAAGCCAAATGTGGTAATTCCAACAAGTGGCAGCACACAACTGCATCCCAACACCTGAGAGGTAGAGAAAGATGGGAGGATGGGTAGTTCCAGACCAGCCAGAGGTGCAGTAAGACCTTGTGTTTCAAAAAACCAACGACAAGCTGGGCATGGTGGTGCATGCCTTAAATCCCAACACTTGGGAGGCAGAGGCAGGCTGATCTCTGTGAGTTCAAGGCCAGCCTGGTCTACAAAGAGACTTCTGGGCCAGTTGCGGCTACAGGGAAACTCTGTCTCAAAAACACCAAAAAAAAAAACAAACAAAAAAAAAACCCCAGAACCAACAACAAAAAAGAAAGAGTTCATTCTCCTTAGCTGAGTGTGCTACACGCCTACACCACCAGGATTTGAGGGAGACAGAGGACAAGTACTTCATGGTTATCCTTGGTTACCAACAAGTCAGGCCTGTCTCAAAGACAGTTAAGAAAGTACTAAGTATAATTTTCACATTCTCTACAACCTAAACTTTCCATGTGCAATCAGTTTATATGTCCACCTCCTATTTCTTCACATTTGATTTTTCTTCTCTACTGATTGCTTTTTAAAATATTTTCTGTGTATGCGTGTACTGCCTGCATACATGTAAGTGCACCTGTGTTGTGCAATGCCGGAGGAGGACAGAAGAGGCCACCAGAACCCCTGGAACTGGAGTTATGGACAGTTGTTAGCTTCTATGTGGGTGCTGGGATACAAAACCAGGTCCTCTGCAAGAACAACCAGTGCTCTTAAATGCTGAGCCATCTCTCTAGCCCATAAGGTAATTTTAGAATAAAACAATTTTACTTTAAAAAAAAAAAAAAAAAGCATATATATATACATATATATGTATATATACATATGTATGTGTGTGTGTGTATATATATATAGATATATATGTATATATGGACATATGTGGAAGTGCTCACAGAGGCCAAAGGAAGGCATCACATCCCCTGAAACTGGAATTACAGGTAGTTGTGAGCTATCTGAGAACCAAATTCAGGTTCTCTAACAAGAACAGCCGGTGTTCTTAGCTGAGCCATCCTTCCAGGCCCAGGCTGGTCTGCACAATGAGCTCCAGGCTAGCCATAAAAACATGCGAGCGAGCACACACACACACACACACACACACACACACATGCACACTTGAAGATACAATCATGCAATAAAAGAAAAAAAAATAATGCGCATAAAATAAACTCAGGAGCAAAAACTGCTCTTAAGCCTTACCCAGCTGGCCAGATGATCTCATGGTGAAGGACACAGATCTGATGCATTTTTCTTCCACATTCTGTACATTCAACAAACCTAGAAATGCAAAGGAAAGCTTTCAAAATTTCCTATGATTTTTAACAATTCAAAAGGCAATCATTATTCCCCAAGAGTTGAAAAATTAGTTTAACATTACAACCTTTTTTTTTTAGTGTTACAGGTAAAGCAAAAAAAAAAGTATAATGTTATTATGTCTGCATGTATGTAAGTGCACCCGTGTCATGCAGTGCTCATGGAGGACAGATGAGTGCGTCAGATCCCCTGGAACTGGAGTTACGGACGGTTGTTGGCCACCATGTGGGTGCTGAGATTCGAGCCTGGGTCCTCTGCAAGAACAACCAGTGTTCTTAATCACTGAGCCATCTCTCCAGCCCCTTAATGTGACAATTTTAAATTTGACTCAGCTGTTGAAACTACTGAGTCTGATACTTTCTCCGGTCCATTTGAGAGCATCCAGAAACTTGTATGTTTCACTGTCTAGGCTCTGAAAGTTGACAATATAAGCCAAGGCATTACAAGCAAGTACTAGAAATTCAGAGGGGAAAAATGAACACACAGAAATGAGCAGAAATAACTTGATGTTTCATATGGGCCAATTAAATACCAAAACATTAAGTGGATTTAGTGAAGTCCAAATGAACACTAACTGTAATAATATTTGACTTAGCCCCTGAATGTTCCCAAGTGTCTATTAGTTATGCAGATGTATGTATGACATGCAGGTTTCAGCTTAAAGACATTAAGCCATCTGATTGGCTAGGCAAACTAAGAGAAATGAAAGGAAGAAAAAAGTTCATAGTGCACTGACTTCATGAGGAAATACTTACAGTTCAGGATCCAGTGTGTCATTTTTTCTCTTGGAAAACTGTTCTTTATTTATTGTACTAAGGAAAGAAAATGGATACAATGAGAAAAAAAAAAACACAGAAGGAATGCCTACTTGAATACAGAGTAACCTGAGGACTTTTCTATAGGGAACAAAACTCACTCTCATAGAAAATTCACTTTTATACAACTGAAAGTTCTACAGTACTTCACAGTTAATGAATTTAACTGTGGGGAACAAGAATCAACTAAGATAGTCCCATCCCCATTCTCCTTCCCCGCCCCCTCTTTTGGAGAAAGGGTCTCAGAATGTAGCCCTGGCTGGCCTGGAACTCACAAATCCTCCTGCCTCCACTGGCATTAAAGGCATGTGCCACCATGCCCAGTTCTTTCCCTTTTAAAATCTGGTTCACTATATAACTTTTTAATGGTTTGTGGTTCCCCATCTCTCGTGAGATGCAAACTATTTAAGGATACTTTTAGTTCGGTGTGGTAGCACTTGCCTATATTCCTAGCACTTGGGAAGCTAAGAGCTAAGACAAGACCTCAACCCTTCTCCAAAAAATATAGCTGAGAGGAGAGGTGCTAATGTACACTTGTACTCCAAGTTCTCACCAAGGCAGGAGGGAAGGTTGGTTTCAGGAACCAGATGTCAGTTCTATTTTTAAGTCATGGTAGAAATGGAAGGCTCACCATACACTTCAGGTTCTTACGGCTACCCCAAAGAACTAATTTTGGAGGACAAAAATTCATCATTTCATAGTTTTCAAAATTTTTCTGTAACGTCCATCCTCAAGTCTTACATATCACACTGCCCAAGAGTTTTTGATGCTGGTTTTTCCTTACTTTGATAAGAAAACTGTGATCTGGAGACCCTTAGCACTCAGGATGAGCCGGGAGCTTGTTAGAAAAGCAGAATCTTAGGCCCACTATAGGCCTGTAGAACCAGGAAGGCAATTCTATACTTCTCAGACTCAAGAGTCTTACTGCTTTAAGTTTGAGAACACTTGAGAAGCCACTCTACAGTTCTAAGGGTAAGGCTGACATCCTTTCTAGCAGGTGGGAAATCCTCACTAGTGTGGGCTTCCCTGCTCAGGTAAGAGTCAGAATGTTTCTCTTTAGGGTTCCTAGGTCTCTATTCTCCCAGACTAGTAGCCAGAGTCCATTACTCCACATTTCAATAGTGACTGAAAGAGAGAGCTGCTTTACAACAAAAATTAGAAAAACTAGGTGGCCTAAAGAGGCCTGTTTTACTAACACCATGAAGATCCTATTTTTTTTTAAATGCTTTCACCAGTTTGTTTATTATAGGTAAATATGAACCTGTGAAAAATTTAAAATTATTCTTAAAAGTTCTTCCTTGTTGCCGGCGTGGTGGTGCACGCCTTTAATCCCAGTTGCGTTAGTTTGAAATGGAGTATCAAACTGTATTTTAAGAGATAAAACTACCAAATAGGCAGTTTAGGTTGTGTGTCTGAAAATTTTCTTGCATTAACCAAACACTAAGAACTCTAACTTTTATTTACTTTCATCAACTAATTCGCATTTAAATGCCCGCCTACAGTTGATGGACAGAGTGCAAGGTCACTTAGAAATGCCTGAGAAAAATCACCTGAGCATGGAGAATGAAACAGTACTTTTCAGAATAATGTAGTTACTTACGTTTGAGGCTGGGAAGGGTCATCCCCCAAAGAAACGCTCTCCCCTTGGATTTCATTGAAACACTTCTCACAGAAATGATACCTGTCGGCAAGAAGGCCATACTGGGGTGAACTGTTCCGTTCACACAACACAGCCAAAGCCAAGCAACGAAGCCACCAATCACAGCAGGCCAAGGAGGGGAACGGGAGCAGAGAGCAGGTCATCAACGGCGACAAGGACATTCAATGATGCAGATTTATGGGCCCCACAGTTTTTGTTTTTTTGTTTTTTGCAATCAAAGCCAAGCGCAGACAACGACAAGCATGAGGGAGAAAAAAAAACACAAAACAAACGAAGAAATGAGGGATTGCAGGACAACAAAAACACAAAAGCAAGACGGGACAACACAAAGCAGAAAGCCAAGGCAAAGCACAGATTAGCATTAAATATCTCAATGGGATCACAAACAGTAAAAGATTACAGCAAATAAAAACACAGCATCCCACCAGAACTGCTGGATCTCATTTTACTAATCAGTACTAATGGATAGAACTTTTTCTTCTTTGAGAATAAAAAAAATTTATCTACTATTGACACAGTAGCACAAGATTAATATCTAACAACGGGGATTGAAAACCTAATCTGGTCCTGAGGAAACCATTAATAAAAACTGTCTTGCCACCAAATAGCCTTATACAAAGCAGTAAAACACCAATTACAGTTAGAGTAACACACATGAAAAGGCAAAAGTAATGTATGCAGGTACATGATTAAGCATGTCTTGGCACAAAGATGAACCAGCATTACAGCTGTTTATAAAAATCCAAAAATGGCATAATTGTCAAGATTTTTTTTCTTTTTTTGTCCTTTTGAGACAGGATCTCCCTGCAGCCCTAGCTGTCCTGGAACTCACTATGCAGAACAGGCTGGCCTTGAACTCACTGAGATCCACCTGCCTCTGCCTCCTAAGTGCTGGGATTAAAGGTGTACGCCACCACGCCTGGTCGGATTTTTTTGTCTTTTTGAGACAGGGTCTCCTTGTAGCCCCAACTGGCCTGGAACTTACTAGGTAGACCGAGCTGGCCTTGACCTCACAAAGATCCACCTGCCTCTGCCTTCCAAGTGCTGGAATTAAAGGCGTGTGCCACTATACCAGGCAATTGTCAAAATTTTAACAGGAGGAAAATTTCATGCCAGTTGTTACTTGCAATTTTTGTTTTGTTTTTATCTCCCTGTAGTTCCAGATGGCCTGGAATTCCCTATGTAGATGAGGCTGGCCTCCATCTCTCAGAGATCTGCCTCTCTCTGCCTCCAGAATGCTTGGGATTAAAGGTGTGCATCACCATCCCAGTGTCTCACTTGCATTTTCAATATAAGGCACTATAAAACTTTTGTCCTTCTTAGTAAATTTAAGGAGTAAAAACCTAGATTCTAATGCTCACAAAGCAGTATCGTCAGAAGTAAACTTAACTTTTTGGTAAATAAAACAAAAAAATTACGTTAATTCTTAAAAGCTGAAAATACATCTGTACCACACAAGTTCAACAAAACCAAACAGCTGTGCTGTTGTTATTAATCAATTAAATGTGAACTGACTGCTCAATATGGCTATATACTGATCCATATTCTTACCCAAAAGAAACACTAGATGTAAGCTCTATCAAGGCTGATTACTGACATTTATGGTTAGCAGTTAAGAACACAACGTCTGTGAGCACAGCCACTGACTGAGCATGAGACAACACTGTAGACAAGGTCTAGACAAGGTCTCATGGAGTTCAGCCTGGGCTCAAATCTACTTATGTAGCCAGCCAAGGAAGACCCTGAACTTCTGATCCTTCTCTCTTTACCTCTTGAATGCTCAAGTAATAAGCTCATACTCCAGTTTAGTGGTGCTGGGGCTGAACCCAGGGTTTAAAGCATGCTAGGCAAGCAAGCTACAACAAATACCTATACCCCAGCCCTAGAGGTTTGTCTTTGACTTGCCTCAGAGACAAGGGAAATATTCAAATGCTGTTTTCACTCTGTGATGGTTTGAGTGAGAAAATCTCCCCCACAGGCTTAAGTATTTGAACACTTTATCCCCAGTTGGTGGTGCTGTTTGGGGAGTTCATGAAATCTGTATTGGGGGTGGGCTTTGAGGTCCTAGTCTTGCCTACTTCCAGTTTGCTCTATTTCATGGCTTTGGTTCAAGATGAGAGCTGTTTCCTGCTCCTGTCTCCCTACCATAATGGAATCTCGAGCCAAAATAAACTCTTCCCTAAGTTCCCTGGCTATGTTATCTTATTATACTATTAGAAAAGTAACTAATACACTTATACTCCAGGAGTAAGAACTTACAGATAGGCTATACACAACAAGAAACAATTCCTAAAAAACGGTTTAAGAGTATTTGCCTAGCAGGTATAAGGCCCTAAATTTTACTCCTAGCACACATGTAGAAAAAGGTCAAGACAATTGATATGAGGGTATTTTTCACTAGAAAATATAATTCTGCAAACAAAGGCAGAAAGCAAAAGAGAACTTGTGCTATACAGATGTTTTCAAGCAAGTCACACACATGAACCAACCATGATGTATGTGCGTGCAGTGGTCCATCTGCACTGCATGCATTCCCTAGACACAAGGACACAGGGACTATGTCCACATGTGGTTGAGCTTACCTGTTCTGGTAACTGTAGTAAGTGGCATCACGAGGGATTGTACACAACTGTTTGCCATAGCAACAGAGTGTCTGTGGAGAGAATTCCAACTGAAAAAGAAATTTTTTGTTTAAGAGCATAAGGACCAGAAACACAAGGTAGAATGGTCAAAACGGAAAATCAGAAACAAGTCAGTGAAATCTTAGCTCTCAATTATCACAATGAACCACTTCAGTTACTAAAAATCACCCCAAGTTTACAACTTAATTTCACAAGGCTGAGGTATGTGGAGTAAACATATTTTTCCAGCATTATTCCAGACACTCAAGAGGGCATGTGGAATTCTACATTGTGAACTGGCATGCATAGGAAAGTCATTAGCTGCAGGGCAAGCTGCATCTTCAGGGGAACTTAATGCTGCTACTCTAAATGAGCTTAGCCTGATGACTCAATATTCTAAGCAGTCAGTTCTGTCACATAATTTTTACCTATCCAAAAATGACTTTATAGAAAGTACATTCTATACACACAGATATTACTGTGCTGTGTGAAAGAATAAACAATACATTAAGAGAAAGGGCCTGTTGCAATTGGGGTAACTCATCGGCCAAGTGTTTACTGAGGCCCTGGGTTTGGTCCCAAGCACCATGAGAAAGGAGAAAGGGGAGAGTGGTAAAGAGGAGCAGAGGTGGAGGGGTTGGCAAAATCAGAAGCAGGATATTTTTAACTAAAGTCAACACTACATCCTAGGTAAAGGCAGGTGATAAAATTACTTCTTACCTTTCTGCCACAGCAGTATCCAAGGCTTTGCATGACAGGGTCAATTTCTTGTTCAAACACCTCAGAGAGCTTGGAGCAATACTTATATACCCTTGAAGTTTTGCGGTTATATAACCAGGCATTGTTAAACATGAGCCAAATATCATCTACATATTGCCAGGGCTCTTGATACTGTCCAGTGTCTAACTTCCTCTTGATGGTAGAAAGATCCATGGGGCTCTTCACAATATCAAAGTAATCCTAGAAGTACAAGTGACACAGCATTACACACTGTTGGGCACAGTATTTAGGGCAGATGGAATATCTTCCTATTATTACCATCAATTTTTATGTGATGTGTTTTCAAAAAGAATTTTATTATTCTTATTTTATGTGTAAGAGTGTATTGCCTACATACATGTAAGTGGACCTGTGCATGTAATGCCTAGAGCCCAGAAAAGGGTGTTTGATCCCCTGGAACTGAAGTTATAGATGGTTGCTTGCTACCATGTGGGTGCTGGGAATTGCGACCAGGTCCTCTGCAAGAGCAGCCAGTGCTCCTAACTGCTGAGCATCTCTCCAGCCCCTTGTGTGATGTGTTGTGATTTGCCTCCTTCTTGAGAGTTGACTAATGTCTGTCACTTCTTTAGATGAAGTAGCTCCACAAACTGAGAAAAAAAAAGTATGGATTCTCCAGACACATTCCTATTATTATTTCAGCACACAGGAGGCTGAAAAAGGAGAATTTAAGGTTTAAGACCAATGGGTTATAAAGTGAGACCCTGTCTAAAAATAAAACAAAAAGGAATGAAGTACTAAGAACTGACATGGTATCATGGATGAATCTCAAAACAAAATATGCTAGTGGGGCTGGCGAGGTAATTTAGTGGTTAAAGAGTGCTTATTGCTTTTCAGAGGACCTGGACTCAGTTCCCAGCATCTAACATATGGCTCACAACTGTCATTAACTCTAGTTCCAGAGGACCTGACTCCTTCTTCTGGCCTTAGAGGTGTGCACTACATTCATGCAGACAAACATACAAATAAAATTAAAAAAGAAAATCTTAAAAAAGAAAAAAAATACTAGTGGCTGGAAATGTGGCTCATTAGGCATTGGGATTTTTGATTCTTAGTATGACAAAAATCAACTAAACAATCCAGCAGGCCATTATGTTGCAAAGAAGACTATTACAAAGGAGTTTATATGCATTTCTTTAAAAATAATTTCCTTTAGGCTGGGCATGGGGGCGCACGCCTCAGGAGGCAGAGGCAGGCAGATCTCTGTGAGTTCAAGGCCAGCCTGGTCTACACAGTGAATTCCAGGGCAGCTGTAGGGAGACACTGTCTCAAAAAGACTAGCTGTGAAAATACTAAAACCTGAACTGTATGCTTTAATTAGGTAATTTGTATAGTATGTGAATTATGTGTCAATAAAGCTACTACTAAATTTAAAAAGAAAAAATGAAAATACCAAGTACTCACAGGTATTCCTAGAAGCTGAGGGTCGACAGGCTGACGAAAGGGAAGGGATTCTGGGTCCTGACGGTACAGTGCCTCCAATGTTGACATCAGAGCTTGTCGTAGTTCTTCTGGCTTGAAAACTTCAAGGAGAGTACATGTGAAATCAGTTATCACTGAACAAAAGGAATTTTAAAAACGTTTAAGCTCTAAAAACCTATGAAGAATCATAAAATAGTGACTACATACTTTTGTCAGAAACTTAACTAAAGGCTTATTTTCTGATACTAGTTCCCGTTCTCCTTTAGCCTAAAAAATAGGATTTTGTCATCAACCCTTACTAGCTCAGTTAATTTTTCAGTCACAAATTCAATAGAAAAGATTTAGTTAAAGACAAAGAGGATCAAAGGCTCCTAAAACACAGAAGAGCCAAGCATGGTTGTACACGCCTTTAATCCCAGCACTTGCAAGGCAGAGGCAGGTGGATCTCTGAGTTCCAGGCCATAATCCAGAGAAGGATTCTGCCAAACAGAACAGAAAATGTCCTTTCTGAGCTGGGTGTGGCAGCATATGCCTGACTAAGCAGGCTGACGAAAAAAGATCTAGAGGTTGAAGTCAGACTGGGATAGAGTCAAAGTTCAAGGACCACTTGAGCTACAAAACTATCCTAAGTGGTAGAGGCAAAAGGATGATCTGGTATATACCCTGAGTTCCAGGGCAGCAAGGGCTACAATGTGAAACCCTGTCTCAAAAACTGACCAACCAACAAAACAGGAAGAAAAGGGAAGAAGAAAATGCCCTCCCCACTTTGACACCAGTGTTTAAGAAGTCAAAAAAGGACTTGGTTCCCCCGCGACACCCGGGTATTTTTGAGGCAGGGTCTCCCTGTAGCCCCCAGCTGGCCTGCAACTTGCTATGTAGACCAGGCTGACCTTAAACTCATCAAAGAGATCCGCCTACCTCTGCCTCCCTAAAGGCGTGGGCCACCACACCTGACAAGACTTGGTTTCTTAATGCCTAAAGGAAAGAGTTGTTAAAATGCTTAATAACTTTTAGAGCCCCAGCACGTGGGAGGCTGAGGCAGGAGGATCTCTGTAAAATCTAGGCAAGCCTGATCAACACAATGCTAGGGCTACAGGGAGACCCTGTCTCAAGACAACAACCACCACCACCCAAAAAACTTTAGAGTGAAGGGGAAAGATACGTTCATTATTCTAATGGCAAGCACTAGATTTAAGACTTTAAGATTTGCTGGCATGTCCCAAATGGAATTCAAGCTATATACCATTTAAGAACCAAGTGATTAATGGTTTAAATTAAGAATTTTTCAAAAATCTGATTTCATATACCTGACCGTTTTGCTTACATATATGTAAGAGTACCCCTCCATGCAATGCTGGCAGAGAAGAGGGTGCTGGACCCTCTGGAACTGGAGTTATGGATAGTTGTTAGCCACCATGTAGGTGCTGGGAACCAACCTGTGGGTGCTGGGAACAGAACCCAGGTCCTCTGCAAGAGAAGCCAATGCTCTTAATGGCTAAGCCGTATCTCCAGCTCAAGTGAGCTCAAGAGTTTTGATTAAAAAAAAAAAATTAAGGATAGAGTGACACCCATCTATAATTTTTGAGATGTGGGGGTAAGAGAATGTCAGGAATTCAAAGCTATCCTGGGCTATGTGAGACTTTCTCTCAAAAATAAAAAAAAGGGGTCAGTAACCTCAGAGCTGTCATGCTGTATGAGACAGTGCAGCTGCTCGACACAAAGGAGACAAAGCAAAAAATTCTTTCCTAACATTAGTAGTAAGAAACACGATTCCATTCTACTCTGGGTCTCTGGATTTTCTCAGCTACCTCTGAAAACAGCCTAAAAGACTACTCTCTTTGTATGCCATGTACACTCTATGTCAATCTTCGGTGACATCCTCACCAGTCACCCACCTAGTTTTTTGAGACAGGGTGTCTTTACTAGGATTTGGGACTCACTAGTCTTAAGCTCCAGGGAATCCTTGCTGTCTCCACTTCCACAGCACTGGAATTACAAGTGTGCAACTATGTCACGTCAATTTTTTTTTTTTGGAGATAAGGTTTCACTATCTAGCCCTGGTTGGCATGGAGCTCATAGGATCTGCTGGCTTCTGCCTCCCAAGGGCTGGGATTAAAATGTACAAACCACTGTGTGCATGACCAGCATTCTGCCTTGGTACTGGGAACCAAATTCATGTCCTCCTCATGCTTGTGGGGCAAGCACTTTACCAACTGAACTCTCTTGCCAACTCTGACTTACTCTTTTTCTTTGACTGTCCTGGGGCTGGAGAAGACTGGGTCGCTGAAGTACTTGGTTGGTCTTCTTCCTCTTTTATGTCATTTTTTAACTCAGTACCCCTCTCTTCTACTTCTGTAGGCTCCACTTTACAATCTTCAGTTTTAGCCTAAAAGACATGGAAAGAATTTTCAGTATATCAACAAAATTAAGCTGGGAACAGGATTACTATCATAATCTTATTTATTCTCCATTATGGACATATCTGAACTCTCTTCCAAAAATGCAATAAATTCTAATTATCAGTATTGCTTGTCAAAACTGGCTTCTTGACTGGGTCCTAAAGAAAAGCACAACAGTGACTACCCAGCTCTACTCTCACCTCGTGAATCTCCTCAGGTCGAGTGTCTGCTGTTTCGGGGTGATCCACCTCCATTTTGACTTCCTGCGAAGGCTGTTTCTCAGGGATGGTCTGAGAATTCACTTCTGTGCTACTTGTGGACGGAGGGTTTGACACCTGGCCTTCAATGCTTACAGCTGGCTGAGAAAGCTGGACAGCAAAAAGCAGAAGCACATAAAAAGCTAGCTTTTTTTTTTTTTTTTGGTCTTTTTGAAGTGGGATCTCCCTGTCGTCCCAGCTGTCCTGGAACTCACTATGTAGACCAGGCTGTCCTTGAACTCACAGAGATCCGCCTGCCTCTGCCTCCCAAGTGCTGGGACTACAGGCATGTGTTACCACGCCAGGCAAAAACTAGCTTTTATACAAATCATAATCTAAACTACACAAGATTAAGTGCCACCTTGTGTTGTGAGCAGTCACCACACCCATTACCATGCTTCCTCATTTAAAGAACACAGGATTAAGGATTTGCTAATGGTGGCTGGCAGGTTGTACATAAAAAATAGCAAGTATTTCCCTGCTTAGAGATGGAAATTCCAAAGATGGCTAGCTCAGCTTATTATTCTATATTATTCTTTTAAAATTATGTGTGTATACATATGTATATGTGTGTGTGTGTGAGTTACAAGCTCCTATAAGCTGCCTCATGTGGTTTCTATGAAATGAACTCAGTCTGAACAGCAGTATGTGCTTATTTTAATAAGCACTGAGTCATCTTTCCAATCCCCTTCCTAAATCTTTCAATTTAAAAAATCTCATAGGGTCTGAGGATATAGCTCGGTGGTAAATCATGTGTATAGCATGTGTGAGGCCCTGAGTTCAATCCCCAACCCTGAAACAATTTCATTACGAAAACATTTTCTAGAACTATTCTATGAAGAGTCAGATTTTCCTTCTATATTCTGCCCTTCTTTATTTAAGAGCCATAAAGAAACAGATGAACAGTATTTTATCAGATAGCTGAGACTTTAAACATGATCCACAAGAATAATATTAACATTACTGTTTGAGACCAAAAGTCTGCAATCAGTGATATTAATAAAGACTCAACTACAGATGAGAAATTGAATTTTTACCTCAAGAATGCTAGGCAGGCACTTTACCACTATATTACATTCATAGCTCAATCATAACTTTTTCTTTTTTGGTTTTTTGAGTTAGGGTCTACCCGCAGTCCCAGTTTGCCTAGAACTTGCTACATAGGCCAGGTGACCTTGATCTTACAGAGATTCACCTCTTCTGCTTCCTGAGTGAGTGCTGGGACTAAAGGTGTGCACTATCACACCTGGCCCCCATATTTGCTCACCGGAGTTGAAGGCTGTGGAGGCAGCAGTGGTGCCGTTGGGGTAGGAACGGAGGCCGTTGTACTCTGCTGTGAGCGAGGCTGTTGCTGGGACTGGTCAGTTGAAGGAGCAGCAGGAAGTGAAGGCTGCACTTGGGGAGGAAGCTGTGTGGTTGGCGGTGTAGGTGTCTGTCTGGAGGGAGGATGCAGAGCCTGGGGCTGTGGCCCAGGTGGCATGGCAGGAGGTGTGGGAACAGGGGCTGGGATTGCTGTTGCTGGTGGTTGCTGAGTCCCTATACTTGGAGGAGTATGATGAGGAGTGGGGGTACGACTAGGTACAGGTGAGGGTGAATTCTGATGAAGAGCTTGTTGAGACAGGGGCGGACAGTGAATTTGGCTCCCCTGAGACCCTGGAGTCATTATAGGAGAGTTCACTGGGCAGGAAGAACTGGACATTTGTGCCTGTTGAAACGAAAAAATAGATGATATTCACAGAGATATAGTATATGCATTTAGGACAAAGTGGTTAAATAGGAAGTAGAAATACCTACTGTCTTTCTCAGCCCCTGCCCCTTTGAGGTAGGTTTTCATTATACAGACCAGGCTGGCCTAGAACTCACAAAGATCCACTGGCATCTGTCTCCAAGTGCTGGGATTAAACATGTGTACTACCATACATGGTTTTATGTGTGTGAGTACCTGCATGTATGTATGCATATCATGTGTATCTGGTACCCATGAATGTCAGAAGCAGGTGCCAAACCCCTTGCAACTAGAGTTGCAGGCAACTGTGAGGTAATATGTAGGTGCTGGGAACTAAACCCAGGTCCTCCTCCTTCAAGAGGAGTAAGCATTCTTAACTGCTGAGCCATCACTCCAGTTCCTAAGATTTTAAGTGTTCATTTCGTTCCTTGGCTGGGCATGGCAGTGCAAGTCTATAATCCCTGTCACTTGAAAGGAGGCAGGAGGGGGTGTGGTGGTACAAGCCTATAGTCCCAGCACTTGGGAGACAGGCAGTTGGATCTCTGTGAGTTCCAGGCCAGCTGGGGCTACCGGGAGACGAGACTGAGAGAGAGAGAGAGAGAGAGAGAGCGCGAAAGAGAGAGGGGGGGAGAGAGGGAGAGGGGGGGGGGGAGAGAGAGAGAGAGAGAGAGAGAGTGAGAGCGCGAAAGAGAGAGGGGAGGAGAGAGGGAGAGGGGGAGGGGGAGAGAGAGAGAGAGAGAGAGAGGAAGAGGAGAAGAGAAGAAAGGAGGCAGGAAGGAGGATCATGAATTTAAGGCCAGCTAGACTACACAGAAAACTCCTGGGATACCATATACAGATACTTTCAAAAGTCAAGGACTAGTGACAGGCATGATGGCACAGATGGCATAAACCTTTACACCCAACGCTCAGAAAGCAGAGGAAGGAAGATCTCTGTGAGATTTGAGGCAACCCTGGTCTACATAGCAAGTGCCAAGCCAGGTGGGGCAAAAGGGAGACCCTGTCTCAAAAAGAACACCATCCCTCTCAAAAAAAAGGTCAAGAACTAGGGCTATAGTACAGTGATACCAGCACCTTTATAGCATGGGCAGGGCCCTGGGTTTGATCCCAACCACTATCCAAAAAACAACAACATGCCGGGCATGGTGGCACACCCCTTTAATCCCAGCACTCAGGAGGCAAGGGCAGGCGGATCCTCTGTGAGTTCGAGGCCAGCCTGGTCTACAGAGTGAGTTCCAGGCGGGTGGAGCTATAGGGAGACCCTGTCTCAAAAAGACAAAAAAAACAAAGAACAAAAAAACCAACACAACAAAAATACAGGATGGGGGTATGTTCACCCCTTAAATTACCAACTTAATGCCACAGGATATTCTAAGTCTAAAACAGGCCAAGTGTGGTGGCACATATCTGTAACCCCAGCATTTGGGAGTCTGAGCTAGGAGTAGCTAAAGTTCGAGACTATCTTGGCTACAGAGTGAGTTGCAGGCCAGCTAGGACTACATGATACCCTGCCTCAAAAACAAGAAACAAACAACAAAACAACAAGACTAGTCTGACCTATATAGTAGGTTCTAGGTCAGTAGACCTCCCCAACTTAAAAACAAACAAAAAGACCCCCATCCCTAGCCATAAACCCCAGACCAGCTGTTTTGTGATTTTACATACGTAGTAAGACCTGTCTTTGAACAAAAGAAAGAACAAACCTTTGGCCAGTTTGATGTCATGCTTCTTGTAAAAATTGGTATCAAGAAGTTTAAATCTTACCAGGTAAGGTGTCTTCTGCTCAAGCCTGACAACCTGAGTTCAAGCCCATGATTCCCACATAAAGGTGGAAGGAGAGACAGATTGCAAAGTTGTCCTGACCTCCACATGTTCACCATGGCACACCAGCTGACACTCCTCCCCACACACAAATTTTAAAAAGTTCAAAGAATAAAATCAATAAAAATCCATTTGTGATACATACTTGAGACACTGGTGCCTGACCACTGGATGGAGCCAAAGGCATATTTGTTACATTCATTCCCTGGGGTGGGAACTGAGTCTGGGAGAGGAACTGGTTCTGGCTGGAAGGCTGCTGCATGCGAGGTCCATAGCCCATAGGCTGGAAACAAGCAAACAAACAAAACCCCAGAGTTGGTTACAATTCTTTACAACTGAATCTATCAAGTACTCCTGCTCTCTGGGCAGCTATCTGAGGAGAGAAAGGAAAGGACTCTAAGGTGAGGAGAAGGCACACGATAAGGAACAAAGTAGTGGAAGAACTGAACACTTACAATCAAACTAAGAAGCTTCCTGAAGGGGACTCTCAAGAAACACGATGGTAAGGGACAGATGCACATTCTCTGGGCAAGCACATGTAGAACTCTGACAGGGAGGAAGCAACTGCTTCTACATTTTCCTCAGGCTGGAAACTGTATTACAACTGCACAAGCTCTATGCTCTTGTAATGGGTACTGCAACAGCATAAGCCTAAGACTCCTTAAAAGGAGAAAACAAGTGTATATCTTGTGAGTACTGGCTAAATGTGGCAAGAGTGTTATATTTTTCTTTTTAAAACTGTCATAAATCCAGAAATTCATAATCTATGACAGTCAGTTCTTTTTAAAATAATATTTTATTAAAAATAATAATAATAATAATATTTTATTTTGTGTGTGTATATGATTGTATTGCCTGCATGTAAGTACACCCATGTCATGCAATGCCCTTGGAGGTCAGAAGAGGGCATCGGATCCCCTGGAACTGGAGTTACAGATGGTTGTTAGCTGTCATATGGGTGCTGGGATTTGAACCCAGGCCCTCTGCAAGAGCAGCTAGTGCTCTGAACTGCTGACCATCTCTCCATCCCTGGAACAGCAGCTCTTATAAATTAAAACAAGTAAGACTCCTGGTTAAACATGGAGATTCAGATGTACCACTAATGCTAAAGAACTCTAGAAACAGAGGTAGCCATGAACTATGTAACACACAAGGCAAGGAGGATGGGGTCAATGTGTAAAGCTTGATGACTGTCAAGAAGGTATAGTCAACAGGTCGTCCAAGACTACACAGTACGAATGTTTACAAAAAACAAACAACAAAAGCCAGGCATGGTGGCACATGCCTTTAGTCCCAGCACTTGGGAGGCAGAAGCAGGTGGCTCTCTATGGGTTCAAGGCCAGCCTGGTCTACATAGCAAGTTTCATCTGGGGCTACAGGGAGACCCGGTCTCAAAAAGACCAAACCAAACCAAACAAACAAACAAAACCAAACAACAAAACAAAAGCAAAGAAATCCAACCACCTGTATATATTCTCATCTCGAAACACCACTTACTGTGACTATGCTTCTTTGTGGTACCAAGGACCCAACTTATAGTCTCACATATGCTGTACAAGAGCTACATCACCGAGTTACATATCCACAGTCCTAACTACGTCTACAATAAAGGCCAAATTCAACAAATGTAATCCACGAACACGTCTATAGGCAGCAAACTGGTTCAGCAGATAAAGGTGTTTGTTGAGAAGCCTGTCAACCTGTGTTTGATCCCTGGAACCCACATGGTGGAAGGGCAGAGTTAACACACAAAAGCTGTCCTCAGACCTCCAGGCGTAAAATAAATGTAACAATAATTTAAAAAAGAACAGGTCTCTCATGGTTTGCTCATATAAGCATGAAAATCTCTTTCTTTGAAGTAGCAACAGAGAAAAGCTTTTTTTTTTTTTGAGACAGGGTCTCCCTGTAGTCCCAGCTGACCTGAACTCACTATGTAGACCAGGCTGGCCTTGATCTCACAAAGATCCTCCTGCCTCTGCCTCCCAAGTGCTAGGATCAAAGGCATGCGCCACCACACCCAGCTGAGAAAAGCTTTTTTTTTATAAAAATTTTTTTTTTATTTATTATTTTTATTTTGTCTTTCCCCCCTGGAGCTGAAGACCGAACCCAGGACCTTAAGCACTCTACCACTGAGCTAAATCCCCAACCCGTTATTTTTATTTTATGTGTATGAGTGTATTGCCTGCATGTATGTGAGCACACCCGTGTCCTGCAATGAATGCCATGGTCAGAAGAGGGCTTTGGATTCCCTTGGAACTGGAGTTAAGGATGGTGCACAGCTGCCATGTGGGTGCTGGGAATCAAACCCGGGTCCTCTGCAAGAGCAGTCAGTGCTCTTAACCACTGAGCCATTTCTCCAGCCCCAGAAAAGCTTTTTTTAAAATGTGCAAAGGTCAAACTAACCGGATTAAGCGCTCCAGACTGAGCCAACTGTCCATGGTGCTGAAGAGGAGAGGTTTGCCGGGGTCCAATAGGGGGCTGGGGCATATTCATCTGGCCAAACTGATTCAAACCTGTAAATGCATGTAAAATATTACATCTCAACACTTTCAATGAACTACAGAACAAGACATAAGTTTTAAAATCTGATGCTACATAATTTTCTTAGGACTAACACAGGAACCCTCACAGGTTCAAATATTTCACTCACGGCAACAGTGCAGGGCATTATTAATACTTTTGAACTAAATTTTGCAATATGCAATATTCTCTCTCTCTCTCTCTTTCTTTTTTTTTGGTCTTTATGAGACAGGGTCTCCCTGTAGCCCTAGCTGGCCCGGAACTCGCTCTGTAGATCAGGCTGGCCTCGAACTAACAGAGATCTGTCTGTCTCTACCTCCCTAGTGCTGGGATGTGCCCCCACACCTGGCTATATGCAGTATTCTCTTAGCAAGTCGTTCTGTATGATCTATAAACAGGGTTGTACTACATATACCAGGATGACTGCCAACTCAAAGACAACCTCCTTCCTCTAACTTCCTGAGTGTTGGGATTAAGGCATGAACCACAATGCCTGTCCATAAATTAGTTTTAAATGCATGCTTAATCATTCACTGTCATCTGCTCCTTGACCTGCCAACCAACCTGCTTCTCCCCCCACTTGATGGGCCTGAAATCCCAAAGATTTTTCAATTTCTACAGCAGATGACTATGATACTTGCTGCTGAAGTAAATAATAATTTTGCCCCATATCAGAGACTGTTACAAATGACCATAGAGCCGGGCGTTGTGGGGCATATACCTTTAATTCCAGCACTCAGCAGGCACAGGCAGGCCTGGTCTATATAGTAAGTTTCAGGCCAGCTGGAACTACAGATAGGCCCTGTCAAAGACAAAAAAAAAAAAAAAAAAAAAAAAAAAAAAACATTTCTTTCACAATTTACCAGGTTGTGGAGTAATCCGAGGCATCATCTGGTTTGGCACACTGCCACGGATCATAGCTGGGTCAGGTAGAGGGCCATCTAGAGAAAGAGAGAAATGGTTAAATAGCCATTTGTCAGCCACCTCTGATTGAAATAAAACAAAAAACAACCTACCAACCATCACTAATAGCTTAAAGAATCTAACCTGAACCTCAAAGAACCAAGCTTTGAACTAGATGAGACTACAGAAACTGCCTTCACATTATACTGGACTATCCACTTTGTGAGTCTTGAATATAAAATAAAAAAATGAGATAAAATGGAAATACAGCCAGACATCCTGGTAAATGCCTTTAATCCCAGTGCTTGGAAGGCCACCTGTGTATACAGGGAAAGTCTGTCTCAAAAAAGAAAACAAATAGACACATAATTTCTGAGGTGGTCTTCTTGGATTACCCATATATACTCTAGTAATACCCCCTGATTTTTTTGGTCTTTTTGAGACAGGGTCTCCCTACAGCCCCAGTGGGCCTGGAACTCACTATGTAGACCAGGCTGGCCTCAATCTCAGAGATCCACCTGTCTCTGTCTCTGCCTCTGCTGGGATTAAAGTTGTGTACCACCATGCCTGGCTAGTAAAACACTTTTTATTTATTTATTTATTTATTTATTTATTTATTTATTTATTTATAAGGAAAGTAAAGGGGAAGGAAAGAAAAAGGAAAGAAAAGAAAGAAAAAAAGAAAGAAAGAAAAGAGTAAAACACTTTTAATAGGTTCACACACAAAAGCAACATTTTGGGACCAGTAAGATGGCTCAGTGCGTAAAGGTGCTTCCCTTCAAACCTGGCACCTGAGATCTATACACTGAAAGGAGAGAATCGACTCCTGGAATTGTCCCCTGACCGTCACGTGGTAGTACAGCACTGCTACACGTGTGCACTCACACAAAGACTGGATAATTTTCTGCAGGAGCTGGGTTCACACCTATAATTTCAGCACTCAGAAGCTGGAGTAGGAGGACTGCTATGAATTCGAGGCCAGCCAGGGGTACAGCTGCTTCTACAGGTTCCTTAATGTGGCACTGTGGAATCAGCCAATGTTTTTCTAACTCAGAAGTATAACTTTCCTTTTCTTTTACTTTTGGATACCAGTCAAAAACCTAAGCCTAAGCATGCTTTCCCTGGTACTCTGGACTGCCACACTCCTTCTCTGAAGCTCTCCTCCCACCCTTCTGTCATGCCTTTAATTGCTAAAGTCCACTATAAAAGGCACGACCTTCCTTCTTTCTTCCCATTTTCCATCTCCATCTCCAGGCAGCTGCCAAGATTTACAGATTGGCCTCCCAACTCATAAGAGATCCTCCTGCCTCTTGATTCTGGAGTGCTGGGATTAAACATATGTGCCACCATGCCTGGTCAATAAGCAGGCTTTATTTGTCTTTTTGAGACAAGGCCTCCCTGTAGCCCCAGCTGGCCTACTCATTGCTGGGATGTGGTGACTCACACCTTTAATCTCAGCACTAGAAGGCAGAGGCAGGTGGATCTCTGTGAGATGGAGGAGAGCCTGGTCTATATAGTGAATTCCGGGCTACATGGAGACCCTGTCTCAAAAAGATAATCAATCAATCAATCAATCAATCAATCAATCAATCAATCAATCAGTCAATCAATCACAGGTAGAGAACACTGCTAAATCAGAGATGGAAGCTCTTAGGACATGGTAAGAAATTATGCCACTATAAATGAATTATTCTTAGCTTTGGAATGTACTAATGGTTAAGTATGACACTGTAACATGAAACTTTGTATTTAAGAAGTAGTTAAGCCTCTGATGAGCCCTGAACCTACTTGATCTACCAACATCTATTGGTTGTCTGTCTTCTACAATAAAGTTTATGTTGGAGAAAGTCAGTGAAAGCTTGCAGGCTGTCATTTTTTAGGTGCTACTATTTGAAAAGGCTATGGATTATAAAAGCTATTTTAGATTACCAAGTTATATCAATTATCATACCCAGAAACCTTATATGTTCTCTACCAATATGATCTTTACAGGGGGATGCGCTGCTTTCTTTTCATTAAGTATGACAAAAAGCACTTACTAGAAGTCATTCCTGGTTGTGGCTGTCCCATGTTAGGCCCTGGATTCATGGAAACTGGCACTATGCCGGCAGCATTTGGAAGCATGTTCTGCTTCTGCAGTCTAGTCCTTCGTTTCTCTTCTAGTTCTTTCTGGATCTTATAAATCTTCTCAGCTAGGAGGTGGTAGTATTCCGCCTTTTAAATTTTTTGAAGTAAAAAAGAGGAAAAAAACAGGTATCATTGAATAACCGAAAAAGTTAACTAAGACCAAACATTAGCTTCATTTGAAGAGTAGGCAAAAACTGAAAGAAGAGTCTAATGTATCTTAAGTCATTAAAGAGCCCACACTTTTAAGGATATAGGATTACTAGTTTTATTATGAACTTACACAATAAAGCAACTCTTCTGTATTTATGTTTATGACATATACACTGGAAACTTAGAGGACATGGAAAGAATATCCTACATTTTGAAGCAGAGCAAATTTTTAAAAAGTTCAACTGATACAGACAAAATACGACTAGATGTGAAATATCAAGTAGCTAATTTACCACATTCTACAGAAAACAGCACAGCATTGGTAAGACGCAGTTTACTTTTTAAGCTGACCAAAGACTACTCAGATCAAGTCCCTCACAAACGTAATGAGGAAAAGGATAAAACTGATGACATACATGGAAGAAATTGCTTTGTTGGTCAAGCATAGTGGGTGTAACTGTACTTAGAGCACCTGGAGGTCAAGGCAGGAAGATGAGTTCAAGGCCAGCCTTTACTAAAGAGGTTGAGGTCAGCCCAGGCCACATGGGACCTTGTCTCAAATAAGCAAAAGAAAGTGCTTTGTTACTCTGTGCTCAGTTATAAGACAGGAGAGCAAGTTAAAGGGAGTCCTCCTCAGAAATGCGGTATCATATTATAGGAGGCAAGTGAATTTAAATACCAGCAGAGCCATTTCCAACTATCCACAGAAAAAACAGTACATGCTCACTCTATTATTTGCAGACTCATACATGTCCCCTTCTACTTTCCGAGCATAGGCAACAAGGTTTTCCATCCGTCTGTCTTTTAAAGCAGCAGGATCCGGAGTGGGAAATATGGCTTGCACACTGGGAAAGAAAATTGTACCACTATTACAACATGTCAGCTTTTCATTCACATCACAGAAACACAGAATACTATAAACTTTTTCCTAAAAAAGTACTTACCCATTCTTATTCACGGAACATTTCTTTTGTTTTTATTTATTTAAAAATATTTACTATGCCAGGGGTGGTAGCGCACGCCTTTAATCTCGGCACTTGGGAAGCAGGCGGATCTCTGTGAGTTCAAGGCCAGCCTGGTCTACATAGTGAGTTCTAGGACAGCTGGGGCTACGGACCCAGCCTCAAAAAGACAAAAAAAAAAAATATTTATTTTCTGTGTATGAGTGTACTGCCTGCATGTATGTGTGTCCTCTCAATCGCTGAGCCATCTCTCAGTCCGGTTTTTGTTTATTTTTTAACAATAAGAGTCTTACTCTGTAACACTGACTTGACTGAAATAAACTATGTAAATATGAAATTAACCATGCTTATGTTGCCTTGAACTCAGTCCTGCTTTTGCCTCTGCCTCCTCTGTGCTGGAATTAAAGGCATGTGCCACTAATGCCTGGCTTTAAACATAAGGTTATTTTTGTTTTGAAGAGAGAATGATACATTAATATAATTTAAAGACTAGAAATGTAAATCAATTATTTGTGATAGAAAAGAGGGTTTTGTGATTACATTATGAAAAACAACTCTATTAAAAATACTTTCTGGGGTCCCGAGAGATTGCTCAGAGGTTAAGAACACTTCCTTCCACAATGGGCAGTTTATAATTGTCCTGAAATCCAGCTCAAGGGCTCAGATACCCTCTTCTGCCCTTCGCATGAATCCTTAAGTCAGGTGGCATGGACACACACTTAATAAATGAATAAACAAAAAGTAAGCAAATGCTAGAGCAAAACCTTCTACCTTACCACATAAACAGAGAAAACCTGTTTTTTCGCCCAGCATCTAGAGCCTACAGATCTTTCTCTTCTTCTAAATTTATTTGTTTATTAAGACAATAGCCAGTGAACTACTCACAGTTTTTTTTTTTTGTTTTTTTTTTTTTATCTTTTTGAGACAGGGTCTCTCTGTAACCCCAGCTGTCCTTGAACTCAGAGATCCACCTGCCTCTGCCTCCTGAGTGCTGGGATTAAAGGCCAGCGCCACCACGCCTGGCAACTACTCACATTTTAATAAAAACTTGAAAATGAGGAGCAAAATGACAATAATTTTGCTAGCTTCAAACCTTCATTTTGTAACAATTCCCTGTGTGAACAGTATTTTTTAGATTTTTGTTTTTTTATTAATTCTTTTTTTAACTTGGTCTTTTTTGAGTCAGGGTCTCCCTATAGCCCCAGCTGACCTGGAACTCACTATGTAGACCAGGCTGGCCTTGAACTCAGAGATCCGCCTGCTTCTGCTCCCAAGTGCTGGGATTAAAGGCATGCACCACCACACACAGATTATTAACTCATATATATATATATATATAGGTCTTTTTGAGACAAGATATCCCTTAAGCTGCAGCTGGCCTGGATTCGCTAATGGAGAGCAGGCTGGCCTCAAACTCAAGAGATCTGCCAGCCTGTGCCTCCTGAGTGCTGGTATTAAAGGTGTGTGCCACCATGCCCGGCTATTAATTTCTTTAAAAAAAATTTATTTTTATTTTAAGAACACTGGTTGTTCTTACAGAAGACCCGGGTTTGAATCCCAGCACCACATGGCAGCTAACAACTGTCCATACCCAGGTCTTCTGCAAGAACATTCAGTGTTCTTAACTGCTGAGCCATCTCTCCAGCCCCAATTCATTTAAAAAAAATTTTAAATTATTTTTATGTGTATGAGTGTCTTGCCTGCAAGTGTGTTTAAGTGCACACCTGTATCATTCAATGCCCTCGGAGGTCAGAAGAGGGCACCAAATCCCCTGTAACTGGAGTTACAGATGGTGGTTAGCCGCCATGTGGGCACTGGGAACTGAACCCAGTTGCTCTGGCAAGAGCAGTCTGTTCTCTTAACAATTGAGCCATCTCTCCAGCCCCCTAGGTTAATTTTTAAAAGTTTATGTGCGTGTTCCTGCATGAATTTATGTATACCATGTGGGTATAGGAGCCCTCAGATGTCAGAAGGTGACATCAGCTCTCCTGGAACTGGAGTAGCAGGCCTCTCTGTGGGTGCTGACAACTGAACCTGGGTCCATAGCTGTGACTTTCAGGTACTAATTTTATTTGGATAATCATATCCAGTTGTACAGTATGCAAAAACAGTTTTAAAAGATTAATGTAAATGTTTGGTTATTCCTTACTAAATCATTTTATTAAAACAAGAGTTTTCTTATTATTTTGAGACAGGGTCTGCCTGTAGCCCCAGCTGGCCTCAAACTTACTACATAGAGCAGGCTGACCTTGAACTCACAGAGATCCACCTGCCTCTGCCTACCAAGTGCTGGGAATAAAGGTGTGTGCCACCACGCTCAGCCTAAAACCAGAGTTTTCTTCTTGTAAAATTTCATTTATAGTCCCTGTAATTCAAGTACTGAAGCAGCAGAGGTAGGTGGGTGATCTCTGGGACATTGAGGCCAGCCTAGTCTGCATAGAGATTCCAGGTTAGCTGGGGCTTCAGGGAGACCTTGTCTCAAAGTTATTAAAATACTGACTGCTCTTGCAGAAGACCTGGGTTCAGTACCCACATGGTGGCTAAAAACTGTCCCTAACTCCAGTTCCAGGGGATCCAATGCCATCTTCTGACCTCTGTGGGCATTGCACCACATGGGTACACATTTGCACACATGCAGGCCACACATTCAAGCATTAAAACACAACACAAAACAAAACAAAACAAACAGCAAGAGAGAGAATGTATACTGCTGGTACCATACATTAAAAGAGCAGAGGCCTACCTTTTCTTGTGAAACCTTAAGCTGTTCAAGGCAATAACATTAAACTAATTAATCTATCAATAGTATCTCATGTATCTAAAGATAGCCTTAAACACATTATCCAGTTGAGGATGACTTTGACCTTCTGATACTCCTGCCTCCACCTGTTGGTACTACCATGCTGAGTTTATGTAATGCTGCGGCTGAAACCCAAGTTTCATGCATTCTAGGCAAGTATTCTACAAAATGAGAAACACTGATAGATCCCAAACCAACTATTTTATCGTCCATTATCCTATTTATTTAGTATTTGTGTACATGCAAGTGCCAGAACAGCTGTGTGAGATCATCTTTGGGGGTAAACTCTCTCCTGTGGGCCTGTGATGGAACTTCAATCTTCAGGCTTGGTAACAAGTACCTTTATTTACTGAGCCATCTCATCACCCCCAAATCAACAATTTAAAAATAAATAATTACTAAAAATACGCAGACTAGTTTACACAATGCTAAGTGAGACTCCTACAAACAGTGAAAAGAGAGATGGGAAAAGCAAGAAGCAGAGAATACAGATGGCTCAGCAGGTAAGAGCACTTATTACTCTTACAAAGGACCTAGGTTCAGGTCCAGGCACCCACACGGCAGGCTAACACCCATTCCAAGTAATCTGATGCCTCCACAGACACCAGGAATGCACTTACATACATCTAGGCAAAACATACAATAAAAACCAAATAGGCAGAAGAACAGAAGAAGCTGGGCATGGTGGCCCATGCCTGCAGGATGTGGAGACAGAGGATGGGAATTCAAGGCTACCCTGGGCTACAGGAGACCCTATCAAGAAAAACATACAAGAAGTGAAAGAAACAATACATCAACAGCCCAGCTACATAAAAAATTTATGGTGGTTTTAGTGGGTTTTTTTTTTTTTAATGGGTTTTTATGGTTTTAGTGGGTATGGCGGCACAGACTTTTAAGATCAAGGCCAATCTAGTCTACAGAGTGAGTTCCAGGCCAGCTGAAGCTACAGGGAGACCCTGTCTTTAAAAAACCAAACCAAACCAACCAAAAAAATAAAAAACCCCATCGGCATTATTCCTTTGGTAGTAACATGTCTAGCACATTGGAAGCATACTACATGGCAACTCTTATGAATGAGACAAACCACAATCTTACTTACAGTTTATGAACAAGATGATTTCGAAGATCCTGAGTAATATCTTCATGCCACTGTTTCCGAATCCCAGTACTAGATGGTTGAGCTGCTGTGGGCATAGGGCCCAGGGAGGCCACACTAGCATTTTCACTCATCATTGGGCTTTGAAAATTAGTCATGAAATAGTTTTAGTGAAAACATGTGGGATAAAGAAGGCTGCACTTAATCAGAGCTAACAGTGATAACTGCCACAGCACAACTATCCCATGATGAAGAATCCATTTGTTTAAGGGGTTATTTCTATGTCACTATACTGTATGTGTCTTTCTGTCTGTATCTCTGTGAGGAAAAGGATTATATTTCCTTATAAACGAGGCAACTTCTGTATTTGTAAGGCCATGTCATGTTATCAACTGTGCTGCCATGTGGACACACCTTACTAAAACAAGTACCTTGAGCAAGGAGTTACTGTATATATATTTATTCTTTGAAATTTTCATACATTAGAGTACAATGTATTTTGATCATATTCATTAGCAACACTGTTGTTTACTTTTCTTTTTGTCTTTTTGAGACAGGGTCTCCCCTGTAGCCCCAGCTGTCCTGGAACTCACTATGTAGACCAGGCTGGCCTTGAACTCACAGAGATCCACCTGCCGTTGCCTCCCAAGTGCTGGAATTAAAGGTGTGCGCCACCATGCCTGGCCAGCAATAGTGTTTATAACACTGAGATATAACTGCAACCTTGTAGCTTCCTATTTCTTTCAGAAAAGTATCTATTATTACCCCAAACTACTGTTAGGAAAGTTCAGCTAAGGCTGCAGAAGAACACAGTTTCTTTCCTAAAAGCTTTTTTAAACCAAGAAATCTATAATAAAATTTCAAGGAATTCTTTAGTATTTGAAGTATACAAACAGAGGAGACAGAACTTACTTTTGAGAATTTATGGCTGAATGCAACATTGTGTCAGAAAGAAGATTCGGTGTCTGCACTCCTACACCTCCATTTACACCCATAGGGCTAGCACCTAAGTCAAAACAAAGCAAAATAACAAAGGACAGAAATAAATAAAATAGGTACCATACAATGAACACAGTAAACAAAATGAGAAATTAGGAAAAAATTTACAAAAACGAGCAGCACATATAATTATTAGTAATACAGCTAACAGCACACAAAAGCTAATACACCAATAAGAAAATAAGCACAAGTTCTGGTGAGAAGGTTCACAAGCATGAGGACCAGAGTTCAGATCTCAAGTAAGTCCTTAAAGCAAGGATGTGGTGATGCTTATCTGTCACCCTAATTCTTGGGGGTAGGGAGTAAAGGTAGAAAGAGGTAGGGGTGGTGAGTGAGCATTGATCGCTAGAGCTCACTGGCCAGACAGTGTAGACAACTGGTGAGCTCTAAGCTACGTACAACAGTCTCAAAAAAATAAGGTAAAGAGTGACAGAGGAAGACACTGGCCACCAACCTTTGGCCCTGGCACACCATGTGCATGTGCACCCCCCACTCCCACCTGCTTTAACACACACACACACACATACACACACACACACACACACACACGCGCGCGCACACAGAGAGTAAAAAAATTAAAAAGAAAATCCCTATGAATGAATGTTTTGCCTGTAAGTGCATCCATGTCATGCAGAACTGGCAGAGGCCAGAAGGGGGTACCGGATCCCCTGGAACTGGAGTTACGGATGGTTTTTAGCTGCCATGTGGGTGCCTGGGACTCGAACCCAGGTCCTCTGCAAGAGCAGTCAATACTCTTAACTGCTGAGCCATCCCTCAAGCATCCCACAAAATTTCTTTAAGAAGCACAGTTCAATAGGAATGGAACTGGTAATTCACAAAACACAATAAAAAATGCAAATGTATTCAAGTATACTCAATGTAACATTAAAAAATTTAAATGCGGGGCTGAAGAGATGGTTCAGTGGTTTAAGAGCACTGGCTGCTCTTGCAGAGGACCTCGGTTAGATACCCAGTATCCACATGGTGGTTAACAACCATCTATAACTCCAATCCAAGGGAATTCAATTTATGAAACTGTCAAAACTAAAAGTTTATCTCTAAAAGTATGTACTGAGAAAAAGTCATGTCTACAGAAATGCAGATATATAAAATGAAAAGCCCTGGGCTGGGCCATGTGGCATATACTAACATGGATCTATTCATGCACACATCCCTTCACTTAGAATTCAAACTTCTGGTGATTGGTCTTATAGTTATCTATGTACAATGGTATTAAAAGAAGCAAAAAAAAGTTTAAAACTATAAACAAAACTGTTTAGGGCTTGGTCTGCAGAAAACTGTACTTTTAAAAGCACAGAAAATTTATAGGAAACCAAAGGAAACTGAATACAGCAACCCCAAAGGGAGGATGTTAAGAAACAGTCCTTAAAGGAAAACACATTTTGTTGAATATTCCTCTAAAATGCTTAAACATAAGCTCTACATGAATACAGTACATTTTCTGAACAGTTTTAGTAACTATTTCCAAACAGCAAAATTTGCACTAAACCAGATTTTAATGCTAAAATGTTTTACACATTTCTATTAATATAACCATTATTTTAGTTAAAAACAGCACATGCCTGTAACCTCTGCCTACCAATTCAAGGACAGAGAAGTAGAAGGATTGCTGCAAGTTTGAGACTATCCTGGTATACATCGCAAGTTCCATGCTGGTCAGAATTAAATACCAAGACCCTATCTCAAAATACCAAAACAACAAAAACCTGGTTAACTCCCCACAATCCAAACAATTGGCTAGCTCTGCAAACAAGAAAAAAAAAATCTAAGGCAGGGTCTCCCTGTAGTCCCAGGCGGCTCGCACGTTTCTGAGGAAACCACAAAGGTCTTTTGAAACAGGACTCTGTAGCTCCAATTCTGTATTTGTCAAAATTTAGGTGCAATTAATAGATTTCCTTTATGGATAGCAGTGATGGAGAAATACAGGTTACATACAAACTCCTTCATTTTACTGCTTTGTTTTTGTTTTGAGACAGAGTCTCACTCCTGCACTCTGTAACTCAGGCTGGCCTTAAACCGTAATAACAACTCTCCTGCCTCAGCTTTCTGAGTGTTGAGATTCCAGGCGCCATCTACCACAACCAGCTTTCTTTGTCCCCTTTACTGACACATGAAACACAGTAAAACATTCTCTCTCTCTCTAAATTCTCCAGATTTTAATTTGGTTCTAAGTAATGGCTTGATCATAAACATCAGTCACACACACACGATCATAAACATCACTCACACGCACCCCCACACATACAGAGTATTATTTAAGACATTAACAGTATTCACTTGAGAGAATAATGGAGGTAGCTGACATTCCTAGCACTGCCAAGAACTGGCAAAGAAAAAAACAAAAACAGAAACAAAACCCAAAAGTGGGGACAGGGGCTATAGAGAATTTACCTAAAAATTACCAACAGAATATATTTATGTGCTGTAAACCCCACAAAGGATTTCACCTCAATAAAATAGGGAATAACTGAAATCAGTAGTAAACAGATCCAATATAGTAACGGACAGATCTAGTAAGTACAAAATATGATTTGAGGCTGAGAAGATGACGCAGTGGTTAAGCACTTTTGAGGATCAACTTTGGATACCCCAGAAACCCATGTAAATGCCAGGTAGGCATGGCAGCCAACCTATGATTCCAGATCTCAGAAGCTGCATACAGGAGACCACTAGAGCAACCCTGCTAGCAAGACCAGGTATATCTATGAGCTCTGGGTTTGACTGAAGAGACCCTGTCTCAGCGAATAAGGTAAAAGAGTGATGATTCCTGATAGCAACCTTTGGCCTCCATATGCATTATGTACTCAACATATGTGCGGATACACATACAAAAACATGCGCAAACACATGTACATACCACACACACACAAATTGGAAAAGGGGACTGATTTATAATTAAGGTATAATTTAAAAATTCCTAGGCACCAGAAAGGATTCTCTTCCACTCACTGGTATAGAATGTGTATTATCTGACACATATAAATGAAATGTTGGCACTGTCTACATAATCATGTGCCTATCCTCTCCAGTGCTGACTGGAGCTGTTTCAATGTAGACCCTGTCATTCCTGCCTGCCCTGTACATAGTACATCTGCATTAGATCTGCTCACTACCTTGTTCACCACAGCGACTTCAAATTTGTGCCCTGGGAATTACAGGTGGCTGACCACAGAAAGACATCTTTGTCACCAAGCTAAACTGAGAATACATTTTTCACATGACATTATTAACTGCTTACTTAGGGTCTTCACCACACCCTGTAGTGCATTATTTCAGGTAGATGGTATGACAGAGATGCATGCTAATTACACTTTTAGCCTGGCCTGGTACCATACTCCCAGGACTACACAAGTTAAAAGAGAACGGACAGGAATTCCAGGCCGTCCTAAGCTACAGAGCATGCCTCTGGAAAGAGAGAAAAAAAAAAAGTACTACTTAAAAAAAAAAACCAAACCAAAAAAACAAAAAACAAAACCTCAGTTTTGGGAATCAGAATTAACAGCCAGCAATTAATTGAGATAGCAATCAAAGTTTTTGATAATAGTTCTAGACTTTTCATAAAATACTTGAATGCTTAATATTCAGTAACAATCAGATTTGTGGGACAATCTCTAAGATTCATCTGAAGAACGTGACAAACATAGAATTAGTCTAGTTACCTGATTTGCACATTAAGAGGAAAAAAGATTCATAATGATGGGCTGGAGAGATGACTCAGGGGTTAAGAGCACTCCCTCATTGCTCTTGCAGAGGACCCAGGTCTGGTTCCCAGCGCCCACGTGATAGTTAACAATAGTCTTAACTCCAGTTCTAGGGAGATCTGTTGCCATTTTCTGGCCTCTGTGGCACTACACGATGCCCTTCTATGCAGAGAAAACACTTTTTTTTTTTTTTTTGTCTTTTTGAGACAAGGTCTCCCTGTACCCCAGCTGTCCTGGAACTCACTATGTAGACCAGGCTGGCCTTGAACTCACAGAGATACACCTACCTCTGCCTCCCGAGTGCTGGGATTAAAGGCATGAGCTACCATGCCTGGGGGAAAGCATTCATTTTTTAAAAAAATGATTCATGCTGGGTGTGGTGGTGTTTGCCTTTAATCCCAGCACCTGGGAGGCAGAGGCAGGTGGATCTCTGTGAACTCAAGTCCAGCCTGGTCTACACAGTGAGTTAGTTCCATGACAGCTGGGACTACATCCTGTCTCAAAAATAAATAAATAAATAAATAATTAAAATAAGGATTCATAAAAACATGTATAAAAACACGTAAAACCTTCAAGTGACTGAAGTGGAAAAATTTTAAAATAAAACATATAGAGGGTATTACTGAACATTAAAATTTAGGAGGCTTGAAAGTCATAGTTAATACAGAGCAATGTTATTTTGGCCATGTATGTTGAAATATGGTTAATGATCATTCAGTATGCCTCAAATCCACATAGGAATAAAGCAGATGTGGCAAAATCACGGAAAACCACTGTAGTTAGGAAAAGGGGTATGGGCATGCTCATTAATTGCCTATTACATGGTTTTGAAAATTCCAACTTAAAATTTAAGAGAAAAATTTTACTCATATCAGAAATAGGCAGAACATTCACCAAATTATTTTTTCCTTAAATAAGATTACAACAGAGATAGCCCAGAGGACTTTCACTGTTGGGACGGACACCTAATCTGTCCTGCTCTTGGCCTACTCTTTGGTCACAAAGAATACTTTTAGGCTTGACGTTTTATGAATGATGCTTGTCTGTACTACTGAGTTCACTGTGGTGAACTCACTGAAGACAAACATTTTAAGTTGAGAAGATGGAAAAACTCACATAGGGGTTGATACACCCAAATGGTAGAGCTCAGCAGAGTACCTGTCTAGTGTGCAGGGTCCTAATTTTACCATCAAGAACCACAAAAATGAAAAAGTCCAACAGGAAATACATGCACACTAAATTAAGTCACTTCTGTTTTCTATAGGCTAAATGTCTTACATTCTTAGGAACACAATATAGTTTCATTCATGGATTTAGGCCACCACATCAGGGCTGAATCCAAACTCAAAGAAAAAAGTGAAAAAAAAAAAATTCAAAATTATTTAAGGTAGGGGCTGGAAAGATGGATCAGGGGGTAAGAGTGGGTATTTCTCTAGGCGAGGCCCTGAGTTCGGTTTCCAGCAGAGACACTGGGTAATTCACAACTGCCTATAAGATCCACTGTCCTCTTTTGGCCTCTGCACACAACTGCACTCAGAGGAACATACCCACACACATATACAGTCATATACATTAAAAAAAAAACAAAAAAAAACAACAACAAAACAAACCTAGGGGCTGGAGAGGTGGCTCAGCAGTTAGGAGCACTTACTGCTCTTGCAGAGAACCCAAGTTCTATTCCCAGCACCCATGTGGCAGCTAACAACCAACCATAACTCCAGTTCCAGAGGAACCAACGACCTCTTCTGACCTCCAAGGTCACTGCATAACATGGGTGCACTTACATACATGCAGACAATACACTCATACACATGAAATAAAAATAAGGTTAAAAAAAAAAAAAAAAAGAGCAGCCAGTATTTTTAACTGCTGAGCCATCTCTTCATCCTCAAAATAGTATTTTTTAAAAATAAAAGTAATTCTGGGGCCGGAGAGATGGCTCAGCAGTTAAGAGCACTGACTGCTCTTGCAGAGGACACAGGTTCGATTCCCAGCATTCACATGGTGGCTATGAACTATTCCTAACTCCAGTTCCAGAGGAATCCGAAGCCCTCTTCTGACTTCCACGGCACTGTACAACAATGGGTGCACTCACATACATGCAGGCAATACACTCATATACATAAAATAAAATAAAATAAAATAAAAAGCCGGGTGTGGTGGTACATGCCTGTAGTCCCAGCACTTGGGAGGCAGAGGCAGGCAGATCTCTGTGAGTTCAAGGCCAGCCTGGTCTACATAGTGAGTTCCAGGACAGCTGGGGCTAAAGGGAGACCCTGTCTCAAAAAGACCAAAGAAATAAAATAAGAAAAAAGAAATTCTTTAAAAGAGCAGTATGCAAGATACTATGTATGGAGCACTGGAGCACATTCCTACACTAACAGCTACTTGGGAGACTGAAACAAGAGTACGTGAATTCCATGTCCAAGCAGAACAACGCTGAAAAAACTCAAAGCAAAAAGATAAAAAGTATCTGTATTTACAAAATATTTTAAAAGTTGGGTTAGAGGGGCTGGAGAGATGGCTCAGCGGTTAAGAACACTGGCTGTTCTTGTAGAAGACCCGGGTTCAAATCCCAGCACCCACATGGCAGCTAACTGTCCATAACTCCAGTTTCAGGGGATCCAAGAGCCTCTTCTGTCCTCCGTGGGCATTACACGACACGGGTGTGCTCACCTACATGCAGGCAATATACGCATACACATAAAATTAAAAAAACAGTATTTTAAAAGTTAAAAGATATTGTTCATCCAGGTGTGGTGGCACATGTCTTTAATCCCAGCACTTGGAAGGCAGAAGCAGGGCAGTCAGGATTACATAGTTGAGGCCATGTCTCATAAAAAGAAAGAAAAGAAAAAGAAAAAAAAATCAACTAATCATGTGAACAATAATAATGCAAGAAAAGATTCCGTTTATAGGGTCTAAGAACTGAGGTAGAACACGCACATACTGAGGGCCCTTGGGTTCAACCCTCAAAATCAAAATGCAAGGTATATTGGAGCCAGGGGCTGGGGAGATGGCTTAGATGAAAGCACTTGCTAAGCAAGCCTCAAAATCCTAAATTCAATTCCCAGACCCCATGGTGGAAGGAAAGAACTGACACTTGAAAGCTGTCCTCTGATCTCCACAGGTACACAGGACAACAACCACAAAGATAACAATAAGTTCAAGGAATTTAATGTTTAAAAGGGTGGGGCTGGAAAGATGACTCAGCCACTAAGAGCACATGTTCTTGCAGATGAGTACAGAGTTCGGTTCCCAGCACCCAGGTGGGGCAACTCATACCTGCCTGTAACTCCAGCTCCAGGGAATCTGATGCCTTCTCCTGGCCTCTGTGGCACCCACTTACACATGCACCCACACATGCACAAATATACATTCAATCTTTGGGCAGGGGTCTGGAAAGAATGACGACTCCTCAGGACTCACATAGTAATGGAGTAATAAAAGCATCTCATTTCTGGAAAATTAAACTCTCATGCAACAGTGATCAAAAGGTTATGAAGAACTGGCAATTGCTTCTGGCACATGGATTATAAAGGAGTCTTTTTTCTTGAAATTTTAAAATCTTAAGACTTCAATAAATTATTTAGTCAAACTAAATCAGGTTAATCTTGATTTATAGGTGCCATTTACACACTCAACCAGTATCGCCTCTGTGACTAGAAAACACTTACTCATGTTGTTCATGGGCCGCATGCCTTGGGGCGACTGCCCAGACTGCTGATTTTGTTGGTTCTTTGCTTGTACTTGGGGTTGCGGTGGCATCTGGTTTACTTGATAGGGTAGTCCAAGAGCAGCATAGGCTCGCTCAATAGAACTGGGATCAATCTGACTAACAGTGCTTAGGCTAGGGGTAGACTGTTGACCCACCCCTAGAGAGCTAGGGTTTCCAAGCCCAACCGGTGCTCCAGTCAAAATTGCTAGAGAAGACAAAAGACATGGTATTATAATACTATACTTGTTGAGAAAAAGAGACTAAGATGCCTGAATGAATAAAAAAAAACCTGTCATATGATGAAACATCTCAGTACATGTATCTTGCCTCCCATTAGTTATCTGAAAAAATTTCTAGAAACAGAACTGTTTGGGGGTAAAGGTGACCCACCAACACAACAATCTTTTGACAAAGAATATCTAAGTTTTCACATAAGCTGCCTTAGTGTCCCACCAACACCAGGTAGAACATCTCTGCCATTGTGGAAGAGAAAAATGGTACCTCTTTCACTGCTTCACATTAAATTACCTATTTCCTATCTTCATCTTCTACTGAATAACTGATTCCTTTTGCTTTATATGTATTTCCAATGTGTCTTTTAACACTAAATGCCTAATATTTTGTGAATAGAAAGATGTGGTCAATGCACTTAAATGTAGAAATTTACTTATAACCTTTCAAAGAAAAATCTCGTCCCCATCAAACAATTATAAAAACAATCTCAACTTTTTGTTTAAGTAAATTCAAACAATCTATTGGGGTCACAATATGTAACCCTGGCACGACAGGCTGAAGCAGCAGGACATCAAGTTCAAGCCTATACTACATATTAAGATTCTCTCAAAATGGGAAAAAAAAAATACAAGTTTACCTCTGCTGTTTTATAAAGAATGAGTGCTGAGTTTATTTTTACCAATAAAGCAGTATTACTGTGTGGTTAGCAGGAAGCAGAAAAGAAGGAAAGGAAAAATCATTCATTTCAATATAGTGCAATAGCACTAGCACCGGCTGATTACTGGAGGTTCATCTAAACAAGAGGTGCTTTAAATGCTATCAAATGGCACTCGTGTAATTCTCAGAATAAATCTACAGAAGACTTAAGCACTTACACTGTTGATTTCGCTTATCCCCAGCATTTTTGAGGGGAAGACACACAGGACAATCGTGCCTTGTACAATTCTTCCAGTGTGAAATGATTTGGCGAGAAGATGCACAGTGTGCCACTAAAACAAAACAAGAGGTTTTATTTTTTCACTTACTCATCACTTAAAAAGAGCTGTAGATGTGTTAACTCACTTAAGTAAAGGGATTCTAAGCTAGTACTGCAGAAACACATGGGCATAAAACAATTTGCAATGACTCCATCCATAAGCTATTCAATTGGGTAAAAGTTATACTGTATTGTACTGAGTATAACCAATATGGCTAATACTGAACCTTTCTTTAATAACAACATATAAAGGATGCTAGACTAAAACAAACCAACTAGCACCATCACAAAATAGAAACCTTTTAAAATTTACTTTTAGCCACACATGACTTTAATACCAGCACTCGGAAGGAAGAGACTGGCAGATTCCTATGATATCCAGGCCAGCCTAGTCTACAAAGAGTTCCAGGATAGCTTTGGCTACAGGGAGACCCTGTCTTAAACAACCCAAAAGTCCAAAACCAAAAAAACCCTCTACTTTTCTATTAAATCCTTAATCACTTAAAATAATTTCTTATAGAGCAGCTTTCTTTATAATTTCCAAAAGAGGACAAAATCAAGATATCCTTTACCAGGATGGATGAACTGCATTTCATCCAGACAATGGAATATTATTTTATAACTTTTTTGAGGTATAATGCTATACAAATGGGGAATGTGAGGGCTGGGAGGAAGCTCAGTCAGTGGTAAAGCACATGCTGTGCAAGTGTAAGGATCAGATTTTGGATCCCTAGTGCACATATAAATGCCAGGTGGGTTAATCCCAGTGCTTGTGACGTAGAGACAGAGGATCCCCAAATAAACCACCTAGCTAGATTAGATATTTCAGTAAGTTCTGGGTTCAAATGAGACCCTGCCTCAATATGTAAGGTAGAGAACAATCAAGGAAGGTATCTGATATTAATCTCTGGTCTGTACACAAACACAGACCCATACATGTTAACACACAAGCATACTCACATACACTGTATTTCACACATACAAAAGGGAGGTAGTTAGCTGGGTGTGGTGGTGGTGTTTGTAATAGGAGCTCTGTGAATTCAAGGCTAGCCTGGTCTACATAACTAGCTAGGGCTATATAGTGAGATCCTATCTCAAAAAGGGAGTTAGGGGCTAGTTCAATGGTAAGAGACTTGCTTTACGTGTGTAAGGACTTGGTCCAAATCCTACATGGCCACCCCCATGTCAAAGCCTCCAGTTGCTACTACCAAGACCCAAAAATATTTTGCAAATTTAATGTTGCTGATGTAGCTCAGTAGTAGACAACTTGTCTAGCATGCATAAAGCCCAGGGTTCAATCTCCACAGCAGTACAAACATACCAACAAACAAATGCATTCCCAGAAGTTGTGACTGTATTTGTCTGGGACACAGACTCAATACGGAATTGCTTTGTTTTAAAAAAAAAAAAAAAAATGGGGGAGGGGGGCTGGAGAGATGGCTCAGAATTAAGAACATTGGTTGTTCTTGCAGAAGACCTGGGTTCGAATTCCAGCACCCACATGGCAACTAACCACTGTCCGTAACTCCAGTTCCAGGGGATCCGATGGCCTCTTCTGTCCTCCTAGGGCATTGCACAACACGGGTGCACTTACCTACATGCAGGCAATACACTCATACACATAAAATAAAAATAATAAATATTTTAAAAATTAAAAAAGGGGTGGGGTGGGGTAGGGGGAGGCCCTGGAGAGATGGCGCAGTGGTTAAGACCATTTATTGCTTTTGCAGAGGACCCAGCTTTGGTTCTCAGTGCCCACATGGAGGCATACAACCATTGATAACTCTAGTTCCAGAGGATCTCACTCCTTCTGGCCTCTGTGGGCACTGCACAAACATGGTGCACTTATGTACATGCAAGCAAAACACTCATACATATAGAACAAAAAATTTAAAAAAGCAAAATTATTTCCTATATTCTGATCACCTTATGAGCTACTCACCTTGACAGGACTTGCCTGACTGGCAGTGTGTCATGTGGTTTAGAACGTTTTTCATGGTGCGGCAGTGGGGAAGGTTGCATTGCCTCACTTCCCCGTTGGCCTGCTCCCTGCGCTGGCACTTATGAGCATGCAAAAGGAGAACCAGCTGCTGCTGGATGAGCTTGCGCTTCTCTGGATCAGCCGTGTGTGCTCCAGAACCCATTCCCTGGGCAACTGGAGTCACTAAGCCTGGCTGCTGGACCTGTGGGGCAGGCTGTTGGCCCTAAAACATACAAAGAAGGTACACTTAACAGTGTCACAGTGCGGCATCTCTTAATAAGGACCTAGATATTTCCAAATATTGTTGGTCTACTATATGCCAGACTTCATTTTGAGACAGGAGCTCCCTGTAACCACAGCTAGCCTAGAATTCACTATGTAGACCTGGCTGGCCTTAATCTCATAGAGATCCACCTGCCTCTGTCTCCCAAGTGATGAGATAAAAGGCAAGGGCCACCATGCCTGGCAAAAATTAAATTTTTATTCCTTCCAAAAGAAATTTTGTTTTCCAAAGTATTTCTAAAGATAGTGAACATGTTATTTACCTTTGCATCTTTAGTGCTTTCTGAAATACAAGCAATGAACTACACAGAATACTAAAACAGCTAAAAGAAAAATCAATTTTTTCAAAGGTAATTCCAAACTAATTGACAAATTTACAACTCGAAAGTTTTACTTTAGAAAAATATCAGGACTGCTACTGCTGTAAAGTGGCTCAGCGGCAGAGTCCATGTGTAGAACTGACTGGGTGGCATTCCTGACAAAATGGAACAAAAGGGATTTTCAAGAAATTATTCTGTTGTATTAACAGCAAATACAATGGGTTAGTTCCCTTTGTAATAGAGTTCTTTTTCCAAGTACAGAAAAGTTCTAATCTCCCATCTTTGATAAAAAGCTCACCAGTCAAGGCTGTTGAGATTCCTGAAACTCCACTACAGCATGTTCTTATTTGCATCAGTCCACGTACTGATCAATAGCCACAGGAAATGAAGTTCCATGTGAAATGGCAAGGCACAAGCCTACCACATCTTCAGGCTCCTAGTGAGTATAAGTCCTTATGTGTAGTAGTAGGCATCAGTATATGTGTATGTAGCAAATTCTACTAAAATGCCAGTCTGGGGCTGGGAAGTGGTAAAGGCACTTGACTGCTAAGCCTGATAATGGGAGTTCAGTTCTGAGGACCCATATCCTGGAAGAGAGAACCAACCCTACAAGCCGACTTCAGACCTCCACATGTGTACCACTGTATGTCTTCACATGCACAAACACATCAATAGATAGAAGAAATAAATAAAGGAAGGCAGAAAAGTTTACAAGTACTCACCATGCTGGGCATTCCCCCACCAGGTACTGCCTTTTTGTCCATTGCAAATGGAGATAAACTATTTGGTAGTACAGTCTTTGTCTGAATTTGGAGACCAAGGCCACTGCCTCCAATCTGCTGACCAGAATTCTGAGTATATGGTGAACCATAAGGATTGGGATTGCTCATCATTCCCATCTAAGTAGATTAGAAAACAAAAGTTAAATTTCATTCTCCGTATTACTAAAACATTATTTTCTTATTTCATGTTCTACTTTACAAAACAATTTTAAAGGAAAGCCTCTGAAGGTGCCTTCTGTGCAAGCCTGGCAACCTGAGCTTAATTCCCAGAACTCACGTAAAGCTGGAAGAGAATGGACTCTACAAAGTCATACAAAGTTGTCCTCTACATGTAAGGTGTGCCTATGTGTGTGAGTGCGAGTGCGAGCGCGCGTGCGCGCGCGCACACACACACACACACACACACACACACGAAAAAACAAAAAAACCCCGCACACATGATAAGTAAATCTAAAAACAAGTCCCCCCCACCCCCTGCCCAAACCTCAGGCAGTAAACAAAGCATGCGCTTGAAATGAAACTCTTAAAAAATTTGGGGATGGAGGGTGGCTCAGTTATTAAGAGCACTGGCTACTCTTGCAGAGGACCTGTGTTGGGTTCCCAGCACCTACATGGTGTCTAACAACTGTCTTTTGGCCTTTGTGGGCACTGCAGGCATGGGTGCACTTCACTGGGAGGCAAATGTAGGCAAATCTCTGAATTCAAGGCTAGCCTGGTCTACATAGTGAGTTCCAAGCCAGCTGGGGCTACAGGGAGACCCTGTCTCAAAAAGACCAAAAAAAGAAAAAAGTGCATAGATAACGCTTAAAAAACCCCCAAACTGGCAGGTGTGCAGGGTCACACCTTATAATCCTAGTCCTTAGACTCAGGAGGCAGACCCAGGAGATCATCTAAGTCTAAAGACACACCTGGGCAGTATTCTCCTTCAAAAAACAGCAGAATCACCAGAGGTGGTGGTGTATGCCTTCAATCCCAGCACCTGGAAGCAAGAGGCAGGCAGAGTTCTAAGAGTTTGAGGCCAGCCTGCAGCCTGTTCTATATAGCAAGTTCCAGACCAGCCAGGGCTAAACAGTGAGACCCTGTCTTTAAAAAAGGAAAATTTAAAAAAAGCTTTCTCATTAAACATTTATAGTCAGGCATGGTGGTACAACACTCTTAATCCCAGTATTAAGGAAGGTAAAGTAGAAGGGCTCAAAATTTAAGACACTGTCTGAAAAATAAATGTTTTAAAATTAACCTGAGGTTAAGTTTATCTCCTAAAGAAATCACTTTCTCTCTTTTCTCCACTGTATTATGAGTCAGTCAACTCTTAAAAATACCAAATACTAAGAATGCTAAAGTTGCTATACCATTAAGAGGGAACTATACGCCAAGTGTGATGGCATATGCTTGTAACTCCAACACTCAGGCCTCTGGACACAGAAGGACTGTGAGTTCTAAACCAGCCTGAGCTATTAGCAAGTCCCTGCCCTCCCCTCCAAATCATTGCCATGGATCCCTGCCCCCGCTGCTATCTTAATTCACAAGGTCTTCACCTTTACTCATGTAGACTGAGTTCAATAGGTCATGCCCTGTATCTTTACCTGTCTAGAAATAAGGGGAGAAGAAAACAAGTACCCCCAAGTGTATTAGAGCTTTCAGGAAAGCTAACCTCCTCCTCTTCGTGGGATCTTACTACTTTCACCTGCCTCAGAAAATAAATTTTTTAAAAATTTAAAAATTAAAAAAAAAATTTAAGGCTGCATGTGGTGGCGCACACCTTTAATCCCAGCACTCGGGTGGCACAGGCAGGCGGATCTTTGTGAGTTCGAGGCCAGCCTGGTCTACATAGTGAGTTTCCAGGACAGCTGGGGCTACAGGGAGACCGTCTCAAAAAGACAAAACAAACAAAAAAAACACAAAACATTTCTATATGTATGTGTATAACCTGCATGTGTAAGTACACCCATGTCATGCAGTGACACAGAAGTCAGAGCATCCAGTGCTCTTTAACCACATCTTTCTAGCCCACCATCATGCTTTTTTGAACCTCTTAGATCTGGCTTAAGAGCTTTTTACCTATAAATGAGCACAGGGACACTACTTTTCCTCTTTAAACTCCCAGAAAATCACTTGTAAAAAGGAAATAAGTATTAAGATCACAAAGATGCAAATAATTCATTTAGGCTTCCTTGGGTGGCACCAAACATAACTGCAGTGTCTACATCTCTTTTTCAGATATAGTCCTCATTGTGTAGCTCAGATATTCCCTGGACGTGTGATGCTTCAGTCTTGGCCTCCTGAAGCTAAGATTACTGCCTGGCTTAAAGTGTTTTTAAAGTACTATTATTTATCCTGTAATAATTCTAATATTCATGCCTAAACTCTGGGACAGTATAGTTAAAACAAGAGATAAATACTTATAAAAGTTCATTAAAGTAAATAAAATTGTAAGCTGCCTTGGCGTCTCAAAGTTTCATCCAACTATATCCCAATAAAATGGGGTATTTCATGACTCTGCATACACTTCCTCACCTGCCTAGACCAATGAACTTTCATACAGTTTTTGGTGTTACTTGTTTCCTCAATCCTAACACAACACGTGGAAATATTATCAGCACTGCTCCAAAGCAAACTATGGTCTCAAATATAGACTACAGATTGCTAGTTGGCTGGCAGTAATTTACCCCTTGTGATTTTTTGATCATCAGAACCAACAAATACTCTCTGGTCTTGTTTTCCCTGTCTCCTTCAGAATTCCACCTTCCCATCACTACCCTTTCTATTCCTGACCCCATTTCCTATTCCCCCACCAAATAAAATAGGGTAGAAAGATAGTACTTGAATTCTGCTACAGTGTAGTTATTTGATCTTGTTTTTTTCTCTGTAGTTAATGAATTCCAGATGTCTAATTATCCAGCATCAGACAGACACAGACTTTTTAAAACTAAAAAGATATAGGAATAAGAAGCCACAGGAAGTTCTGGAGAGCACAAAACCACCTGCCCCACTGCCCAATAGTTTTATGGCACCACACTTTCTTTGCCAAAATATAGCTTTTTTCCCTGTCTTTTTGAGACAGAGACGGTCTCTTTGTAGCCCCAGATGGCCTTGAACTCACAGAGATCCACCTGCCCCTGCCTCCCAAGTGCTGAGATTAAAGGTGTGGGCCACCACGCCCAGCCCTAAAATATAACTTTGACACATTAAATATAATATTTGGGCTATTTTAGGGCAGAAAGCTAGGGAACACAGGAAAAAGCACACATTTTTAAAAACAAAAAAAACTCCATATACTGGTAGCAGGGATGGTGGTTCAAGCTTATAATCTCAGCATTCAGGCGACTGGGACAAAAGGACTGCCTGCCTATAGGATATGAGATAAGCCAGGGGTACAGAGTAAAACCCTTCCTTGAAAACAAAAATAGGGGCCAGGTGTAGTGGAGCACCTGGGAAGCAGAGGCAGGTGGATCTCTAGGGGCTGTAGAGACAGCTCTCCCAGCTGCTGTTCTTTCTCTCACTGGCTGTTCTTGTAGAAGACCCGGGTTCGAATCCCAGCAGCCACATGATGCTAACATCCGTCCATTAACTCCAGTTCTAGGGGATCCAACACCCTCTTCTGTCCTTTGCTGGCACTGCATGACAAGGGTGCACTTAGATTACATGCAGGCAGAACACTCACAAACACAAAAGAGCGAGAGCGAGAGAGCTGGCTCTACAACAAATCAACTCTTAATCCAAAACTTTCAAGACTAAAGACTCTAGCAGCCAGGGACACAATTCTGTTGGTAGAGCGTTGCCTGAGCTGAAGGTTTGATCCTTCTGCACCCCATAAACTAGGAGTGTGATGCATTCCTGTAATTTTAGCACTCAGGAAGTAAAGACAGGTGAAGTCATCCTCTGTTACATAATGAGTAGAAAGGACAGCCTGGTGAGAGCCTGCCTATCTTTATTATTATTCTTTTTATTTTATGTATATAAGTGTATTGCACACATGTTGTGCAGTGCCCCTGGAGATCAGAAAAGGGCATCAGATCCCCTAGAACTAGAGTAAGAAAGAAGTGGGAATTTACTCTTGAGGCCAATACTCATTTTAGTGAATGAAGCTCGGGAGTACTTGGGGAATTGTGTGTATTGACAGCTAATCCTAGGAACCTTGAGCAAAGTTTCTTTCTAAAAAGATATTTATAATTGTTTATGTGTGTTTGCGTGTCTTGCCTGTATGTTTATAAGTGCACCCGTGTCCTGTAATGTCCACAGAGGTCAGAGAGGGCGCCAGATTCTCCTGGAAGTGGAGTTACAGATGGACCGGATGTTGACCATGTGGGTGCTGAGAATTGAACCTGGATCCTCTACAAGAGCAGCTAGTGCTCTTAACGGCCAAGCCTTTTTCCAGCCCACAAAATTTCTTTTTAAAGCACCATTTCATTAATTTAAGAACTATAAAAACTGGACATGAAGCTATCTGGATCTAGGTAACAAGCAGAAGTAATCAGAATCAGAGGAAAGCTAGGTTAGGAGTCCTTTCCCCTCAGACCTAAGACTTTAGAATAAAAAAGAACTAAAAGTACAATGAAGATGCTCGAGTCAGAAGTGGTGGTTCACACCTATAATTCTAGCACTCTGGAGGCTAAGGCAGGAGGGACTGCGACAGGTCTGAGACAAACTCAGGCCACAATGTAGTAAGTTCTGGGGTAGCTAAAGAAAAATCAGAAAGATAAAAGAGAAAACTATCACAGAGATGCTTCAGGACCTCAAGTACAGAAAACTTATGGTACTAGCTCTCATTGTCACTTCAGTAATGGTCAATGTATATAAAGCTATAGGTCAAGAGGCAAAGGCTACTGCAAAAGCAAACCAACTTTGTCTTTAGCCACAGACTTCAGGTCTATGTACGAATCATCATAATAGGATGGCATTAAATTTATAACAATTAAAAATAAACTTTGAATTCACAAGACAGGGGTTTCTCTACAACCCTGAGATCATTTCCTTCCTGTATAATGGCAATAAAACTATCAACTTATCAGTGTTATGATCAATGGTGCTGTCACATATTAAATGTCTATTAATATTCAAGTTCTTAGCATTCAGAGTTTAACACTAACTTACATACAATGTATGTGGTGCTAGTAGTT